TACCCCATAGGTACCCCATAGGTACCCCATAGGTACCCCATAGGTACCCCCATAGGTACCCCCATAGGTACCCCCATAGGTACCCCCATAGGTACCCCATAGGTCCCCATAGGTACCCATAGGTACCCCATAGGTACCCCATAGGTACCCCATAGGTACCCCATAGGTACCCCATAGGTACCCAATAGGTACCCCATAGGTACCCCATAGGTACCCCATACATAGGTACCCCATGTACCATGGCACAGAAATACGTGTACATAGACAAAAGTGACAAAAGTACTCTATGAAATTGAACAAATATCACAACAATTAGGATCTCTCAAACTCCATACTCCAGCAGCGGAATTTCAATCCTGCACAAAATGCATTTGCCGAAAGCTATTTCCTGTTTACTAGGACTCCTTGACACAATATGAAACACAACATATTTCCCAGTTTCCATACATTCCAACAGGAAAAATCATGTTCAGATCCACTTTATTTGGGATTCCAGTAATGTTGCAATTTCATATGTCTTTGCTTGGTTAAACCCCATGGATCTCCGTCGGGCACCATTCTCAGGCCCTGCCACAGCCACCCTTAGAGACGCAACGCAGTGCACCGAGTGTTGGAGCATTGGCACGGGCGGCCCAGGGCTGGACCGATTCGTTGAGAGTTTGGCAGGGGACCAACGATCGAAAAAAGTACCTACTGGGGAGTGTGTGTCTGTGTGTGTTTTTTCACATTGTATATGTATGATATATATATATATGTAATATATATATATATACTGTACATATACTGTACATATATATACTGTACATATACTGTACATATACTGTACATATATACACAAATACCAGGGGTCATTGCCACGCTTTTTCAACCCATTTGGAAATGCCGAATTCAAAACCAAGGCCTCCCAAATCCTGACCGTTTTGATCTACCGAATTCAAATCCCACGCTGTACAAATGGACATGAGGACTGAATGGTGCATAATTGTTGCATGTTAATAGATGATATTTCGCTATGGTTTAATGGTTCAATTTGTCGTACCTGTGTTTTTCAAGGTTCAATCACAATAATCAATAATCTTCACCTTTGTTTCCATGGTTTCATTCCACCATGTGTTGTTGGTTACGAGAATTCTCCAGTTTCCAGCGTGTTCTATGTGCAAATATATGTGCAAATCCACATCTTTTGATACGTTTACATCATTTTTGGGCTTAAATCTTGGTTTGCCACCATTTTTGCCGCATTTCCTGGTGCCACAGATCTTTTTTTTTCACTGAGGCTTTGCCTAGCTCAACTGCCAGGCTGGGACAGGAACATTGTGGTCAAGTCAGTGGAACTGGAGAAACCTCGCAGAATTCACAACCACTCAGCGGCCGAAAATGATCCGTTACCTTTCCATTCATACCACTTAGTACTGGTAGGAGTTTCAACAAGAATCGCTCATCATTCATATGCAATATTGATCAGTTTTGAAGCTGGATCATCCCAGTTTTGCCATTGAGCTCATGACAATATCTTTTCTTCCTTTGCCTACGTGCCGATGGACATCCTTTTTCCCACTGGTTGAAAAGAATAGAGGGGTAAACCCAGAGTTCACCAATAGGAACATTATGATACTGAAGATGGTATACCAAAAATGGATAACATAGACAAATCATAATGGAATTCCAGTATTTTTGTACTACTACCAATCTAAATGGTTACTACTACCAAATGGAATACCGGAATACCAGTATGTAACCCCATTTGTTGTTTCTACCTAAAGGCCATGATAAAATGTGTGATCATTCGCATCACAGGCGGCATGGCCCTACAATGAAGTTCGGCTCATCACGAGACTTGTGACTCGTTTGGAACAAAACCCGGATGGCTTGTACTTGGTGGCACCCCAGGCGGTGATGACTCTGGTTCTAAGTAGGGTCGGCCCAATCCATATATATATATAATTATATATATATACATATAAGGTGTGGTACAACCCACTTACTGGGGTGGCTCAAGGGGTATTTCAGTTGGGCAAAGAGCTGGGGGGGTTTGAAGTGTCAGGGGATCAACGAACCACCAAGATCAAGAATCTATTAGACTAAGAGATACTAAAACATGGAGGGGCTTCACCGACCAAATTGGGGATGGGGCCACCAGCACTGGAAAGTTTGCTGAATAGGACTTTAAGCAGTCGATTTGGTGGGGGATACAGTATCCAGTATCCATGTTGAACATGTCAGACTCGCGTTTGCCCGTCGTTCCCTCCTCTTCCTCCTCCTCTCTACCGCCCTTCAATCAACATCACACCAGCATTGTGACACACAGCATTGTCGCACACACACACACACAACTCTGTCACACAATCTTGTCACACATACACACACACACACAACTCGGTCACACTCAACATTGTCACACACACACACACCACTTTGTCATACACGACCTTCTCACACAAACACAACTCCGTCACACACAACTTTGCCACACGGGCGTGGCACTTCTGGCACTGGGCTGGCTCAGGGGGGCCTGGCTTGGTCCGAATTGACGCCGCCATGTTAGAAGTTCATGTCACATCTCCAGCACGGCAGCTTGAAAGAGAAGCAACTGGATTCCATGGTGGTCTAATAGGGTCAATGTTCTGGCTACACACTACCCTTTCACGCAACGTTGTCGCACACACAGCCTTCTCGCACACACAACATTGTCCCACACATGTCATACACAAATCTGCAATACAACACAACCCCATTGTAATGCAGCCAATAACTATGACTTGAACATGTTCCAGGGGGTGGCTCGACCACCAACCAATATTTTGATATGGAGACAGTGACCATTGTCAAACTAGTTTCTTGACACTGCTGAGCGACACCGATACCCGACGGCCGTTGTTGTGTCCAGTATTGTCAGTATTGTCAGTATTGTTGTGCACAGGGGCCAGTATAATACAACATCAGCAACGCTAGTGATCTCAATCGACCATTTTTCGAAACCCTGAATGGGACAATGTGAATGAAATCAGCTGTGGGTTATTTTGCCAATACACCCTGGTAAATTAACATAGACCCTGAAAATCACCAATTTTTAATGGAAACTAGTCTTCCAACCCCTATTTGCCAGGGTTGAACTGTTAATTTACCAGAGGGTAACAATTGAGATTTACCACAGCGATTAACAATAGGCTTACCCCATTGGTTCAACAGTCATGCTACAGTGACATTTCATAGACTGAAATTACTAGCCCACCAGTTCTGAAAACTTGGATGTGCATCCCAGTTTGTGAGTGTTTCATGACTAGTTACTAGTTCACCCAAAGTTTAGTTTTACACGCATTATTCCCAATTATATATATATATATTATATATATATATTATTTGTTGATGCTTATCTACAGGGTATTTATCAAAATTATCATGCCCGCAAAGAATCCAATACCTGTAGATATTCATATCATAATGGTTTTGATGTTGATCCCAATTGTTGTATTGTTGAATATTTCATACCCAAAATTTAAAATCATTCAGTATCCATGTTTGTTAGCCCAAAAAGATATGGTTTCAGACGAAAAAAACAATCACCACCTCCCAGCGATGCTGAGGGGCAAGAGGCCAGCTGTCTTCGGGTAGCACATCTGGGTTTGTTTGTTTTTTTTCCGCACATAGCAACGCCGAAATAGATAATCAAGAAATTGGAAACTTGGGAAGTAGGTAAATATCTGGGAAGAACTGTTCTATCCGGGACCCCTATGAGGTGATTCTGAATGTTGTTTCAAATGGTTTGATCAAAAAATTGGGGAATCTATAAGGAATTGTTACTCGATTAGGTTTTTATCATTGTTGCTGTCACTTTTGAGCAAATTCAAGGTACGGAGAGCTGGGAAAATTTTCATGGATAATTTTGTTAGCCGATTAATCTGGGATACACAAATTGGGGAAGGGGAACCGCAAAATGGGTTTATTTTTGGATGTGTTTGGTTGCTTTGACAGGGACAAAAATGAAAAACATTGGATCAAAGTTCAAAAAAATATTGTTTCAAAGTTCAAAGCGATTAACGTACAGAGCTGGAACCCAATGATGCCTGTTTGCGAAGGCGCTATCCAGCACAAAGGACAAAAACATCCAGAGAGGAGTCAAGCAGTTGTCAGATTCTTATTCCCATGTCTTCCCAATCATAGTTTATTGGTCCTTGGGATATCAGAATGTATGTGTGTATGGATGATGTCACTAGTCACTAGTGTACTTGGATGGCCCCCCAAAAAAAAACGACCGCTTTGTTTTCATTGGAGGGTTCTCTTTTGATGGCAGATTCTTACTAGGTAAAACAATATTGTCATACACTATGTCTAGATTTGTCGGAACATGTGTGATACCCCAAAAAGTAAAAATTGAACGGAGAAGATCATGGTTCCTCCTATATTGGAGTTGTATCTCCAATCACGGTGCAGCGCCCCACAACAGCGGCAAGTCAACCCAGTTGGACAAGAAAACTTTCCACGCTGCTTCGGTCACAACCGGCGACAGATTTAGAGACGCGTCACCGATTGACAGAAAACGAAGGAGCCAGATCCTCACAAGGACAGCGAACCGAAGCGAACGTTTGAGGCGCAAAAAAATGCCCACACGGCAACTCTTTTCTCAAAGAACCTGCTGAGAGAATCGCAGGGGAAGCTAGAAAAGCTAGATAAGAATGTAAAAACATGTAAAGACATGTTAAAACATCCAGGAAGAAAAGGCACGACTCAGAGGCAGCATCGAAATGTTTTGAAATGGAAATGTGGACGAGGAAGCAGAAAGGAGCTCTTCCTCTAGAAGGTTGACGTACTGAGACCATGATTATATGAATCACAACATGAATCACAAACAACCAGAGATTGCCAAACAAGAAGACCGCCGCACGGCCGCACCTAAATAGATTACCCTGAATTGATTTAACAACTTTGGGATCTGACTTACACTGCCATGATTTGATTGCAACCTGCACAGCGATGGGTGGTGGGTCTTCCCCATTTCCAGGCCGGCTCAGAAGCACCATGACGAGATGGGCTCTTCAGCTGATGCCTCAGAGGGTCACGCCGGATGTCTGAAGATAGGGCGCCCAAAATCTCATGGATCATCATCATCATCATCATTATCATCTGCTTGGGGGTTAAACGGTTTAAGTATTTATTGTTGTCCGACCTTACCTGGCATGATTGGTTGACATTACTTATTTTCTGGGAGTGGTGAAAAAACGACCGGCCAGTAATTCACTCCATTCAATTTTTCCATGTCGGGGGATGTGTCACTGACAAAACGATGGTTTTGTTTTGTCTGAAGATACGGGTTGCCCTACATCCAATTAAATTAGTTGTTAGAAAAACTCATGTACTATATTAAAATGGCAATTATGGGTATACCAAATTTTCAGACAAAGCCATGTTTGGATTTGGATATGGGTGAGATCATTAGATACATTTGGATACCCCATTCAAGAAGAACGGAATTTGTGGTCCCCAAGGGCCTGTAATCTGGACATATCCGGATTTAATAGACATGAAACCTCAACAACAGTGTCCCTCTCCTGGTGTTGTTGATTCCCTAGTATCTCATGGTTGACTCGCTGCTCTTTTCGTTCGTGGGCAATGATACTGAGTTGAATGGAACATGTTGCGGGAAACATTTGAGTTGCACAACTAAACGAAACAGTTTTGTGTTATTTCGTCGCATTTTTTTTGAACTCCGGAATCGAAACAGTTTTGGTTCAAAAAGTTCAGATCGCCCATGGCCCCTTGTGGGTCGATACTCTATGGACAATCAATTTCAATCCTGGATTAGGAGAAAGTAGGAGGGTAGGCCCAACAAATGATATGAAATGATTATGGGCTGCAATGACACCCGATCAAAGATCGCTTTCGACAGCCAGCGGGCATCCAGGGCCCAAAACTTTGCCTGTCTAGGAGCAGAAGACCAGTTGGAACCTCATCGTCAATGCCTTGGAACGTTACAACAAGGTGCCAGGGGCTGGAAGAGGACTTGCTGTTGCACGGCAAGGAGTTATTTTTGAGATATGGGTTTGTTTGAAAATGGACGGAACCAAGAAATATGGGATATGATAGGAACATAGATATATGATATACCGAAATGCATAGGCAGGAATATGATATATTTGCAAAATGATGCAAAATAGCATGTGTGTTTTGATTGGGAAGCTGGTGCTAAATCGCTGGATTCTGGTACCAGACAAACCGATAGGCCCATATGGAGAGATTGCCTGTTAGTGGAAACGGACAATCCCATACAATTTCATCATTATCTGTCGAATCTTACCTTGGTTACATCCGCATTTCTTATTGGATCATTATGCAACATCTTTCAATTTTGGGTGGTGAAATTTCATGAAATTTCCCCCCAAAAAAGGACCCACACAGTTTCTGGAGCCGCAGGCGACTCCCAGTTGCAGCCCCAACGCCTTTTGGGTCCGGATGCTCTGGGCTTGAGATGGATCAGCCTCGGACTTGTTGAGATCAGAAACCAAATCAAGCAATTGAAGTTGAAACGGTTTTAAAATGTGGGATCTATCCATCTGTCTATCTAATCTATCTATCTATCTAATCTAATCTGATCTAATCTAATCTAACCTAATCTAATCTAATCTAATAAAATCTAATCTAATCTAATCTAATAAAATCTAATCTAATAATCTAATCTAAATATCTTATCTTAATCTAATCTAATCTATCTATCTATCTATCTATCTATCTATCTATCTATCTTATCTTATCTTATCTTATCTATCTATCTATCTATCTATCTATCTATCTATCTATACGTGTGTATATACATATATATATATACATATTAATTAGTATATATATATACAATTATATATATGTATACAAATTAAATTATTGGTATGTAAATGTGTGTTTTAACTTTCCATAAACTCACCTCAAAATTAGCCGAAGGTGGAAGGGCCCCTCCATTCGACGCGCTTACTGGGAGGATCATCTTCACTTCGTATTTGGTCGATATTTGCAGTACCAAAGAGTGAACCAACTGGTGGTATAGCAGCTTTCATTAGGCTACAACCATGATACCATGCTTGTTTATCATCTACTGTTAGTGGGATGATCCTCCGATTTGCCAAGTCGAGGTTATTGGAGCACCTGGAAGTGGAAAGAATTGCCTCATGTGTCGAGTGATCATGGTGCGGGGCTCAGGTGCAGAACGTTCATGTGTCAGGTTGGGAACTACACACGGGTTATATTCATTGTGGGGGTACCAATAGTGAGAATGACGGCCAAATAAATTCTTGATTCGTACCCAATTCTTTACCGAACATGTTTTGTTTATCGCAGGGTGAGTGTAAGATTGGCTATTCTTTTGTTTTTGTTTGGCTATATATGATATGATGATATGTATATATATATATATACACATTATATACATGATATATAATGATATATATATATATACGTATATATAACATTATATATAACATGATATATGTGCTTATATATATAACATTGTATATCTAACATTATATATATAACATGATATATATATATATATATAAATAACATGATAGATACGTATACATATATTATGATATATGTATAATACATATATATATATGATATATAAATACATATATATATATATATGCATGTATAATATATATAATATGTATATATATATATATACATGTATAATATATATATATATATTCTATGTATATCTCATCAATAGTTTGAATTTGTTGTGGCTCTTCCCGGTTTTCAGTCGTAAGACATGCTTCAGGACAGTGTCTCTCGCTTTGACAACCTGGTGTTTGCTGCCTCAGCTGGGTAATTCTTTCGAGTTGGGGCGTAGCCAAGGGACCCTAGGACCCTTGGCAGGCCATTCTTGGCATTAAGCCATCGATAACTATCCATGTGTATCCATGTTTGGGGGGTCAGAAATTTTCAGCCAACTGCCAAGTGTCAAAAACTTGTGTACGAACACAAAGCCAAACATGACTGGGACAGTTCCTGGAACATATTGTAGCTACCCCAGGTATCAACTGTGAGTTTCATGGGGGTTCAACCAACCCCAAAAGTTCAAAAGATCTATGCCTGTTGGAGTGGTTCGGTTGAATCCCCATGAATTCCAACCATGACCACGTTCCAAAAGGACGATATGGACATGGATGGAAATCCATCAAACCATTTTTTTTCAGGGTATGAACGTCTATAAATAATCATAAATCCATATAAATCGATTTTTTTTTGCCATGCGATTGTGAAATCCCGGGCAGTCCAAGGGCTTAAAATGACCCATCCCCCATCTCGGCCTCGCGCATTCTGAGGCCCTTGCGCTTACCGATTATGGATTTGGTGAAGCGCACGGACCAGGCAACTTGAGATTTTCACCCCTTGTTTCGTCGGTAAAAAAAACATCTTTTATGGTGGAAAATAACCATTTTTAAAGGTAAATCTATGTATAAATATCATCTGACTATGGAAATAGTGGATATGATATGATCATATATGTGGGTTTGTCAGAAAAGTGGGGATACCCACAAATAGCAATTTTGATCGGGGGAAAATTGATGATATATTCCATTAAAATATTACGGACACTATTTTCAGACACACCCATGTGTTAAAGCTACTGACTGCAACCTGAGGGTCTTGACGACATGCATTGACCATAGATTCCTTTTGTTATTTGCATAAGACTTTCCATTCAGCCAGGGGGTTCTGGTCTTAAAACAGAGGATGTTGCCGCCCAATCACTGAACAGGTGATGTACATATGTGTATGCGTCTATACTGTGTTCGTAGTCTTGACAACTTCGGTAGCCATTGATCGATTAGACAAAGGCCCGAGAAAACCTGTGGTGGTCAAAGAGTTAATGTAGGTACCCCGCCAACCACTACTTTAGCATGACGCCAAGATTGCATATGTTTTTTGTGAATGCAAACCCTTGTGTTTGTTGTTTAAATCCATACTTTGTTGGTTGACAAGTTTACAGCCCCACTTATGTTGGTTACAACACCTACCTCTTCGTGTGGCTTAGGCCATATTTTTTCTTTTTCACAGTTCAAGCCCAGTTTTTCCGGTTCCTAAACCTGTTGGAACTCTTTGTTCAACCCCTACATGTTGTTCTGAAAATGATCTTTTTTGTCGGAGACACCCCCTGATTCATGTTGCCTTTAACTCATCCATTGCAGATGCCTGAGCGGGATCAGAGCTCTGCATGGGGCCCAGTGGAATCGTTTGGTGGTCGGACTGGTCGGAGACGGTTTTCTCCGTCAGTGGAAGCCACAAAGAATGGAGCATGGTCGGGCCTGGTCAAAAACGGAGGATTCAAATTGATTACCCTCTGGTAATTTAACATAGCTATTGAAAATCACCATTTTTCATGGGAAAATCCACTATAAATGGTCATTTTCAATAGCTACGTTAAATTACCAGAGGGTATGGGGTTTCATTGATTATGGGCTTTAATTTATTGATCCCAATGATTCCCCATTCAAATGGAGCATGGTGATATTCGAGAAGACATCATTGGGGACTTTGCATGCTTTCACCATGGGGAATCATCAAGGGATCTATAGATTTGAAAAATGGTTGATGATCATATCGTGAACACTTGCCATTTAATCGTGAACACATATGGGTATGGATCAATACCTATTAATACCATTTTTAGGGGGATGAACATCCATTTACCAGCTATTTTGATGTGAACTACAGGGGTACAAGGTTTTGACACACTGCCATATTGGTTGATGATATTTATTCGGCCAAAGCATTGGTTGGACATGTTTTTTTTGGCTTGAGACTGGCGAGGTGGGTTTGGGGATAAGTCAGATTCATGGGCTGGGGAATCATCCACAAGTGCTCTAGGATTGGTTGATATTTGTTGCTGGGTTATACATATCCACTAAAAAATGTCAGCTTTTAGCAGGGCGTCAACAAAGACCATTCAAGTATCTTCAAGTGATCTTCCCTGAAATTGGTCTGCTGAAGACTGAAAGAATAATGACATGACCAATTCTATGGGTCGTTTGGCATTCAATGTTTGATCCATGCCAACTTGTCCGAACATCTGGGTTGCAAGTCCTAGCATTTCACACATTCAGGGGAAGATTGGAGGTTGCAACTCAATAAACAAAATTCCTGGGAAACATACACTGCATGAGGAAAGTATCCAGTCATGGAGATATATAACGTTGCAGGAGTCGATGCCTTGAGCTACACCTTGAGCTCGTTAATCATCCTGGCCTGAAGGACCTGAAGCTGATCACATGGCAGGTACGTCACGGTGAGCAGCCGTGATATCCACACGGTGGCCGCTTCGTTGGACCATCGCCGCTCACAGTGGATGGTCCCCCTGCGTGTTGTTTCAAAGATTGAAGCACAGTCTGAACTGCATGTGACTAGCAGTTTACACTTACACTTACACTTACACACACACACATGTGCAAACAACCCAACAATTTGCACACATGAGGCTTGTGAGATAGTCTTATTCCCCAATCTTCCCCAAGGAGCAGCGCCAGTCCTCGGCCTTTGGGGCCATGGATTGACTCTTCCCATCTTGTCATGGAACAGACAGGGTCTCGTCAGACTCAGGAATTTTGCATCCCAAGGTTCAAGAATAATAGTTATAATATATTACACACACATACATACATACATACATACATACATACATACATACATACATACATACATACATACATACATACATACATACATACATACATACATACATACATACATACATACATACATACATACATACATATATATATACATATAAACATATATACATATAAACATATATACATATTATGTCATGATATCATACATATACATATATATATATAGGCATAATATATATATATATAGGTATAATGTATATATATATACACATGTATGTATATATACGGTCTTCCTTCATTCACGACAATCTTAGTTTGCGTGTCTTGATTGCGTGTCTCCCTTGTCCAATCCAAGGTCCAGACTTGGTTTGACAAGTACATGCGAATTCTCTTTGGTGAGGTGTGACGGGGTACCCGCAATGCTGGATGTGGGGTTCCAAATTTCCAGGCAAAACACATACCCTTTAAAGCCGGAACAACAGAACTGGACGTTTATGTGGAAAGAGCTGGGATGATGCTAGATATGGTCAGCTCTATCTGATTGTGCAAGTCCTGTAGGTCCTGGGCTGCCAAAACAGCCATGACATTTTCGTGATTGCGCCGTGATTGAGCGATGTCAACCAGATTTATGCTGCGATAGAGGCACAAAAAGTTTGAACGTTGAACTCAAAAACAGTTTTCCCATCCATCCACCATGGAAAATCGATCAAGATCATCAAATCATTGCAAACATAGCGACTGTTCAATGCACTGGTGACCTGTTCCTCGCAAACAGACCAACGTTTCCCTGAAATTGACCACCTCACGGTGTATCACACCTCCCATTTTTCAAAATTGTGGGAGCCGCAATGGACCTAAGCAGGACACCCCTCGGTACAAGATGATGAAGATGGCCATTGCCATGAGACGTGCGCGGCCATGGGGCCTTGGGGATTTTCCGTTTTTCCCCATGAATTCTGTTTGACATCAGAGAAAATCTGGACCACTGTTTATTTGTTTGTGAATTTCCGGAAGGCCTAGGTCAAGGGGACCCTCTTTGTAGTCACAGCCATACCGCTTGTTGTTGGTGACTGATTTGGCTATGACGCTAATCACCCATTTGGATCCCCACACCCCAAAGAAACACTGGATCCCACTGGTTTAAAAAAAAATGGATACGGATCAAGTTACCTATGAAATATCAGTTTCGGGATAGGTGAACAATTTTGAACATCCATTAAAGTCCCTATTTGAACATCCATATAACATCCATATAACATCCATATAACATCCATGAAAGTCCCAAATTACAGGCCATTTTGGGCAGTTTTCCTGGTTGCGGTTCTCAGGTGCCCTGCTGCTCTTCGAAGGCTTGGATGCGGCAGGCAGCGTTACGGAGGCAAGGATCATCGCGAGGATCACAGTGGATCCAACCGGGAATTGGGTGGAAACCATAGTGCCATAGTTAAAATCCATTGAACTTCCATATATGGGATTACTCCATTGAATAATTCAGTGGGCTTACTAACCAGGGTTATTCATCAGACAAAAAAACTAAGTAATGGGTATATCTATATGGTAATAGACACCACAAGTGGGATATATCCCCTATACTTACGGTTATACTATTAGCCACTTAAGTAGCCACTAAAGTTACACCCAAACATTGATTGGTTATGATACACGACATTACAGTACACGGTTGCACTACCTGCTTTACTGGGGATCATGAACAAACGCACAGCTAGCGGGATACCAAACCGGATTTAATTGGATTGGATAATGTTTCCCAAGTTGCAAATGTTTTGAAAGTTGGCTGAAAGTACCAACCTATCAACCTGAAACCTTTGGTGGCCAAGATCGAAGAGGGCCAATCATGTTATGTAAGTTTATGGGCATGAACATCTGTAATCAGCCAGGTGAATCTTCTGCGGGGAACACTGTAACCCCATACCCCGATGGAACGGATTTCTGCTGGTTTACCAACCCATTGTTATGAACTTGAGGCCCCAATTGTTGTCATGGGTTGCTCAAGATTTTTTCCTATGGAAGTACAGTATCGCAATGTATCGCATGTGTTTTTTGCATGTTTTTGCTGTTTTATGGAAGTATCTACTGAAACTACGTTTTTTCTTTAGGACATCTCAGGTTAACCATGGCCTCATTAGGGAGGTGAAAGCATAACAGCAGGGTCCCAGCCAAAAGGATGGTGGGATTGAAGGATCTCACAGTTACCGGATGAGATTCAGCATCAAGCGACATCAATCGACATCAACATATCAACAACACAAAGTTGGATGCTTCCACCAGTTAATTCTTGAGCTTGCTGAAAAATCACCATCTCATCCTGGTGTTCCAGGTCCCCCGGCCAGGCGGTGAAACTGTTGATCCAAGGCTTTGTGAAAGATGGGCACTTTGTTCTCATGACTTCCAGGACAGCGGTCGCTTTTTCCCGGCTGAAAGGCGTTTAAACCGCATGTTGAAGAAGGTTATCAGATGTTATAGAGACTACCCTCTGGTAAACGTTTACATAACTATGGAAAATGACCATTTTCAATGGGACAATCCACTATTTCTATGGTCATTTTCAATAGCTATGTTAAATTACCAGAGGGTAATATGACTAATTATGACCAGGGTCCAAACCAAAGAGTTTGACGATTTGTGGTTTGAAATGAATTGTTTGCTTAAATTGAAAGTGTGTCAGTCATTTCTTTTGAACTATGCCAGGAGAGAATAGATCTCCATGTGTTTTCACGTGTGTTTGTTTGTTTGTTGACGGCAGGTACAGTAGCCACCCAAATCCAACAATACCTGTCTAGATGTGAATACCCGTGAATATCCGTGATATATCTATGTATTCAATCAATCTGGTATATGATGCATATTAAAACATGCTACATGGATCAACATGGTAGTTACTTCAGTTCATGATATCTGTAGCTAGTTGATATTTTGTGCTGGAACATTTACCAACAGTTACCCCAATATCAACAAGTCATGGGCATGGGTTTATATATATATATACATATGTATCTTGCACCATGGAGCATATGGGCTGATTCATATCCATGTTCTACTTTGCCATGAAATCTGTTGATGTCTCTGGGTTTACGGTGGAAAACTTGATGGACAATACATCCAGTTCTAAACCATCAAAAAAACAGAACAAATCCAACCATAAACCTTGTATATTCATCCATGGCGCATCCATGGCGCATGGTTCACAGGCCACTGCCACCAAATATGATGAATCTGGAGGCGAAGAGCTGGGGATGAAGAGCCGGGTGGTAGAATCGACCACTATTGATATTACCATCTCGTTATTTAACATAGCCATGGAAAATCCATTTTTAATAGGTAACCCATCTATAAATGGATCATTTCCCATGGCTATGTTAAATAACCAGAGGGTAATGTGGTTAGAACAATAATAAACCATCCATGAGTGGGAATGGTTTATACCACCCATTTATTTGGGGATTTGGGGGATGGTTTATTTTTGTTTTAACCACATTACCATTTTTCCAGATGATATGTCAGAAACTATGGCACATAAGTGTCCGGGTGGGGATCACTCGAAGTAAAGTAATTTTCATTATAACTATTGATATTACCATTATGATTAGCAATATGATTGAAAGTGATACATTATTTCATATGGAGTTCAGTGATATCCCACTCTTTCCATAAGGTGTCATACCTATGGTGAAAGGACTGAACTGGACCGATGATCATCAGAATTTGGATCCCCATATGAATAAAATATGGGGAATTCCCATGTCCAAAAAGTCACCCCCAATGTCGCAAGTGAAATGCCACAATTGTTGAAAAACCATTCGCTTATACACTCTGTATGTATATATATATATATATACAGTGTATGTATATATATATATATATACACATGCATGTTCATTGTCACTTCATCACCACATCTTTACTGGTGAAATGTCTATGTTCAACCGTACAATCTACTGCTGATATGAACATGAACATGGAAAAAAAGACAAAAACACAATGTACCTCTCATATCGAATGGCTTAATACCAGAAATTACCCAGATCTCGCTTTTTTGGCATTAATCTTTGATCCATACCCACATGGCTACGGATCAATACCTATAAAAATACAATTTTCAGGTGGATGAACATCCATAAATCCCAGCTGTTTTTGAACAGACCGGGGGCTACCATGACCCATGGCCATCATTCGCCGAGGGCATTGCGGAGCATTTGGTGGTCATGGAGATGCAGTTTTTGACGGATGAACAGAAACGCGCCATCGCGTTCCTTGGCAGTGGATAGGATCTAAGCATCAAACATGGCGATTGTTTATGAATACTATGGGAATGGGATTTGAGCATCATGTTTGTTTGTTGTTTCTAATGATGATGCATAGGAATAACAACAAAATTAAACAACAAAAATGGCTGTATGTGGATATGATGAAGATATAACGGGAAATATCTCTGGATCAGTTACAAGACCTCACATTGCGACGGGAAACTGCCATGATGGGAATTGGATTGGGGTAACTATCTGTAAATTATTTTATTTCAGGTGGGCGAATTATTTTGAATTATCCAGATAAGAGCGGTTAATGATATCACATGAAGTTACTATGATATCACTATGTTTAATCATGATGGTGAATGGTAGTAGCACGAATGACAATATGTTTCTGGTTTGGAACTAATCAAATGAATTTGTCCAAAACGGTATACCTCCAATCCACTGTTTAATCATCATGTGTCCTTGTTGAATGCCAGCTGCCAGGTTTAACGGTTTGGGCTTAGATGGTTTTCATCATTTGTCACTAGATGACATCCCAGTAACAACCTATTTTTTAGCAGGTCATCAATGAAGAAGTGGAGTACGAATGAGTTCTTGGCGGAGCGGGACTTCTATCAGACAAGTTGGGATACGTGGCCTATAATCATGTAATATCATGTAATAAACAATGGCCTTCATGTAATATCATGTAATATCATGTAATATGGCCTGATAAGTACAGCCTTACAACCACTTATTAGGCACTGCACCATAGGGCCATGGGGTCACTTGGAGTCACTAGGGTCGTGGCCTCAGGAACCAACGGTTGGGACCACAAGGGCTGCAGTCCTTCAACGCCTTCATTAAAAAGATCCGAGGTGGACCAAGGGTGATTTTTTGGACGGGTATGGACTGGTGAATAATGTCATGGTTTTTTTGTTCAACCATAATGTCATGTTATGTCTGGTAAATAATAATCAATAACTATTGTCATGTGAATAATATCAGGACTCTGTTTGGTAGTTCTTGTTTGTTGTGGTCTTGTTGATGGTTCAACGAGCTAGAACATGCTAGAACGATGATACAAGAAATAAATATCAGGTGATTTAAGCATTCAGAATCAAGATGAATCAAGAAACATATAGATTGTGATTCCACATGTTTCCACTTTCTAGATATCAACATGTCTATTGGATGTTGAGTTCTGAACAAGACGGCGATGTTTTCATGTTCTCAGAGTTTGTCCTATTGTCAGCAGATGGCTAGAGATGTTAGGGTATGTTCCTAGGTTCGTAGATCAATATCACTATATTCCTAGATGGTTGAAGTTTGCCTCATTATGGTGATATTAATTTTTCGGAATCTAGGAATACGGTGATATTGTATGTAACATATAATAATATATATATATTATTATTAATTATTATTATTATTATTATTTTTATTTTTATATTAAACATATTCCTCGGTGTTTTCCAATTCTTCACTGCTTTTCAGGGGCCACCAGCCGTGATCTCCGACTTTGCCAGGCGAAAGAGGTGAAGAGGCGAAAGGGTGTCATCATGGCCACGGCGGGATTTGTTCCAGCCGTTGGGGTCCTAAACTTTGCCACGATATCGCCGGGATGTTGTGATGCCTGTTTCATGTAACCATTGCCGGGGTACCGCCGCGGGCTTGGGGACACATAGACTCGACCCATGGGGTTTGTAACGCCACTGAAATGTCAGATAGCCCCCTGTGATTGGAGCATTTTCAGAGTATGTCTGTTCAACACCATTGATGACTGGAAGGGTTTACCGTTTACCCCATGACCCATCACTGCTACTTCTAACAAGACAATCACTGTAATCAAACGTGGCTAGGTCAGCTAAGGCCTGGTTCCAGGGTTTACTTCGACGATACCCTGGAACCCGTGACCCTGCCAGTTAGGGCTGGTTTCCTCCAACAGGTAGCAATTGTCACAGCCTAGGGGTATTCACCCAAGGATATTTATGAATCGACTTTAAGGCAAGTCTACACCAAAACATGGGTCTACCATCAAAAATTTCGGGAGTTCCTGGAAAAAACATCCAACATCCATGTTTGGGTTATTATATAACCATTAGGAATCCAATGTTTAACCCAAAGATTAAGCAACATGAACGAGCATTAGCCCGCTGTTTGTGATATTGGTTTCATTTATTACCCATTTACCCCCAATTTTCCTATATGGTTTGGTTGGTGGTTTGGAACATTTTTTATTTTTCCATACATTGGGAATAATAATCCCAACTGACTTCCATATTTTTCAGAGGGGTAGGTATACCACCAACCAACATTAAAATGGGATGATGACGGGTTTCCATCATTTTGGGGGTACCCCAAAATGGAGGATTTCGAATGGAACAGCCATCGCAGGCCAATGGTCCCGAGGTGCGCCGGCACCAGGGTCGGTTAGTAGCTGGGTGTAGTTTTTGATAGGTAATATATATATATATATTTAGTGGGATGAACATCCATAAATCCCAGCTATTTTGGGGTTCACTAGGTACCAGGGTTTTGACACACTGCCATATAAATGTCACCATGTTGAATAGTAAAACATGATCTTAACTATAGAAATAGTGGGATAGAATGAAACTGTTAATACATGTTAGTGACTTGGTTAGACATCTTCGAACTAAGAATAGTTAATACTTAATAGTTAGTAATTATAGTTAAGTTAATAGTTATTTTACATGATTCCAATGATCGATTTTTTGGGTGTGTCAGAAAATGTTGCATACCGTACCCGCAAATGGCTACGAGTTAATGACGAAAATGATGAGAATCCAATGGATTTAGGGCTACACTATTTTCAAGAAACCCAAATGTTGGTAACCTGGTACTTGGTTGTTAACTGTGGTTAACAGACTGTTCTCTGATTTGTTGGCGCTGATTCCAAGTTGTTTTTGTGTCTTATTAGATGCTTAGTAATGTGGTAGGGACAATCAAAATCCATGTCCCCCATTCAACTACCTAATTTTAGCATTGCGGGGGATGTTAAAATCATACCTCCCCAAAGTTATTTGGTTTATCACACTATTTGGGTTCTACAATTTTCTACAATACATGACCTGTAAAACCATCATGTCTTGTGACTCCCCCATCGACCTAGCCATGCTTCCAGGCAAATTTATTTATGGCCATTTATAGCCGCATTATTTCATATTACATATATGTACATAGAGATGATATACACTTTGATATTTGTTTTTATGTCTTTTGATATAGATATGCATAATGTGTGTATCTATGTGTTTTGTATGCATTTTATCGGTTTGCATTGCTGTTGTATTGTATAGTGTGTATATATATATGTGTGTGTACAAATGAAACTGTCTATTGCACATGAATTCGACTTCAGTTCCCAGCAGCTCCGAAGGATCGCAGCGAGGATATCTTCGGAAACCCCATGATGCTTAGTTCCTGGGCTTGTAGGCAGGAATGGCATTGGCATTCTCATGGGGGAGTTTCCATACCAGGTGGCTTGTTGGGGGGAATTGATACAATCGGTATTAATTTGTTTTTATGCATTTTTTGGGATATCTATATATATATATACATACATATATGTTATATACATAATTATATACATGGCATATATATATATATATATAACTTAGTCCAATGAAGTATTCATAAGGATAGGCCAATAATGATAACTTAAACCAATGGGATGGTCAGATTTGCCCAAGACGTGCTGGTCGTGGGTTTTTTAGCCCAATTCCAACGGTTCCAATGTCGTTTTGTTGCCATTTTTTAGATATTTTTTGAGATTCTTTATTGCAAAAAAAGGGCAAAGATGAGAAACATATTCCAAGTATTTTTGAGATCATTAAAATTGAGGCATATTACACATATTACACATATATACAGAATTTTTGGGACCCAAGTATGAGAGGTCTTAGGAATCCATCTGAAAGAGGGAAGAAATTGAGAAGGTTATCCCAAAGAGTTTGATTCGGGGGTAGTTTGGGGGTGATAACACCATGGTGCAAGACTTACTGCATCGCCTAAACGTCGACCACCAATTTATGACTTCGTAGGCAAAGGATTGCTGAAACCAAGCAATTTTCAGGGTTGCCAGCCCAATATCGATGGGGGCAATCAATAAAAAACGAGGTATATGCAGGAAGATGGAAATGATATGGGCCCACTGATGCCAAGACTAGCTGGTGACATTGCTAGCAAGTATGTGCTCAAAAGCATGAAGAACAATGCAAGAATGCGGTGCCCACATGTTTGAAGTTTCCCAAAATGGGAAACCCCAAGATGATCCAGTTGATTGGTCATTTTTTGTACACCATTGCTTTGGAACATCCCCCCATTTTAAGGAGCTTGAGTTTGCCTGGAGTTGCTAAGGAGGATCCACCATCTGGGGAATCTATTAGGGTTTTGTCTTGTGTTTTATGGCCCCCTGAAGCAACTTTTGTGAATCCCTTTTCTATCAAGACAACCCATTATACTGAATATTGCATGTTTTGAGGTTTGGTTGGTTTGTTATTATTTTTGCTTCGTTTGGTTTTTGAATGGTGTAAGTTCTTTTTCCAGATGCCCCATGTATACAAATAAACCTGCAAGTATATCAGCTTGCTTGGGCGCTATTCAAGGCTACCTATGTAAAGATGGGGAATCTATCACCAGCTCCCATGTGGTAAACCCACATGACCCATGGACCTAGCTGAAAATTTTCAGAGTCGACCAAAACGGACCGGCCGAGGTATGCTGCTCTGTTACCTCTCACCGAAGGTTCAACCTGTTGGGGCGCCGGTTTTTTGGAATTCTGATTGTTCGATGGTCTAGAAACCTCCAGAATATAATTATGTCGTGTTCAAATGTGTGTTTAATCAAGTTTAATCCAAAATAAAGCGGGGACTGTTTTTGCACAGTGTGTATTCTCTTCGAAGTCTAAGTCTGTCCAACCATTTAAAGAAATAAACTTCCAAAATAGTTGGGTCCCAAGCCTATCTAAATTGGCCAAGAGATTCGCTTACGATTTTTACGACAGGAGAACGAGATGCCTGAGAGGAAACGAAGTTCCACCAGCGAAGACAATTCGAAGGTGGGGAACCTCGGTTGGATCGGATTGCTTCATGTTGGTTATATGTTATAGTCATCAACATATACTGTGTATGTATCAATGTGTATATATATATACTTAGTGTGTACATATATAAACAATTAATTATCAAACAAGTCTGAACATAGTGTACATATTTATATATATATATGGTGTGTATATATATACACATTATATAAAACATATTGTCCTATGGATATCTCCCAAAATCGAGGTGGACTTGATGGCGGTGTATCGGGTCTCCGTCTCTGTGATGTGCGCTTGCCCAGGAACGGTGGAACGGGGATCCCGGGGAGCCGCGAAGCCATGGCGGAGCCTTTAAGGATGTCTTAAGAAATGGGGATTTCTTAAACTGGTGGTACCCCAAAATCATATAAAATCATAGGTTTCAATACTAAAATGGTCTAATTTTGAATGATTTTGAATGTGTTGGGGTACCCCCCATTTTCAAAGACACCCAAATGAGGCTAAGGGGTTCCGAAGTTGGAAAAAAAGGGTAAGGAACTATACTAAGTGGCACTATCTTGACGGTGCTTTACGTGTCCAATCTTTTTTGGAGAACCCCTCTCCAAGCTAGAATGACCTGTACCAGAAATGGTAACCCCGCTCCAAGGGGGGGCACTCTCGGGGATGATTGCTGAAGAATGATTGGTAGTGTTCAGTCAGGATCAATTTTTACACCTAGTTTATTAACAGGGGCCCCAAAGTCAAACTCGAAATTCATCAGGTTTATCACAGGAGCCTTTTTTCCCCAATTGTCCTTCCTTCTGAAAGGGTCTGGGTTCACATTTCCAACGGGTTCACCGTACCGGAGAAGCTGAGGTTGAAGCGGATGCTACTTCAGCAGCAGGTGGGACCATTGGGACCAGTGAGGTCAAAATGGAAGACCGTTAAGGGGACCACAGATGTGAATGTCTAGTGACTAGTATTAACCATCCAATTATTGAGGTACCTAATTTTGACCCATACCCATATGGCACCATAGTTTATTCCAATGGGCTCTTGAGGATCTTCAGGTTTGTTTGTTTTTTTTCCCACATGTTTTGCTTGGTAGTTGTTTATCGATGGACAACCTATGCTTGCGTACTGCATGTTGGTGGCCAAACCTGATTAGATTCTACAAAATGATGGGGCTTCTGTTGCCTTTGGGGAACGAGGGGCATGTGGAAATTCCCCAATGGTAGATCGTTAGCTCAGGAACAAAGGTGGATTTCCGCTTGCCATGTTTGTTTTCGGGCAGGTATGCGATTTGATTGCAAGTTGTTGTCATTGATCATAAGAATCCCATTGTGAAACAATCCCGAGTCCCACCAATCGCCAACAGCTTCTGGAAAATTATTCATCTCTGGCTAATCCTTGCCTTGGTAGGAGAAATGCTGGAATGTATCCCACTAAAAGTACCATGGTATCTTGTGTATCCCACTAACATCCACTAACAGTATCTAAAAATCAACGAAGCGTGCCGGTCATTTTCACTACTGTACATATCATACAATATAGTGTATAACATATTATGTATAATATATATATATAGGTAGATATAGGTAGATAATATATATATAACATAATATTGATACATTGCATATATAATCTGCTTATATTATACTTGGGATAAGCTATGACCATTTTTTCCCTTCACCGCTCGCCCTGGGCGGCCTGGGCAGCCTGGGCTGACAGGCGGATCGCCACATTAAGGAGGATTTGTTGATCGAATGCTCTCGGGTCTTGGAACGCGCCGCCATGAACATGCAGGCGTTCATGGTCCGTACGGGTGGCGATGAGCTGACCGCGATTTAAGTTGTTCTCGAAGATGACCCATGTCCACATTCAGCAGACTGGGAGGATTTGTACATGATATATGTTGCTCTACTAAATATATGACGCATTTGAAATCATTGTGTTATAGTTTATAGTTATATAATAATATATATATATATGATTTGTAAGATGGTTGTGTTATGATCACATGATATCACATGTAATTGCAGAGATCATGACGACAAGGATTGATTGGGATGCCAAAAAGGATTCTAACAGTGGTATTTTGACAGGAAATTCAAGGTGTTCTTCAACTCATGTCATCTTATTTCCAAACTTGGATGGTTTGGTACTGCTTGGAAGGGTATCGCCCTTAGCGACTGCACAGGAAGTGTGATTGCTGCCCAATTCTCCTACTTTCAATGAATGGAATTCAACGGCATATCGCCAGTTTGACAAGGCTAACTAGCTATCGGCTATCCCTAATTGGAAATCTGTGGGCCTTGAGGCTTTTCTTGGTGCCAACGTAGCATTCCAACATCTAAGCGATTGCTAATAATCCAGCAATATCAACAGCAATAGCGCCATTTTTTGATATTTTTTGCAAGACATCCCAGCCGGCTACACCGCTTCCAATGATTAAGAGCAACGAGCCGGGGACCTGCGATGCCAAAAAATCTGACACTTTTTTGGGAACTAAACATGCCTGTCGTTTAGCCCCGGAATCATAGGGAATTTTATTTCGAGGTTCCGTAAAATGGGGGTACCCCCAAATCGTCCAGTCATTAGAAGAAAATAGTATTGAAACCCATGGTGACTTTGGGATCTCCCATTTTAAGAAAGCCCCATACATTACTATATATATATGATTATTATTAGTGTTAATCATTATTGTTCTAATGATTCAGATATTACCAATGATTAACAGACATTTTGCAAAACCAAGAGAGACCGTTGGATCATCCAGGCTCCACCATGTCTCCCACATGTTGATCAGTAACCGCGAAAAAAACCTTTTGTTGAACGTATGAGATAACAAATATGTATAAAAAGGCTAGCAAGTAGTGTATACAAATATAATCAAATATATATCAAAAGCCTTTGTTGATAATAAAGTCACGAAAACAACGTAGTGCATACAAATATGTATAGCAAGTTTCAATCTATATTACGAGATATGGGTAGCAAATGATGGACAATAAGTAGCCAGAATTATGACTGACTGGTTAAACAACAATAAAGCAAATATGTTTTTTTTTACCGCAGAATCCTTTTGTCTATTTGGCATATTAGTTACCCTGAAAGTCAAGTTAGACTCATTTCACCTCCAGTGGCGATAATCCAAAGTGACTCATGGGGATTTTCAGGGATAGTTAAACCATATGAAAAAAAATTGTCTTGTTTTCCTAGGTCATATCGGTCATATCCAGTTTTTGTTCTCAACCATAGGAATCCATAAAACCTGTATATTCATGATGAGCAATTGTTTTATGACCGCTATTAATCGTGATTAACCATGACATATCCTAGGGTAAACCAACATAGATGTGGAAAACCCATGGTTTCCGTACGAAAATGATCTACACATGTTGGGTTTTCCACATCGAACTGGAACTGTTTACTTATATGAGGGTAACCATGGCTACGCTACGCATGTACTGTGGGGTGGAGGCAAAAAAGACCACCGAGATTGATTGCGACGACTTTGAGAAGGCGCCGCACCCAAGGTGTGAAGGTGTCCTAAGCCTACCCGGGGTACCCCCTCATCCAAAATTCGAGCTGTGGAGTATTGAAACCTAGGGTGACTTGGGGATCCCCCATTTCAAAAAAAAACATATCTATCCATATCTCACGAGTTTATGGATATAAGAAATATAGCTGAAAGTATCTCTAGCTGTCAAGATATCAATCTTATGAATATCATGAAATTTGAACTGCTAGATTAGATTGTTAGCAAAACACTTGTGAACCGGAACGCTGCAGGCTAGAACTCAGTGTTTTGCCAGAGGGCTGTCCGATGTCAAACTTCGAGAAATAAGTAAAGGAAGAACACATAGTAATGAAGATATTAAATGAATCAATGAATGTTGAAGTACAGATTTATAACGAATGAATCAGATGTTATAATGATGTTATATTCCTATTTCTTACAACGATTTATAATGCATGTTGATCAGATATTGATATGATAAATGCGTTATCAACTGTTGAAGAAATGTGCGAGAGTTCCATTGGATAATGATCTCAACTCAGTCAGTCTGGATCCATGATTGTTAAGGTTTTTTTCTTACCCTCTGGTAATCAAACATAGCCGTAGCCCGTAGCAATGAAACATGATGTAACATGGCCATAGATAATGGGCATACGTAGGTAAATGATCGAACAATTGGTCATGTTCAATGTATGTTGTTCAGCAGTCTTTGGCCTTTGGTACTCTGGTATTGCCTACAAGGATATACCATCATTTGGCAACATGGTTGTACCACCAAACATTGTCGCAAGCATCGTGATGGTGTCATCCGAGCTTCCAGGAGCTGACCACGGACCTCAAGCCATGTCAGGATGCCAATGGCACCGGTATGGGTAACTGTCGTTAAAAGTTGGGAACCATGACAGCACCATGATGTAACTATATAGAAGTACAGCCGCTGTTTACCATCGAAAAAACCAGGGTTATATCATCGTTTATATCTACATCAAGCTGCACAATCAAGATCTTACGGATACCACCCAAAAGTTTCGCTGGCAATGGTTTGTGGGGCATAAATGGGGAGTTCCATAAATGGGGGATCCCCAAAATCCAAAATGGTTGGTTTATAAAAGAAAATCCTATTGAAATGGATGATAACTAGGGGTACCCCCATTTCAGGAAACCTCCATCTAAGATCAACAATGTCGCAATGTCTATGTCGTTGGGTCAAACCTATAATGTCATTTGTTCAGGGATTGAAGATCCATGAATATATCAATGTATCAGCTCTTTGGGTCTTCATCAGGTTACCAGGGTTTGGAACTATATCCGTATTTCCATCGTTAGGAAACTTTGAGTGCGAGATGTCTCAATAAAAATTCAATGTTTCAATGTACTGTCTCGCAATCTAACATAGCTTTGGAAAGCCACAATTTTTACCAAATTGTAATAGCCGCAACTCACCTACATTGCAGGGCCATTAGCAGCCATAGCAAGCTGTTGGATTACCTTACCAGGTTTGTTGGCGACCCTATCATGGTGTATATATAATGGGTATTCCCATTGATATGTCCATTGGCCATTTGATTGCTATATATTCCCATCGAAAAGTTGGTTGATTCCCATTGATTTTTCAAGGAGGCCTAGTTGAACTATGGATTTTTCAGAAACAGCCCTTTTTTACAATGTTTTTTTTTCACCATTTTGAATTATGATTGGAAATTTCCCATGGATATTCCCATGATGTACCCAGCATAGGTGGATCATCCCAGAAATCCTAAGCTTGGCGCGTCACGTTGGGGTGACCGTTTTATCCCATGATATTCCCACCATATGCCTATGGCATCCCATGGATCTTGGGATAGATGACCACTACTATTTAAGTCTCAAATGGATTCAAGGCTTGTTCTTCTGTAGTTAAATATCCCAATACAAAGCTATAAGTTATTTGATTTATTTTATATATATATATACTATGTATATTATATAATCATATACATATGATATTCACATTCTCGCTATATATATATATACATCACTACATATCACTATATTGCTGCCCCATCCCCATCCCCATGGCCCCATGGCCCCGTTTCCGAGGCTGGACCATCATCCGACAGGCGGTTGAGGTGGGACGTGCCATGCTGCCACTCGGTGATGAATTTCGGGCTTCACTGGGCTTCACCGGGGAAAATGGTGGGTTTTACCATACTTAACCGACTTAACCTGGTAAAGTTGGGGTCTATTTATATATGTATATATATATATACGTACTGTATATAGACACATGGATATCTATTGACCTGATTTTTGGGTACTAGCGGAATATGGTAAAATTTGGGATATATTAATATTAAGCTAAGCAACTAGAAGCTGGAAGTTCCCCATATTCCAAGATTTTACAATATTCCCGACCAAATAGACACAAAGAGCTGAAATGCCGTTGACGAATGATATGCGGAGACAAGTTCAGAATGGGGAAACACAGTTTACAGATCTTTGCAGTCAGTAGATATCAGCCAGAAATCTTGATTTGTCGGGAACATATAGACATATACCATCAAAACTTGGAAAGATGTGGGGAACATCAGGATTTGATCTCGAGACCATGAAAAAATCAACCAGCAACAATGGCAATTTTTGGGAAAACCAGCAGGATGGATAGTGGAAAAAACCGACTAAGGCTATGGTTTTTGCATTTTGATGGGGATATGTTAATGTAACCGGCTCAAAATATGGTTGTTTCTTTAGGTTAGAATTTGAAATTGGCCAAGTTTGGGGTTTGGAAAATATGGATCTCGCCAGCCAAAAAATGGCGGGATGCAACAGATATATTTGCGCCAAACCCCAACTTCGCACACCTCCAAATAACACACCCAGACAATATTACATATTTGCCACCAGAAGGCTGAATGAAAACATTGGCTATGCGCAGCGATTTTGACTTTAGGCTTTCAGAATTTAGGGCTTTAGGTTTTAGGGTCTTGGTGTTATGGGTGTTGGGATTCTAGGGTTTGTGGTTTCAGGGGTTTAGAGTTTGTTGCTTTGGAAAGTTTCAAAAAACACTGACCCGGATTTCTCGGAATTTGATGTCGAAAGGATACAGATGATACAGTATGCGGAATCGGTGCAGGAAACATATTTGAACCATGAAATTTGACATTGGTGATTTCACCAGTGGTTGTTAAACAGTTGAACATAGTTGAACCAACCGATGGGTTTTTTGCGTCGGCTCATTGCCATCTATTGATGTGTTTATTTAGCTGGGGTTTATCAACATTTGGAGCAGGAAAATCATCATGTGCTCCATGTGGAGCAGGAAAATATGGAGAATTCGGGATTTGGAAATGGACTAACCAGCTACATTCAAGTTTGGTTTTTGGGTATCTCAGGGCATGTGATGTGCAATTCCTCCAAGAAATCCACGTGTACATTTCATGTCTCCATTGGATTAATAAGCCCTTAGCCCCCCTCTTAAATCTATCCAGGTAAATAAAATGATGCCGGAACAAACACAATCAAACACATATTGCTGAACAAATCACTGGATTGAAAACGAATACACGTCTAACGGAAAACCCTAACCCCCAAAATTCACCCCCGATGCCAAACCTGGATTATTTTGCGGTTCATGACAGCGAGGATGGCTCACTTTGTTCGGGGTTCATGGGTTGATGAATTGGATCATGACAGACGGGCCATGATCCATGGATTCAAATGATACAGGAGATGGACAAAAAGATCAAACCCTACAGAGGCCTACCAAGTAAACCCCCAGGCCCCAAATTTCAATGTTGCACAAAGCTCTATATAGTTTCCTCTGCGTTAGGGTTTGATTTTTTTGTCCACCGGCCTCAAGCGCGCAGCTTAAAGGCAGCATTGAAATTTGGGGATGCAGGGGCGACAACAATACAGCAGGGGTTTGATTTCATCGTCCATCTACGGTACGTTATATCTATGAGGCTCATAGACTCATAGAGGTTTATTTATTTATGATTATTTATGTATTTATTATTTCTATTATTTATGTATTTATGTATTTACTGTATTATTTCTATCACTATCATTGTAGACATATGTATTATATATATATGTACTACCTCTGTGATCATGGCCTGAGGTTGCGGATGCATCGCGAAGGTACAAGGCGGGTGAACCAAGCAGTTTCGTCCTGCATCGGGATGACAAAAATCGCAATGAGATTGATCTACGGTCATGAAATTGTAGATTTGACAATAGGTGTACGGTCAATATAATATATATATATTATATATATATATATACATATATTATACCAATATAATATATATATATGGTATATATATATAATGGATATACATACCAATTTACACATGAATATTTGCCTATCTCTTTCGGAGTACTGTACTTTGAGGGTCAAGGTCATGTGTTTTGAGGGTCAAGGTGACAAGCTTTACTTGCACATGCTGCATAGCTGTTTAGTTGTTTCAAAATTCAAACATTTGTTCTTCTCTTGGGGATCCTGATCACAACCCACCTCCACTTTTTGAGGGATGCAAGGAAACCCCCCATACTAGCAAGTCATGTGTGGTATACTATACGAAGTTCAGACTGCATCTTTCAGATGATGAAAACCACATGGGGCGTCGCTTGAGATGTTTGACCGGTCACAAGTTTGGAGGCTGCGGGGGTTCATCATGGGGTACCTAGAATGGGGTACCCAAAAATGGATGCTTTGCAATGGAAAAAAAAACATTGAAATGGATGATAACTAGGGGTACCCCCATTTTAGGAAACCTCCAGATCATGGTCTCCGACCACTCCCAGATAACCAGAGGGTGCCCAAAGTATCCAAAGTCCAGAGAGCTCTCTCAGGACGTACATTCGCTTTATGATCAAAGGCTTTCAGGACTATTTCAGTGCTTGCCAGCCCCTCAGGAATCGCAGAGAGCAAGCAACTGACGCCAAAGTCAAATGAGATAAACATATAAAAGCCGCTACAAATTGTCAAGATGCACCCATAGCTGCAGGAGACTGTGCCATTACGGTCCTGTCTCACAGTCACAACAAGCATCAAAGCCAGAAAAAAGGGCTGAAATCGGAACCAAAGCCATGCCCAGAATTCTTGGAGCGCTGCCCACACAGTCGAAAAAAGCCCAGCACTTGAGGTGCCATTAGCAACAGCAACGACATGGATCACTTGCCAAACTACCGTGCTTTGCTGACAGACACCTGGTGGGTCAGCGGCCGAGAGATGTTGACAGGGACGAGGTGTTTTGTTGTGGCTGAAGAGGTAGGCATTTTTGGAGTCCAAGAGTTCATACCCAGAGTCGTTTCTGAAGTCAGTTTGTTTTGTTTTAGAGTTTCTCTTCTTCCACCGTGCATTTGGGTCCCATGGTTGATGTACAATGTACAATAGTTTGCGACCTTGGGAGCCACCAGCTGTTATGATCCCAACGTCCAGAAAGTCATCTCATCACCCTGACAGATCAACACCTGCGTCCCCGGATGGAAGGGTGCTGGCCCATCAGCTTCAGCTGGTGATGTGGTCCCTTGGAAGACTGGGCACCATTCCAACCACAGAAACCCAGCTGGACATTGGAAACATGGCGCGGCCTCCAGAAATGATGGCATCTCGAAGCGACTCAGCCAGGTAAACACTCGGAACTCTGGAATACGAACGGTTGGAACAGCCCTGTGACCAGCCAAAAGTCAGCCAGTTTGGCATGCGTCAATCCAGCTATGCTAAGATTATTATGTCAGGAGAGAACATGTGATTACGTAGCTAAGATTGTTTATGTCAGCTATTAGTAGCTAAAAAGGTTTATGCAGCCACAGCCCAGCTAGCGCTCCATTCGTTTAATTTGATGTCTAGATTGTCTAGATGTGATATCATCGACAGTGGGGTTTAAACCTGTTTAGCCGATTTGTGGTGCTCTAACATGTCAAGTCTCATTTCAATTTTGTAAGATACGCTGAAATCATATAGCGTCATGGATCGAAAGATATCAAAACCTTGGTACTCCGGTGAGATGTTCAACCAGTGTTTCACCAGTGTTGGTATCTTCATACCAAGCGAAACATATGATCGGAACCTATCAAAACTCCGGGGTAGCTGGATGTTCATCTTCAGTTGGTGTCATATGTCATAGGTTTGATCCCACCCCCCCAAGAGTCAAGAGTCGGACTAGATACCCCGATTGGTTTTTGAGTTCCATTCTGTAGGGGTTTTGTAATGTTTTATAATGATGTGTAATGACATAACAAATTATCTACCCATTATAAGGAATCCCATTCATGATGGCGGGATGGCTATATAAACCATATCTAACACACTTATTAATATAATCCATATGATAAACTTATTAATATAAACCATATATAATAAACTTATTGAATAAACGTATTGTACAAGCCCTATATGATGTTGGTACCATAAACCATCTACGATCATATACCATCTTTTGACCATGGCACCTCATGCGTTTCTGAGGCACAGATGCTGGACATGTTGGCACAGGCCTGTCCTCACAGGGCATGGTGAAGTGTCACACTGTCCATCCCATGTTTTTTACTTTTGATTCCTGTTGGGTTTTGCATCCACACACTTTGTAAGACAATAAATATCAATCACACACTTTCTGACACAGCTAAATGTGTGTTCTACTCGCCAGAAGATTCACATAGACTCACTGAATGTTGCGAAGATTGACCCAGAGGGTCCAGGTACGCCGCACCGCTGCCGCTGTGACCGCTAGGCATGGCCGAAGAAGTACGTGCAGCTGATGGAGCGGAAGATTGGTGAGTTCAAGGTGCGTTCCGAGAATGAAATGCTGGATGGGTCAAAATTGGGTACCCTGAAAAATGGATAAAAATGGATGGTTAAAATGGGTGGTTAAAATATGTTAAACCTAAAGATAGACGAAAATCTGTGGTCCCCTGAGTCTGAAGAATTTTGAGCCAATCCCAGGATTCGATCTTCAGCGACTTCCGGGAAGTTTATACCGAATGTGGAAAACATCGGGATACAAAAATATGGGTATGGGTCAATACCTATAGATACATTTTTAGTGGGATGAACATCCATTTACCAGCTATTTTGGGGTTCACTAGGTACCAGGGTTTTGACCCATTCCCATATACAAAAATGATGAATTTTGATGAAAATTGGACAGATCAGGATTCGAAAATTCCCCCAAGGAAACATTGGTTGGGGGTCAAACCTCCATGCAAGATGATATGGTAAAGCTTTATTGCCATAATAAGCATACCGAGTTGACAAAAAAAAAGTTGCCATTTGGGAGGCAGAGCTAAGTCAAAACAAATATATTCAATTATATATTACTTACATTACATTTTTATATTATATACATATTATATATCAGAAAACACCATAATATGTATTTAAAGATTGATGATTGGCCAATTTATTTGTTAGCAAAAACCATATGCAATCAAAACAGAGTATTCGTTCACCACCTCAGAATGGTTGGTGAGACTATCATTTGAGGATAACTGGAAACGGACTGGTTGGGTTAAGGGGTTTTTAGGCTATTTATCCATCAATTGATAACACACATTGGGGGTTGGCAAACAAGTTAACAACATATGGGGTGTAGCCGTACCACCTTCAATCCGACCGGATTCCCCCCATGATGAACTGCCATTCATGATGACAAACTATGGGTTTTGATGGGTTTTCCTCAGATTTTGCCCCATTTTGTAGGTACCAAACCATCCAAACCCATGCGTCCCTGTGTCCCAGAATTGGTGTAGAGAATCTGCAGGAAATTCCAAGCAATTTCAACCATGGCAACCATGGTTTCTCGTTTCGATTTTCCTTGGAAAACCAATCCACGTTGAGCTCGACGTCAGGATCCGGATGGCTCCTACCTTCATCTCGCAGCCAAGGAAGGCGAGAAATGTCCGGACTGAAATGGATTATGGGGATAGAACGGAGATAGAATGGAACATACAACCACAATTGAGATAGTGAGCCATCAACAGTTGGGATTTTATATGGTGGACATGGATTTGTCTAACAATGGGCGGCTACCCCAAAATGGTGTTTTTCAGTATGCGAAACATTGCAACCAATCCATCAAGGGATTGGGGGTAGCTAAAAGACGATGATGGTGATGATGATGATGATGATGATGATGATGATGATTGTAGTGGTTTATGAATGTTTATTAATGGTTATTAATTAATGGTTATTAATGGATGATGATGAAAATAGCATGTGGTTCTGCTAAGCAAACGGTGGTTTCTGTTTCTCTGAAAACCCTCCGGGGATCAATCATGGCAACGGAAAATCCACCGAACAAAGGACTACCCTCTGGTTATTTAACAGTTAGCCATGGAAGCCATGGCCCATAGAAATAGATGATTTTCCCAGCTAGAAACCTCCATTTATGAGGGATTTTCCATGGCAACGGTTGATGATCCGATTCTCCATTGCCATGATTGATTTCCAGAAGGTAGTTACTTTTTTTGGTCCCTATAAATCCCATTTGGGTTGGTCAATAGGGCAGCATCCAAGGGATGGAATCTCATTGTCCACATGAAGTTGCCAAAATCGAGGGGTACACCCCATCATTGGACAATTCCAAATATATCCAAATATCATATTGTTGGTTGTGTATAGCCCGTGATCTTTCATTATATATCTCTGCATGATATCAAGTTTATCCCGCTACATCCCATCATATCCCATCATATCCCATCATATCCCATCATACCCCATCACATCCTATCATATCCTATCATATCCTGCTAAACCAAAGGTTTTTAGACAACCCCACAGTTTGTCTCTTTCAGCTCCCGCAAGGTCATTTGCCAATCTTCCGTTTGGTGCGCCTCTTCTCTGACTCCAATCAGGCAAGAAAAAGTGCTGCTGAACCAACCCAAAAGGGTCATTTGAGCAAATGAGAATAGGACATTCTCTAGGGACGTTGAAATATGTTGAAATGATTGAGCTTGTTTTACCGCAATGTTTGACTTCCTGGTTTCAAGATTCCTTTTGTGTCCACTTCTGTTTCAAACTACGGTCCCAAGCAGCTTTCACACTTTTGACATGGGCGACTCAACTAGAATATGTACACAGCTAGGAGTTTCAACAAATTTTCTGATATTTTTGCATTCCCCAAGCCGCCTTCTGTTTGTCTCCAATGTCTCCATTTTATCAAGGAAAAACAGTATCACGTTTGCTGGCGATGTTTCATTTTTTGGATGAAATCATGGCTATATGTACAATGTGTTCAATCGACTTCCCATTTTTCTGCCTGACATCATCACTGAGTGTTCTCTCCAAATAAACCCTGAAAATCATGATGTTCAATCCCCCCGAAATTGAAAGAGGAGCAAAACACGTTTCAAAACGTGGTCGTGTACATGTTTGATATGTTTGTTTTTTGAGATCTTGAGAGTAAAAGTTAATTCCCCGAGTGTTCGCCTGGCAGGTTCAGATTCGTGCCGCACGCGCCAACGATCTGATGACGCCGCTGCATGTGGGGCGCTCGGCAAATGTGTCGAACGCCGCGCTGATCCAAGGGAGCTACATGGGAAAATCATGGTTGGTACCCTCTGGACTCACAGTTGGCTACGGAAACCATGGCCTGTTTAGTGTGAATTTGATGATTTACCATGATTTACCTGTGAAAAATGGTGACTTCCCGTAGCAAATGATCTCCAAAATGAGCTGAGGTCAACTTGGTGAAGTATGGCATATATATCCAGGTGTTTCATGGGAGAAATAGCTGGTTTAAACATGGTTTAAGATAATTTAAGCATCGAAATGGGGACTTCCACCAATGAAAAACAATGAGAAGTTTATGTGAGAGTAGCTGGATTTTTTTTTAGTTGCTAAATGCTCAATGTAATTTTGTATTTACCAACCTGCTTTTACCCTGAAAGTAACCGCCAGTGAGGTATATATATATATATATAGTAATAACATGTAATCACAATATAATGATAATCATATTATCAATATTGTATATATGATAATATATATATAATTACAACTATTACATATTTATATATATATATTATGTATGTATATATATATATACATTCTGGGTGTGCCTGAAAATGGAGCATCCCCCCACATTGCTGTGGGGAAAATTGTCTCCGCCACAGGTGGCGGCGCAACATGGGCACCGCCTGGTGTGCGGATGCCTGGGGATGCCTGGGGATGCCTGGTGCGATCCGAGGATCCGGGTCCAGCTGATATGACCATATTTAACAAGATATGATTATAACAATATGATTATTAACACCATATATAGTGCCAGTAGACCTATATAGTACTATAATTATCTATTATATCAAGAGACCCTATATTCGCAGTATTAACAGTATTAACATTATAACAATAGATGGTCTATATGATGTCAATCTATTATTATTAATAATTAATATAAATTAATATATGATTATATCATTATAACTATTATTGACATTATATGATTATATGATTATAGTAATAATACCAGGTTATAGATGGTTATAGGTTATAGATTAATACCACTATTATAGACCTATTAACATTATATGATTATAACAATATAGGTCTATAATAGTTATTATAACAATTAATAATTGTTGTTATACACTGATTATAGTTATTATGATGAGTATAGGTCTATCATTAATCATAACAACTATAGTTATTATAATTAGTGTAATAATCATAATTATTATATAACTATAGTATTAAGATGTATTAACATTACCCATGACGGATCCATGGTGCTGGTATATATACTAACATAAAGGGGGGATATTGATGGGATCCTATGGTAAATGTTACCATATATATATAGCAGCACCATGGATCCGTCATGGGTATTAGATCTAACATTAGCATCTCTTTCTCAAACTGAAGTAATTATAATATAATTATATAATTTTAATTCAATAGGAATTCCATTCACATCCATGCGGTGTTTCTGAAAATCTACATGGCGATGTTATGTCCGTGGATCCCAAGATCCGCTTGGTCACCGATAGACATGACAATGGAAAATCCACCATGGTAAATTTATATTGATATTTAATGATATTTAGAACATAGATACATAGATATTTATAGATATTTATAGATATTTATAGATATTTATAGATATTTATAGATATTTATAGATATTTATAGATATTTATATAGATCTTTATAGTTTATCTATGTTTCTCCATTTCAATGGCCATGTAGTTCGGGGATTTCCCGGTGCCATCTTTGATTGTTTGATGACTTTTGGATGGTACACAACCGGGAAGGCCTTCCAAGATGAGGCGCTTGGAGATGGCGATATGAAAACGTGGGTCAGCAAAGCCAAGATGTGCTGATCTGAAGCTTCAAATACCCTCTGGTAATTTAACATAACTATGGAACATCACCATTTTTAATAGGTAAATCCACTATGAATGGTGATGTTCAATAGCTATGTTAAATTGCCAGAGGGTATTTAAGATAGGCCCTTTCATCTTCAGCATTTACCCTCTGGTAAACATACAAAAAGCTATTGAAAATGGCCATAGAAATAGTGAGTTTTCCCATTGAACATGGTGATTTTTCATAGCTATGTTAGTTTACCAGAGGGTCCACCGTGTCCATGGTCAAATGACCTATAGTTTTTGATATCACCTAAGATTTTTCTGTGCAAATGTTCGACCTCGGAGCGTCTCCACTGGGACCCAGGTGTGAAACCATTATGGACCAGAAGGCAACTGCTGATCTTGGGGCAGGAACTTGAGATTGCATCTTTTTGTGTGTTCGAAAGAGGGGTATGCTAGTTCATAGATAATCGGGAAAATAAAGATAAACAAGAATATTTAGGAGTACCATATTTTTCAGACATCCATTTGTTTGTCATTGCCAGCTTGAGTTTCAAGGGTGGAGATGACAGCGTTCAAACTGTTTGTTGCTAGTCTCTCATTTTAGGATGTTCTTGTGTCCGCGGTTAGAGTTGTATGGGCAGCTTCTGTTTCAAGATCTTTGAGGTTCCCGCTGCAATCCAGGTCAACAACTGCAAAAAATCAGTTTTTACTTTGGTCGTTGGTCGTGCCATGGAAACTTAGTACTTCAGTTACTTAAGTGAGCTACGTCCTGAACATTCCTGAACATTGTTCTTCTCTTGCTAGGAAGTAACTAAATGACAGTGTTGCCCTGGAAGAACAACTGGGTCAATTCTTGGCTTCTCAAAAAAGCAACACCTACTGGTGAAGTGTGGCGAACTGCCGCCTTTGAAAGATGATTTGGATGATGGATACAAGGGAGCCAACTATATTCATTGTGTATATATTATATATATACATGTATTTATATCCGTATTTATAGTTTTTAACATTTTTTACATGTTTTTACATATGTTTATTAGATACTACATATACTCTATTTTTTACATTTTTTACATTTACATTAGATGTTGTTTTCAGTCTATACCTCGGACGATGCCCCCCAAATTGACATGAATCTACCAATGCCACAAACACATAATATTCATTAATATTGCACTTTTTTCCATGACAATCCACGATTTCCATGGTTTTCAATACAAGAACCTCACCCCATTTGCCGTTCACCCCATCAACTTTTCGGTAGTATTTATTACATGCTAATACATACTATATACAGAAGCCTACTGCCAGGCACCGGTGGACACCGAGGATTGTGAGGACTGCTGGACCCAGGTCTTCCCAAAATGGCTTGGTCAAAGGGAACATTCACGGGGAAAAACCATGTTTGGATACTACAAACTGGAGTGCTTGCTGCATGTTTCTCCGAAGTTTCATGAATTGTCCATTTCCAGACGTTTTGGAAGCATTAAATCCATTAAATCCATTAAAAGTTTTGTGCTTCAATCCATTAAATATTCTGAAATGTTACAACTTTTGTGGATTGAAGCACATTGGCTTTGCTCCTCTTTGGGATGATCTTGGCGCCACTCCCCTTTTTGAATCTGCCATGTTTAAAGCGTCTCTTTTGGCATTTCAATGTATTCGTTGCTTGTATCCCTTAGAATACATATATATACGTATATATATATACACACACTGTAGTCACTGTAGTTCTAGTTTCCCCTAGAGTTTCCCCTAGAGTTTCCCCTAGAGTTTCCCCTAGAGTTTCCCGAAGGTGCCACAACACACACTTTACGCTCCCTTTCGATCTCAGGAGCGGCTGCCGCTGCTGGATGCCTCAGTGTTTCACCATGTTTCACCCAGTAAAATCTGGAGATGAATTGGGTATATCTACATGGCTAGTGGGCAACCCGCTGGGCTGATACAGTGCAGCTGGGACAAGTATTGGAATATGTCACAGTTACCCCTGGAAAAGGCTGGGATCAAGATCTTATTGACACCTCGATACTATTCGATACCTAAAATAAGCAGAAACTCTTTTCAAAGTACTCAGATCTTGAACATCTGGATTCATCTTGGAATAACACTCTATGTGATATATAAATATATAATTGTATATATATATACAATTATATACTGGGCTTAAAATAATTAATGGTAATGACGGTTAACGATTGTTGCTAATTGTTAATATGGACCAATTAAATTATGGTAAAACAGCAGATTTTTCCAGCATTTTCTGCGAGGCATTTGGCACTGCAGCACGGACACTTCCAGTTGGCGCGCATCTTGCTGGACCGATTAGAGCAGGTTTCACCAAGCCTTGGGTGAGACCAGTGAGGGGACCATTGGGGGCTTCACGTTTTGTTGTTATGGTTTAATGATCAACAAATCCTTGGGAACATAAAGAGCTTGGCATCATTTTTTTAAATCTAAATCAATAGTTTGGCATGATTTTGAGAATTAGATAAAGAGGTTGGCATGATTTTTAGAATTAGATAAAGAGCTTGGCATCATTTTTTTAAATCTAAATCAATAGTTTGGCATGATTTTGAGAATTAGATAAAGAGGTTGGCATGATTTTTAGAATTAGATAAAGAGCTTGGCATCATTTTTTAAATCTAAATCAATAGTTTGGCATGATTTTGAGAATTAGATAAAGAGGTTGGCATGATTTTTAGAATTAGATAAAGAGCTTGGCATCATTTTTTTAAATCTAAATCAATAGTTTGGCATGATTTTGAGAATTAGATAAAGAGGTTGGCATGATTTTTAGAATTAGATAAAGAGCTTGGCATCATTTTTAAACCTAAATCAATAGTTTGGCATGATTTTGAGAATTAGATAAAGAGGTTGGCATGATTTTTAGAATTAGATAAAGAGCTTGGCATCATTTTTAAATCTAAATCAATAGTTTGGCATGATTTTGAGAATTAGATAAAGAGGTTGGCATGATTTTTAGAATTAGATAAAGAGCTTGGCATCATGTTTAGAATTTAAATCAACAGGTTGGCATCATTTTGAGAATTAGATAAAGAGGTTGGCATCATTTTGAGAATTACATAAAGAGCTTGGCATCATTTTTTAATTTAAATCAATAGTTTGGCATGATTTTGAGAATTAGATAAAGAGGTTGGCATCATTTTTAGAATTAGATAAAGAGCTTGGCATCATTTTTAAATCTAAATCAATAGTTTGGCATGATTTTGAGAATTAGATAAAGAGGTTGGCATGATTTTTAGACTTAGATAAAGAGCTTTGCATCATGTTTAGAATTTAAATCAACAGGTTGGCATCATTTTGAGAATTAGATAAAGAGGTTGGCATCATTTTGAGAATTACATAAAGAGCTTGGCATCATTTTTTAATTTAAATCAATAGTTTGGCATGATTTTGAGAATTAGATAAAGAGGTTGGCATCATTTTTAGAATTAGATAAAGAGCTTGGCATCATTTTTAAATCTAAATCAATAGTTTGGCATGATTTTGAGAATTAGATAAAGAGGTTGGCATGATTTTTAGAATTAGATAAAGAGCTTGGCATCATTTTTAAATCTAAATCAATAGTTTGGCATGATTTTGAGAATTAGATAAAGAGGTTGGCATGATTTTTAGAATTAGATAAAGAGCTTGGCATCATGATTTTTAGAATTTAAATCAAGAGGTTGGCATCATTTTAGAATTAGATAAAGAGGTTGGCATCATTTTGAGAATTACATAAAGAGCTTGGCATCATTTTTTAATTTAAATCAAGAGGTTGGCATGATTTTTAGAATTAGATCAAGAGGTTGGCATCATTTTGAGAATTACATAAAGAGCTTGGCATCATTTTTTAATTTAAATCAAGAGGTTGGCATGATTTTTAGAATTAGATAAAGAGGTTGGCATCATTTTGAGAATTACATAAAGAGCTTGGCATCATTTTTAGAATTTAAATCAAGAGATTGGCACCATTTTTAAATTTAAATCAAGAGGTTGGCATCATGTTTAGAATTAGATCAAGAGGTTGGCACCATTTTTGAATTTAGATCAAGAGGTTGGCATCATTTTTTGAATTAGATCAAGAGGCTGGCATCATTTGTTGATTTAGATCAAGAGGTTGGCATCATTTTTGAATTTAGATCAAGAGGTTAGCATCATTTTTTTTCGATCAATAGGTTCGCATCATTTTTTGAATTTTAGATCAAGAGGTTGGAAACATTTTTTCATTTGGATCAAGAGGTTGGCATCATTTCAAAAATTTAGATCACAGGGTCGGCATCATTTTTATTTGGATCAATATCAACAAATGGTATTGTCAACCAGAAAGAGAGGGAGTTTTGGCCACCAACATATGCTGGTTTAAGTTTAAGCATTCAAACCTGGGTGTTCAAAATGCTTCAAGAGAATTGACATGCAGGGGGTTGACCATGAACAGAGAATGATTGAAGCATCGTATAGACCAACTGGCAAGGAGGGTCAGAAGACAAACTTAACTTTGATGGAGAACTGGGCTCAAAAACTCGGCTCGATACAGCCCGATGCCATCTCACTTCCGCACTATTCTCAAGGGATGTATGTTGGTTTATCAGTGTTATAGTGGGGGATGTTTCGCGACAAGACTGAGGTTTTTCACCATGAGAATGGTCAATCATGTACTGTAGATGTCCAATATGTCGATGAGATTTCCAAGAGATGAACATATAGTTGACCATAATATCATTCCATGGGTTCCATAGGAAAACTCACTACGAACTTGTAGTTCACTTTTAGGGATATCGATATCCCATGGGTCTCCCCTATGCACAGCCGCGCCAGCCGACAGGTGCAAACCTCCTATGGCGCCCACGAAAGTGGCCAAAGGAAGAAGGCCATCGCCGGCTGATCTGTAGCTGGAGATCATGAAGAAGAAGATTGTATACCCTCTGGTGAACTAACATAGCAATGGAAAATCACCATTTTTAATGGGAAAATCCACTATTAATGGTCATTTTCAATAGCTACGTTAAATTACCAGAGGGTAATTGTTTTGGTTGAAATGATGGTTTAATGGGAAATAATCGGATATTAAATGGAATCTATAGCCAACTATTGGACCAAATTGGATGATAGTCACCGTCCCGTTAATTGGGGGATGGTCATCTATCCATTAATTGGGTTTTATATACCCATGTTATTTTTGGAGTCCAATTATGGGATGGGTGACTGTAAAGCATATTTTAACCATGGCACAACTTGCGATATATAAGATTAGTATCCCCATCAGCTGCCAGATATTCCAGTTACAGGCAGTCATAGCCATAGCCTATTTTTTATCCATGTTCAATATGCTGTAAGTAAGTCGCGATTCTTGACATGTCCATGTCCGGTGCTTGAATCCAATGTTTATGCCTTCTGGTGTATTGCTGGGTTCTACGGTTCTACTTGATTATTTTGGACCATGATCCAATGTTTTGTTACGTTAAACCCAAACGTTTCATCCTAAAAATCCAGGTTCTTGTTGCCATAAAACCATGTTTTTCGTTGATCAAAAACCACCAGTTTTGGCGCAGAACTTGGTGGAAGCCTTGGCCAACAGGAGACCGGGGGGGATCCCAAGGATCCCTTGGCAAGCGGCGTTGGTGACAGCTGATTCTTATAAAAACCACACATAGATGCTATAAAAACCATTATAAAATTGGGTTATTAAAACCACACATAAGATTTTATATTCTTATTATTTTATATTGGTTATTTTTCTATGGTTATCTTATATTTTGTAAAAACCATTATAAATGGGATATAAAATGGGATATAAAAAAAAACCATAGTGGTGTAAGCTTAAGATAACCATAGATGATATCCCATTATATCCAATGTGCCCCTTATGTATGGCTATTTTGATGGGATAGTATTGGAGAATCATCTGTACATGGGGGAATAGACAGGGACAATGTAATCCAACAGTGTGTTTGCCTAAATCAACGGGATATAGCAGCAAAACCCATAATGTTTGGCTATTTTCAAGGGTTACAATGGCAAAAACACCCTTGATTGGAAATCAATGCCCAATCGAATTCCAACCCTATGAGATTTGGGTGAGTCTGAAAAGGATACCCCAAAACCATCCAAAACCACAATTGTATTGGAAAACGATAAGAAAGACAGCCATATTCACCAGAATTCAACTCTCTGACAGCTGGTGTTTGAGCTACGAGCCGTTGAGCGTGATGAACATGTCCAGATCGGAGTGGAAAAGGAGTTGCCGAAGGAGGTGAGGAGTCAGGAGGCATTGATCATTTCAAAGATTGAACAGGCTGAAGCTAGCAGCTAGCACAGGAAATCAGTTTGGTTTTCTTTTTATGATGTATTACTGTATATGAGTTGAATAAATATCATATAATCTATTTATATTGATTGAAGATAGATAATAGCTTATCCCACTTTTACATGTGATATAAATATGATCTATGAGTTGCGAACTCCCGTTCTGCAGTGGTGAGGTGAATTCCCCACAATTCCTTGTTGGACCTAGGGTTTTCTGGGTTGGTTTGATCCTTAGAGGATCATCAAAGCTTTCAAAACCCCTTTTTTTGCCGCATCAAACGTCAGGATGTTGACCAAAGAAGGCCTTCAAGAAGATGACTTCAAAGCCCCTCAGCTATGGAAAATGGGCCGTTTGTAGATGAATTACCTAGTAAAAACTGCGATTTTCATTTCGGCTATGTTCAATTGATTACCAGAGGCTACATGGATTGTAGCCATACACCAGCCTACATTCTTGGCCTAAATTGGGATTGGATTGATTAGATGGCAACAATCAGTTTCGAGCTGGATTGAAGGGGGGGAGCACAGCAGTTGCTTCTGGTTGGCATTTGCATATTACGATTCTATTGTTTCATTTGATTATGTCAATTCTGTGCCTTGCAGATCCCATTTATGTCAGAGTAATATGCCTGTCGAATTATATTTTGGGAATCCCATAGGATCCATGTATGGTATATATACTACTAACATTGGGGGTATATTGATGGTAAATGTTACCATATACAGCATACATGGATCCTATGGGTTTTGGGAATGTTCACCCACCTTGCGAAGATTTGGACCGTTCGGTCCCAGGCGGAGGTCTACAAGATCTTCCTGGAGATGAGATATTTTCGCAAGGCAAAAACCGCGCGGGGTTTCCGATGTGTTGTTGGTATTGAAAAACCTGCCATTACCCTCTGGTAAACTAACATAACTATGGAAAACCACCATCTTTAATGGGAAAACTCACACTAAATGGCCATTTTCAATAGCTATGTTAGTTTACCAGAGGGTAACATCCATGAACTGTAGGACTTTTTCATAGATTTTCCATAGATTTTCTATACATGATTATTGTTTATATGAGTTATTGGGAACACTTATCCATTATAACATTATTGGAGTATCATATACATGTCCCATCAAGCATTATATAAACCTAGTTATTTGGAGTCATACATCCCAAAGTCCTAGAGCAGATGATGTTTGAGGTGGATGATTCATCCAGAGATCCTCACTATCAAATGGGAAGACCTTTCAAATATTTCATATCGATGGTATGGAAAAGATGGGAAATACATCATATAAACATCATATAAACATCATTATAAACCATATCTACAGGATGATTATACATCGATGATGTGGCCTTCCAGTATTCAAGCAGCTTTTCCAGCCAGGTTTACTCGAGGGTTTTCCTGCGGAGTTTGACCCCCATTGCCAGAGTGTGTCTGGATGTTTGAAAAAATGGTATACTACTGTTGATCCACCGTAGTATACCCAAAAAAAACGAAAAAATGGAGGGTTCCCCGAAAATTTCAGGTATCAAGCCCACAACTTGTCTATTCCGCAACCCCCAATTTGTTTGGCCAGTTTGGCTACAACCATGCCATGTTATATAGGTTAGATTAGATGACATGATTCTGGTAGATTGGGTTGAATTAGATTGGAGTAGACTGAGTCAGATTGGATTAGACTACTTTAGATTAATATTGGATGGGTTGAATTTTGATGAATTTTGATTCTTACAGTTTAGGTTGAATTAGATTGGACGAGATTGAGTTACATTAGATTATGAGACTTATTATAAATAGTTGAAATCAGATTCTTGTAGATTACCTTGGATTAGATTTCCCTAGAGTAGTTTGTAAACATATATACGTAGGTCAGATGAGTGGTTGTTTTGTAGGTACAGTTACAATTCACATCTAGATATATATATACCACCTGGTCATCTAACATAACCATGGAAAATCACCATTTTTAATAGGTAAACCATCTGTTTCTATGGGCCATCTATACCATGGCGAACTGTTAAATAACCAGAGGGTATAATATTGTTAGATGCGAACATCCCATGCTGGTCCATCCACGTCTTGTCGCCTAGGAGGAACAAAACGAGATCAATCGGCAGCCACGACCCTAGCAGCGAAGGAACGTCGCCGGTTTCGCGGGAAGTTCTGGTGACTGGTGACCTGAGTTTGATGGTTGATGGATGAACATGGTGAATCATCCCATGTCTTCTTTTTCTACAGGTTTTTCACAACCTGTTTTTGATGATCAACATGGTGTTTGATGGTCGCCAGGTTTGGGGCCCTCTGGCCGTTTAGGGAACATCCAACTCGTCGAGGCACATCTACAGTGTTCTACAGCTACTGCCTCTTGAAACGCACAAGAACATATCCCACGCATAGATGATCATAGATGTCCTTTTACCATTGGTAAATGATGATAGATGGGATGGTATACCAAACCGGCCCCTCTAGTTTTACCAAAAGGACATTATTGATCCCAAGTCCGCAAAAATTGTCTAAGCCTTGAGACTGATACTGAGACAGATTCTATCATATTCTATCTACTTCTTCTACTTCAAAGACTATGATTTCTCATACCATGGATGGAAGATGACATGCCATTTCTCATACCACTCTGAGGATGGCTGCTTTGCTGAGTGTCTATTGGGTGAGTCGGGACGCCTCAATGATTTCTGGTCTCGGGGTTCAAACAGCACCAAATGGGGAGGTCACCAGCCATCGTCGAGATGGCAATGTCCTTTTGATGTAAGTATATCATATGTATATATACTGTATATGTATGTACATTATATATATATATACATACACTATATTATATATACACACGTTATTATATACATATTTATCATATATTATCATATTTCGCTACCATTTTTTTACAATGCCGGCTCTCACTTTTGGAACAGCTCAGTAGATTGGTTCCGCGCGGCGGTTTCATCCCAACAGGGGTGACTTGACCGATGCCCACCGGTTTCACCATTGATCATCTCCCATGACGGATCCATGGTGCTGGTATATATACTAACATTGGTTGGGGATATATTGATGGGATCCATGGAGCACCATATATAGCAGCACCATGTCTCCATTGATTATCTTGAATGATGCTGAAATAGGTTCCATCGATCATCGATCTTTTCTAAATGGCACACATGGTGCAGATTTCTCCATGGCACATCCTTTTCGCATCTACGGATCTTTGGTATGGTCGTGACATGGTCAAAGGTTGGAGGGTATATACCCATATCAGGGAATAGGACTCGTTAATCCAATAATAAGGACTTGTATACCCATCATAAGCATTTAGCATTAAGGGATAACCATCAACCATATCCTATGTTTTGACCCTAGCAGCTTAGCACATATGATCATCACTGGTTCCAGAGTGATAATTACTCATGATGATGATGATGATGATGATGATGATGATGGATGATGGATGATGGATGATGATGATGATGATGATGATGATGATGATGATGACGACGGTTCTCCTTTCATGGCACCACCAGCCAAATTAGGAACTGCTGCACAGCCACTGTCAATGTGTTTCTAAACTATAGCTCTCCCATTTGCAACTATCTTGACACTGCAAGTCCACACGAGCTACTCAGAGTCATGAGTCATGACCCTTCCACTACAGTTGGTAATCCTTGGTTGGGTAGCTCAATGTTTATTTTTGCTTGGATCGCGGGAAGATAATACCCCATTGCCTCACAACATCTGACAACTATGTATGGTTTACTTTTCCCTTTGCTTCAATAATAGTGACAGATGATTACTCTTTCAATTGAAAATGATAGCCACAGTGACAATAGTGTTCCACGTTCACCGAATCGAAAAGAGATTGGAAATCACGACACCATCCCCCGAGTCTCGGAGCAATACGAGCTCTTCACGCGAGAACAGCCCGAAAAGTCCGGGAGATCCCAGCAATCAGTGGACATTCCGGTGCTCCGAAACCAACGGTGCAACAGGACTTGGATTTTCTGGATGGAAACCAGCTGGCCGGATGCCATTGTCCCACCGAACCGTGATGGAAAACTCAAGTTTCAGCCCCAGAATGAATTTGTTTGTTTGTTTTACTTCGATTCTTTGAGCCATCACCATTTCTGTTTTGTGGCAACCAAGAAATGGGATTTGAATGGATTTAAACTTAAATCAGCCAAAATTCGGACGTGTATATCTACTAATTCGGGAAGTTCTGTTGTTTGCTGCAAGTCTGGCATGACTGGTCCAATGCACAGTCTTCATCCGTCTTCGTTTGTCAAGGTATCTCAGGTATCCCATTTATCCAATTGTTGAAACAAACTCAAATCATATAGTTATACCATTTCTCATTCGTTATACCATTGATATCCCATTTCAGGCCCATTTAGTTGTACCATTTCTATCCATTTCTCATTAGTTATACCATTGATATCCCATTTCACAATCGGATGCATCTCCGATTTCTGGCGGTTTTTTTTGTCGGCGGAAAAAGTGTTTGCCCAGGGACAAGTTGAGACCTGAATCCTGGCAACATATGTTGGAGTGGCCATGGCTGGCATGCTTTGAAGCAGCGGGGCAGTTTCGATTTTTTTTAAGCGGATTCTATATCTATAGAATGTAGATTCAAGGGATTGATGGAAGAGTTTCATCATGGCTCATATATATATATATATTATATATATATAATATACAGTATTGATTGATTTGCGAACATGCTTATCAAGTTACACAAGTTTATTTTGTTCATGTAGATCATGACCTGAGTTGCGAAATCGTTAGATGATTCTTCGAAACAGGAGTGTTCTGAGCCAAAGATCCAATGATTGAAGGAATCAGACTACATCAGCTTCCCACTGACATTGTTGATTCAATGAGGAGGGTAATTCTAGTTCCGAACTGTGTAATATCTTGATTACCATGTTGGTATTTCATGGTGTTTCCTCATGATTGCTTCTTGTACAACAGACGTTGGTTGAACCCTCCTCATTTTGTTGGCTGAACTCCACACCATAGTTGATTATAGCATCCATGTTGAGCGATGTTTTGGTAAACTCCTGATTTGTCTGGGTGAATTGTCTGATTTTGGTGGATTTCATGATTTCATGGATGTTTCCCCAGAAGGTTTTGGAGCCTATCATGTTTTCCACCCATCGAATCATCGAAGCCCTACCGCCAGGGTCAATGAGGCTGGGGGGCCCAGGAGTTCAAGAGACTACAATATACTACAGCCATGTTGAAGTGGTACCCCTTCCATGTGAGCCACTAAAATATCAAAAAGTGGCTCGATGATTACAGGTGCTTAACCGCCCGTGATGGGATGGACAGCTGGTTGATTCATTTGAGGATATCAAAAAGCACTAAGCATCACTAAGCCCATTTGAGGATCATAAATCACTATTCAAAATGCTATTGGTACCCTCCATATTGGTAAACTAAGACTTGAAAAAAAGTCCTGGGTTGACGTGAAACTTCAATGTGAATTGTTGGTTACTATAATAGTTGAGCCGTAATTCAAATTTATCAAGATGTTTTTTTTACATCGCAGATTTTCTGAAGGTGCATCTACTGTGAGCCATAAGATAAGTAGGAAAATGATCAAACAGCCAAACATCATTAAAGTTAGTTCATTCATCTCTCTGTGCGCAGGGGTTACTAGCAGCTCATATGACCCAGAGCAATGGGGTTGTACAAAATCCTCACAGCTTTGCATTCACATTCTGGTGGGCCTTGGCAACCCAGTAATGTCTGGGACTTTAGTTCATTTGGTTTACGATTTCATATGAGCAGAACTATTTTATATACATCCCTGTTCGACATGTTTAGCCAGTTTGATGGATATTTTTGGATAAGTTAAGCCACCAACCACTTCTGATGCTTTGAGTTTCGTGTGTGTGTGTGAGCACCGTGGGAAATGTGTCATTTTGAAAAAACATGTTTGAATTCTATCCGATTCTATCCATCCCTGAAATCCAGAAGGTCTCATAATTACCCATAGGATCCATGTATGCTATATATGGTAACATTTACCATCAATATACCCCAAATGTTAGGATATGTACCATACATGGATCCTATGGGTTATAAAGATATCAAATCCGCAGATGTTCATGTTGGCATTCCCTGATAAAACCGCAAGTGTGTGGCCTGGGATGTCCACGCCACGGCCTGAGGTTGGCTTAACATCGAAGCGCGTGTCCTTGACATGTCTTAGTCACCTTGATGGGAGATCCAGACAGCGATGATCAGATTGGGAACGTTTTTGTGATGGATTTGTTGTGGAAAAGTGAAAGCATGTCAAAAATAAGACTGGACATGACTGGACAATCTGGACACACAACCATGGTTCCTGGTTTGAAGCTCACATCGAAGAGATTGAAGATGATTGAAGTAGGGTGAAGCGTCAAACCTCCAGAAGCTTCGAAAATGCCAGACATGGAGAAGTAAATGGGTCAAGGCGGAAACCCACGAAACCACAGATGTTTAGTTATTGATAGTTATTGTTGTATGTTTCATATCATTTAAAAGTAGTAAAGTATATCACTTAATGAGATAAACCATGGATAAACCATAATAAAATATGGATAAACCATGGATAAACCACGATAAACCTCATAAAAAGATGGCTAGGTGGCGGCCGTCCTGGTCTACTGTGCCATTGTGGCAATCGGCAAGTCCCTGGGCAAAACGTTGACTTTTTCCTCTGGGTTTTTTGGAGGGTTTTCCGATGTGGAGGTTTCCATAGTCATGGGTATGGGGGTACCCCAATAGCTGGATGGTTGATTTCATGGAAAATCCTATTAAAAGGGATGATAACTGGGGGTACCCCCCCCATTTTAGGAAACCTTCATGTTGTTCCCATTAAACCTCCGTTGAGTTTGGGATTCCCTTGGTATCTTTGGATATTGGGTAGGAACCTAAATTCAGTGGTTCATACTTTTTGATGGTATAGCCCATTTTCAGACAAACCCGCTGGTAAAGTCAGATAATTAAGGCTGGTGAACCACCCGCAAATGTTCCCTTGAAGAAATCCAATGATTGGTTGCTTGCTGGGTCTTCATGAAAAGGGAACCACGGAACATCAATGACAAAACTGGAGAAACATGTTTATGATTCAGGTTTGTCCGAAAATGGTGGATACCTGAAAAATAAGATCTGTGTTGAGAAATTGATGATCATCAACATTCATCAACCACATGTTTTTTGGATATCATACATACATACAATTTTTCAGATAAACCGAATTGTGCTGACGGTTACCAGGACAACTTCAGCAGGACGCCCTGCCCATGATGTAAACGGTGCATAAGGTGTTGCTAATTAAAAATGGAATACAGATGTGATTGAACATGGTTTAGTTACCTCTAAATGCATTGGTTAATCATCATGTTCCTATGATTTCCTGTGAACATGGCTGTCGTATGGGTATATACCATTTTAGAACAACCATATCAACCGTTCCAATTGTTGGTCAGAGATATCCCCATGAAATATCCCTATGCAGTATGATTTATGTTTTCATTATTTTCCTATTATATGCCCCATGGTGCCAGAATATGTATTAACATCTACCACAAGCATGGCTCAAATATACACATCCAATGACTGGAGCATATGTTCAAACAGCCATGTACATGCCATATACAGAAATCATGTCCCATCATATCCCTGCTATGACCATTGCTGAAAGCAATGTCTTTAAACACCTGGCTTTGCTGAGCAAATTGCTTCATCCACCACAACCGGGGAATCTATAAGATTTGTGAAAAATTGTCTTGGGGGGATATAGGCTGAAATGACACTGATAAAAATGGACCCTGAACATTAATACCTATATTATATTTATATATATATTATTATATATTTATATGTTAGACTTCCCCCAATTATAGTATATTATAGTATATTCATCTCCATTAAATGATGTTTCCAGTCATTTTTCCATGGAAATCTCCGCATTTTTCCGCTTATTTTTCCTAGGATCTCGGCCTTTCAAAAGGAGTTCGCGGCCGAAGCCACCGAACCCATCGGCGCGTTGGCCAGCATCGTTTCTGGGCGATGCCGTGACCGTTGAGGGAAACGATGGGAAAACGATGATTTTTGGAAAAATGGCATCTTGGACCCCAGTCTTGGACCATCAAAGAGGATGTTCTGCCATTTTTTTGGAAAAATGGCCAGAACGGTTTGTGGGAAGAGTATATTCCTTGTGGGAATTGCCATGAAATGCAGCGTTCCATAGTTCCATCGGTGAATCTGACGGGGAGTATGTCATCCTCGGTAGGCAAACCACGAGCTCACTGGCTGATAGAAACTTGTCAAGATGCATAGGCACTTATTCATCCAAATGTAGTTGTGGAAATGGCTAATCAGCAACACATGTTGAACCTGGCGACTGTTGCACAAAGAAGGTTACTCCCTTTCCACACGTCGGAACACTCAAATGCTGCAAAGACCGAATCCCTCACCGAATATGTCACCGAATAGAGTTGCAAAACCTATTGATTTCGGGTGCTGGCGCTGGCAGTCTATTTTAAGGTCTTTTGTCAATCTCAGATATCCAACGTGCTGTGTCGTAGCCTTTTTTAATCTCCATCTTTTCTCTTTTGACATTGGTGAAAGCTGTCTAAGCCGGGCAACGCTCAGCTCGAACCCGAGCAGGGCGACGAATGAATGAATGCATCTTTAAGGGTGGTGAGGATGATATGATATGATATGATTGCCTGATGGATTGCTGGAGTGATAGTTGAAGCTATGTCAGTATGTTTAACTGTTACTTTGTAAATGGAACAATAGATGAAGTCATTGCCACAGATATTGCCATAGCACACAAAATGTGGTCCATGAAAATAACAGCCCGCTAATATGTACAAATCGGATATGTTCAAAACAATTAACTAATAGGATACTGAAGCATCCAATTAACTAACTGATAGCTTGTTGGTGGTTTGGAACATTTTTGTTTTCCATATATTGGGAATCATCATCCCAACTGACGAACTCATATTTTTGTCAGAGGGGTAGGTATACCACCAACCAGATTGCCATAGCACATGGCTTTGAAACGATATAATTATAGGAACCGAAGCTTGGCGACCAATCATCCACACTAGCCAAATGGACAAAAAAGTAGCGTGCCGATCAACCATTTACTAAGGGAAGAGCAACCCCAGGTAGCCAAAGGGGCTCACTGACCGCATTCTGCAACATTGATAAACCACATTAAACCACATAAAGCCACATGAAACATCTCCCTTGGAATTTCCTCTAAAGAATCAGACAACTGGACTGGCGTTTGTTGTCGAAAAAATCTGGTGTCCATGTGAGCAGGCCAATTCCCAGATCATAAACCACATTAAACCTGCGTTGTAAATGTGACATTGAATGATATTCCAGCTGAGGTGCAACGTCATCCAGTGTTGGTGCCCTCCTTTCAACGTTTGGACGAAGAAGAGCAAAACTTGATCGTTTACTGTTTGAAGGCAGGGAACTTCCAGGATTTTCTTGCCATCCCGTAGGCCGTAGGCCATTGTCGGCCGGTTTCCCTGCCACGATTAGGATGGATTCCTTATGGCTCTATTGCTGTTTTGATGACCCTATCCATGCGTGTATGATCGTGTATGGTATATTTACATTGGGATGTTTTAAATATGTTCGGATGATAAGATATGAGATGATATGAGTATATAATTATGAGAACATACTTATTTAGAAGATTGATCCAGTTACCATGGGTTTTTAGCCATTCATCATTCCTCACAGCCGATGGGAAGCTGACAGTTCCGCAACGGGGAAATCCCAGTGGATTCCACTCCCTCTGGTAATTTCACATAGCTATTGAAAAGTCACCATGCTTTTCTAGCTGGGTAAATCAACTATTTCTATGGGCCATGTTCAAGAGCTTTTTGTATGTTTACCAGAGGCTAATTGTTGTATTTGTTGTAGTCCTATGATCTATTCCTGACTTGGGGTCCCAAACGAACCAACTAGCCTAAAAAGGAACCAAAAACATGCTTTGTTTGGAACATCCACCATCTATTTGTGGAGGATTTTCCCATTGAAAGCTCCATTCCCAGCCATGTTTGATTATCGGATAACCCTAATTGGAGTATATCGGATACCCATTGGATAACCCTTTTAACTGGGATATAAAGGGGATATATCATGTATCCAAAGTATATCCCCTTTATATCCCAGTTAAAAAAAAAAGCACTGTTTTTCCCTACGTAACACGGTGAGTCACTTCACCATTCCTTCTTCAGGCGCAAGCACACTTCAACTTTGGTCAGTTTCTGCAGGCCGAGTTGGTTTTCCTTCAGTTGGAAAGTGTGAATCACATTTCTTCACCCTTGCTTTTATGGATACTGTAGTATTACTGATAGTATGTATGATTTAGATAGATATATCTATAGATATTACATGATATTATAGATTTACATGTCCTAGTATATGATCGGTAATTATAGATAATTATTTCATTTCCAATGGAGTCGAGTGGAGGATGGATTGATCGATCGACATTCCAAGCCAGTGGTTGAGGGATGTATGGTGTTTACTTTGTGTCAAAACCCACAGCAGCTCCTACGATCCATAGTGGCACACTGCAAATCGGAGATACCGTTTAACCAACCCCACAGAGGAATGGCAAGGCTAGTGCCAAGACAGATGGTGTTTTATTTGGAACTATGATCCTTGTAACCCATCCAACTATCTATATAATTATATATGTCTGTGTTTGATTGCCATTTGCTCATTGATTTAATAGTAGGTATGGCTGAAAATAACGATGTCAACAGAAGCCAGGCTGAAAGCTTGCCAATGAGCTTAGCCAAGTGCAAGGACTCGGTCACCACCCGGGAGAACTCTCGGCGCCCAGTTATCGGCCATGGGGCCATGGCAAAGCTGTGGGGGGTGAGATTTTTGATGATTTTGGTACTCAAACTGTTTGAAACTTGAGCTTTGCATCACGAAGTCCAGCGCTAACTTCACCTCAAATTTGATGCATAAAGGTCTTGCCTTGGTCCTTCTGGACGTTTGGATGTGGATACGCTAAAATGCTAAATGGTTGCTGAAAGGGGTTGACGTTAAGCCATCCAATGGAGGAATATGGAGGAATGGAAGGTTCTGCTCAGATCAACTTGTGTGAGGAGTAGCTGAGCTTAGCCATGCATGGATTTCGTCATTGGGGAGCAAAAATCAAAAGGCTTTAAGTCCCGTAAAAAATGCCCCAAGCATGCGGGTTCCTTGGCGTGTAGTCTGTATTAGGTGTTGAGTCCATGTGGGTTGCGGTTGTTTGATTGGAAAGGCTTAGGTCAACTTTCTTCCATCCCCTACTTGCGTCACAGGCCTGCTGATGTTTGGGAGGATAGGGATGAACCGCACTGGGACATGAAGCTGATTGGTTCTCACCAAAGCTACGCTTGCCTAGAGACCTTTTTGCTGCAAAGGAGTTCTCCTTCCTGCAAGACTGCAAACATGTTCACGTACGTGGATTTGTTGAATTCGCTCTCTGGGTTTGCCTTTGCGCTCGAGCGGGAATTTTTGTGCAATGACCAATCACCTCAGCGCGTCCGCCGTGAGAGAGTGATTGAAGACAATTGAGGGCATGATCACGGACACAACAGCAGGACTTGTCCTCCTATGCATTGCCTGCACGGTTCTTGGACCATCAAGGGCAATGGATGGAGCGGGTGCGAATAAATTCAACATAATTCAACGCGGGAGCGGGGAGTACAAGGACCTCAGCATCAATGGAAGCAGCCAAGGCTCTGGAATTTCGTCTGACGATGCGCCACTGTACCACTTGATCTTCCGAAGTGGCGGCCCATTGAGGGGCATCGTTCATTATTCTCAGTTACCCATGACGGATCCTAACGGTGCTGCTATATATGGTGCTCCATGGATCCCATCAATATACCCCCTTTATGATAGTATATATACCAGCACCATGGATCCTATTTGGTGACCACATCTGGAGCTGTGGGGTTCTGAATCACCAAAGTCATGGGTCTTTAATGTGCCCACCGTTGTTGCTGAAATTCATTTAAGTGTGGATTAAACGTTGCTAAATTAAACAATTAAATTAAAATTACATAATTCTATATAATTATAGTTTTTTAATTATTATATGATATTAAATAATAATATATATATATACAAATAAAGTATTATATCATATATCATCCAATTTTCTGGAAATGCAGACCTTTCTTGTGGTTTGACCATCCACTACACCAACAACATGGGGGCCATCACTGGATCCGGATGCAGGAGCTTTTGATTTGTCCTCAAGAGACGCTTCTGCATGATGTCTTCAGCTCTTTGGTGGATACATGGGTCCTTAATGGGCTTGGGCGGGTCTGAAAATGGTGAATGGGCTCCCCATTTGTCGCCATGTTGTGGGGAAACTGATGCCAAATTCCATCGACTCTGCATTGGGGATGGATGGATTTGAGCCTATTCTTCGACCCTCCAGAGCCACAACATTCGAACAACACAGTGTTTCACGACTTTTCTACCTATTCGCACACCAAAAGATCTTCTTTCTGCTGACTCTTTCCCTTCTGACTCTTTCTCTTCTTTGACTTCTCTCACCACTGTTGCTGCATCTGTCCATAAGTCGGAAGTTTGACTTCTAAACTCCCTTTCGAATAGCAACAAAACTGGGCTTTGAGCCTAAACATACGGGGACGCAGAAGGAATCAGCATGCGCATGAACAGGAAACTAGAATGGGAAAGGCACCAACACATGTGGCACGAGGATTGAACCGCCGAGTTTGCTGATGAATTTCCTATGTGTCTCCCTTTAGATCACAATTTTTACTGGCAAGACGTCTTGGCATCTGCTGGCCACTTGTTTATGTGAAACCTGAGTAGCTATGTTTTTTTTTCACGATAAATTTGGAGGTTTGAATTCCACTTTGATTATAAGATCCTCATCCACTGTTGGTCCAACAGGTACTACTCTCCATGAACACATGGAGCCTAGGTTTCTTCCTCTTCACGGTGTTCATGTCCTTGTGCGCCATCTTGGGCGTAAAGAGTTGAAACCTCAGTTCTTCTCAGCAGAGTGGGGATGTTGAATAAATCAAGGGAATGATTTTGCACGCAACGAACATGGTGATTTCAATTTCATCAACATAAAGGTGTGAATTTGCCAACAAAAGGTGTGCATTTGTTGGAAACACATTCTGTTACATTCCCACTTGAAATCGCGAGATGGCTCAAACATTTTAGCGTCAGGCGTTCATAGACCTGATTTATGTGTTATGTTTATCATCATCATCATCATCATCATCATCATCAGTTGTCAATGAATGTATCTGTCAAACATTTCAGACTTTCGTGCCATGAAGATCCATCAGTTGACTTCCTGGCACTGGGAATATCCAGTTTTTTTCAGAAAAAAAATGCCTTCGAACTGCCAGATGTCGTGCCATGCCATTAGAATCCCTGTCACGATAAAGAAGTATAGATCAACAATGGCCCCTACCTTGGGTAATTATTCCAGGGGGGCATGTCACATCAGGAATAATTGATTTGGAATAAATAGTTTTAGGGCCTATTTTTAATTATTCTGCTAAGGGGGTCTATTCTATGTCAGATGTTGTATGGAATAATTTGTGTCAACATACCTCAGAATAATTAGCTATTAATGGGCATATAAACTCAGATGATAAGTTATGATAAAATTTGAGCCATTATTTGAAAAATAGATGACAATATATGACAATAGATGAACGGTGATGACATGTGCATACATGTGCATACATGTGCTGTTATGATCTGTTATGTGCTGTTTCATCGCCCGTGATAGGGTGCCAGAAAGAATGTCAGAAGATATCAGAAGATATGCCAGATAGAATGTCAGAAGATATGCCAGATAGAATGTCAGAAGATATGCCAGATAGAGTGCCAGAAAGAATGTCAGAAGATATCAGAAGATATGCCAAATATATAGAATGTCAGAAGATATGCCAGATAGAATGTCAGAAGATATGCCAGATAGAGTGCCAGAAAGAATGCCAGAAGATATCAGAAGATATGCCAGATAGAATGTCAGAAGATATGCCAGATAGAATGTCAGAAGATATGCCAGATAGAATGTCAAAAGATATGCCAGATAGAGTGCCAGAAAGAATGTCAGAAGATATCAGAAGATATGCCAGATAGAATGTCAGAAGATATGCCAGATAGAATGTCAGAAGATATGCCAGATAGAGTGCCAGAAAGAATGTCAGAAGATATCAGAAGATATGCCAGATAGAATGTCAGAAGATGTCAGAAGATATGCCAGATAGAAAAGCACAGGGGTCCCAAGGAAACTATTTATCTTGATTCACTTGTTATATTTATTCCACAGGTCACCCACATATGTCAAAACACCCAGGAATAATTGGGCATCACCAGGAAACACCCAGGGATTCTTCAAACCATGCGTTGGGTCACCAATGTTCACTCAGGGGCCCATTGGTCTTTGGCTAAGTTACCATAAGTTACCCATATGTCTTCCACAGGGCACCCACATATGTCAAACCACCCAGGGAAAATTGGGCATCACCAGGAAACACCTAGGAATTCTTCAAATCATGCATTGGGTCACCAATGTTCATTTAGTGGGCCCATTGGTCTTTGGCTAAAGTACCCATATTTTAACCACAGGTCACCCACATATGTCAGAACACCCAGGAATAATTAGGCATCACCAGGAAAATCCAGAAAAAACCCAGGGATTCTTCAAACCATTCATTGGGTTACCAATGTTCACTCAGTGGGTCCATTGGTCTTTGGCTAAGTTACCATAAGTTACCCATATGTCTTCCACAGGGCACCCACATATGTCAAACCACCCAAGGGAAATTGGGCATCACCAGGAAACACCTAGGAATTCTTCAAACCATGTATTGGGTCACCAATGTTCATTCAGTGGGCTCATTGGTCTTTGGCTAAAGTACCCATATGTTAACCACAGGTCACCCACATATGTCAGAACACCCAGGAATAATTAGGCATCAACAGGAAAATCCAGAAAAAACCCAGGGATTCTTCAAACCATTCATTGGGTTACCAGTGTTCACTCAGTGGGATTCAGTGGGTCCATTGGCCTTTGGCTAAGTTACCATAAGTTACCCATATGTCTTCCGCTAAAGGAAGGGAAGAAGAAACGAGGAACATTCTGGCCCGTGCCAACAAAAATCAAGCCGACGACGGTCCAAGCACGAGAAAAGCCGCCATACGGGCTTATAGATACCTGCACATCATGGCGACACAGCATGGAGCGCTGATTCAACAAGCCTACGTAGCAGCCAAAGCTCATGCGGCACGTAGTAAGGGACCCATTGGTCCCAAGGACACTGCAGGATACTATCCTCTCCCAGATGAGCTTCCGACAGTACCGCCAGATCTCACCTCTGGACTGTTACACTGTCTCTCCACTCTAAACCACCCAGGGGAAATTGGGCATCACCAGGAAGCACCTAGGAATTCTTCACAGGTTGAGATAGGTTGAGCATTGCCGGAGCACATCTTTGAAACCAGGAGCGAGCAAAATTTTCAAGATCCCAATAAATTTTTGAGCTTATTTGAAAAGGTTTTCTGACACTAGGTTTCTAGTGGTTTGTGGCAATACAACCTCAATCAACACATGCCAAAAATATACCAAATTCGATTACAACTTGTATTTTTATATGAATGGAGAGGGGGGGGTTGCCCTAAATTTACCCTAATTATTCCCGATGTCGTGTGACATACTGGAATGTTTTCCCAGAACATGTGCAATGGGGCTGGAATAATATCCAATTATTCCAAGGTATGCTGGCATGGGGGGGGGGCTATGGCAGGGATCATGATCAACATTGATCAAAAATGCGGGATTATCATATTATATATATATATATGTAATGAGTAGAATTAGAAGATCAGACAAACCAATACCATGTTCATTTTTTGGGTGGGGGTCTGCAGCATATCTTCAAAGCTTCACAGTGCTTGGGAGCATGAATTGGACCTCGGCTTGCCTTAAGAAGTCATGTTGATTTGTATTCCACAGTGCTGGATGATGATACTACTGGCTGGTTTTTTTTGGGCTCCTGATTTGTCGGTAACCCCCCTCGACAAATGCTATCCTCATCTATCCTCTCTACAAAGTTGTTCCTCCAAAACGACGTCTCCAAGATACAACATGATACAACCAGAGATCTAAGTACATGTTTTTATTGGTGACAATTGAAGGCTAAGTAAACATGTTTGTTTTGTAGACTGATGAACTTGTAGTACTTGTAGCACTTGTAAAAAAAAGAAGTGTCCCCAAAAAAATGACCACAATTGCGAACTGTGGCAACAAAGCCTGAGCTTCAAATAATTCGAATATGTTTGACCACAATAGTGCACTTAGCTCCTAATCAGGATGCACAAGTGAAGTGTTGCAATCCGCTGGGTCTTGAATTCCATTCATTTTCAGATCAAAACAAGCAAAACAGCCAGTCGTTTACCTACTCCAAGCCGCTTAGAGATGCCAATGAAATCCAAGTAGAAGTTTCTGTGACCACCCAAACATTGCTGAAACCAGAAGCTTCGGTGGAACTTTCTCGTTTAACATACAGAGAGATATATAGAAATATACAACATGTGTACATATATATATATACCTACACACATACCATATTTATCTTGTGTATGAAGACGGATCATGTGAATGTGTCTAGCATAGTATAGGTACTTTACTTATTATATATGTTCCTTGTTTCTTGTGATGGATTCTTTGCATAAAATGGTTAAACCACCCTTCTTTGAGGCCTCAATGGCTCCTTGTTCATGACGGAAGACATGTACAACCATAACTTCAAGGCCTGCTTGGGTGCGATGTCAAGATCTTTTCCGGCAAGTTTGGACGGCCGAAGTAAACAGAAAAATATCCGCGACATGTTCATACTCTCAGGGTTCGGTCGCAAGAAACCAGAGATTCGTCATTTATAGTATCTGGCTGGTGGAATGGAACATGTTTTTCTATATATTGGGAATAATCATCCCAACTGACTTTCATATTTTTCAGAGGGGTAGGTATACCACCAACCAGCTATTCATGCGTTATGTTTATTAAAACATAGTTTCTCTTATTTCCTACACGTAAAAGTCAGTTGCCAAAGTGGTTCCAGTTGTTCCCCCAGTGAATGACCGTCATGACCATCACATTGGATCACGTTGGGGCTGACAAAAACTTTTACCATCCCCAAACAATTTTATTCAACACGAGTGTAGATTTCTGATGATTTCTGTATATAGAAAACTTATGGAAAATTGTCCATGATGAGAAGCCCACTAATTTTAAGGTTGAATCCCATGTGTCACCCCTTTACGCAGATGAATTTCATACTGTGTATTGTTTATTTCTGGGTTCACCCGTTTTGTTCTTTCGCTTTGGTAACATCCCCAGTTTTGCCAGTTGCAGTCCCTTATTCCTTTTTGAGTGAACATCCCCTACGATTTTCTCATCAAAACCATTTTGTTAACACATTTTCTGGTTGAGTTATTGGTATTTCACCAACCTCCCAAAAAGAGAACCCCCCTAGACTAGATGGTTTTTCAGTTATTATTGGTGGTGAAGAAAATCTGAATGGATGTATTCCTTGATTCAACCCACTTAAATCCCCATTTTGACGATGAATTTGCTTATTTCTGGGGGGTTGCCTGATTGTGGGACTGAAATTCCACAGAGAAGGTGGGCTTGGAAGCCTTAAAGACCCTGAAAGAGAAGGAAGCAACAACGGTCGCAGCCTTTGCTTTGAGGATTGCTGGCGATAGCAACCACATGTTTGGTGATTTATCCATGAAACAATGGTGGAATCAAACATGAAAGTTGGTGACTTACCATCAATATGTGGGATTTAGCCAACAAATTATATCTTTCATTGGATTGCTTTCAAGTGTGAAAAACCCACAACGAAGCATGTTTTCATTATGAATTATATACAAATTATATATAAATTATGATAAATTATGATAAATTATGATAAATTACATATAGATTATATATATATCAGTCACCTTCACATATTTCTGTGAAACCGTGAAATGCAGAGTCACCCAGAACGTCATCCAGTCGCTGGCCTGGTTGAATTCATCAAGGTACTTGTGATGCTGTGATATGGGGGCAACCCAAAAATGATAGACTAAGATAGATAAATAGAATCCTAATAATTCCTTGTCTATCTTTTATTGCTACGTATGTTTAAACAAGAGTAGGGACCCTCAAATTCGACGAGAATGGAATCTAGTGTATCTGGAGAGAAGCCAACAACTGGGGTATCCCCCAATCTTAAACACACTTAGGTAGACAAAGTGTATACTGAAGAAAGTTATATGTATTTGCAAACTTCTTTACACACATTCTGTATTTGCAGTATATGTTTTTTGCTTTGACTCTCTCTCTCTCTCTCTTTACATGTACATATATATATATTATTGCCCTTGACAATGTCCTTGACTAGATAAGATATTCCGGAGTTTCAAATTCCAGATGGTCTTCCTGTAGGGGATTTAGGGGGTTCAATCTTATTCGACATGCTACTCTCTCCAGGATATCTCCAAAGTTTATTGGGCGACGCAGCGAGAAACGCCCCATAAAGATCCACGATGTTTCGAACCGGAACCAAGCCATACCAAGCCAACATTGGTTCATTTATGCCAGAAACATTGCAATTTGCCCATACAATGTGCTGGGTAAACATGGCTTGGGAACGTTACTTCTTCACTGGATGCTAGGGCGTGAAGATCGAAGCCACGATGTTTGTTGGTGAACATCCATCAATATCCAATCTATTTGTTAGTTATATGGTGTATTATGGTGTTATATATGGATTATGAATGATTATGATTATGGTGTTATAATGTGTTATATATATGTTATATATGGTGTTATATGCTCATATGGATTATGATGTATTACAAGTTTACCACTATATCCCCTTTCCACCCTTTGAAGTAATCAATAGTTTGGAAATATGCCGATATCTTCCAAGGGCCAAGCTGAGCGGTTTGCACCGTGGCCATTTTGCAGCGATTCTCCGACTCAAGAGCAGATACGACCCTTTGGCATGACGCAACAGCCAAACTAACAAGACATGAGACTCGAAATTTTGGATGCCACCTGAAATCCGATACATGAATAATTAAATAATCCTATATATATATATGCATACATGAATATATATATATATGCATACATGAATATATATATATATATAAGTTATATAAGATACTCAGATTATTGATGTCTTTGGCATGTTTGTTTTTTCATCTTCGTTCCCCAAGAGGATCCCACGCTGGTGAACCACGCTTGCCATGGCGTTACCCGGAAGCGTTCCGGTGCAGTCGGCCTTGAAAGCGCCGGCCGATCCGGCACCGTCGCGTGGTCCGAAACGGGGTGCCATGGTGGTTATCATAGGAATATTACTATAGATATTTACTTATCATAGGATATATAGGATATATAGATGTTTACTATAGATGTTATCCGAATCCCATATCCCATAGGATCCATGATAATATCATAGGTTATTACGAAACTTGTTTTCGTTATGACCAGATTACGAAACTTGTTTTCGTTATGACCAGATTTAGCTTAAACGTCTCTCATCTTCAATAAACTTCGCTTACCATCTTAGCATTAACCAACCGAATCCCATCATGATCATCACCCATAGGATCCATGGTGCTGGTATATACTAACATTGGGGGTATATTGATGGTAAATGTTATACCTGGATCCTATGGGTATTACTATAGATGTTTACTTATCATAGTATTTGTTGAGTATTTGTAGATGGTCACCCATATTTTTAGATGTTTACTGATGGGTAATTACTAATTATATATATAATTATAGTAATATAGATGCCATCTATAATTGCTAAAGACTTTGTGATACACATCTAGAGTGAATAAACATCTACAAACACAATGATAAACAAGACATGGATAATTATCTATAATCACTATCATTAAGTGGTCCAATGGTCAGCACCAACCGAACTAAGTGCCGAGCCATGCTCAATAATCTTCCAAAGCCTTCATCCTAGGGCTAAGACTTGGCTGTGGAGATCAACCTTCCAACATGCACCCACTTTCTATTAATGTTTGATATGTTCAGCAAGGTAAGAGGGACTTGTTGCGATTCCCCATTGATGCAAGCAGGGTCATGGTCAATCCTGAAGGTTCAATCAACCCCACTTGCAACTGTCATCCAGCCACACTACCTTCCACCAAGTAATTTTTCGTTGCTATGTCATTGCCCCAAGATTCCCCAAGTATTAAAATATATTAAAACTGTATACCTTCTGGTTATTTAAGGTAGCGAACTGGAAAATCGCCGTTCTTGAGTTCGGGATGTAGCATCATTTGTATCATCATGTCTATCTCTTTCTATGGGCCATGGCTTCCAGTTCGCAAAGCCATATGGACTACATTTGCTCCATAGAGATGTTTTTTTAAAAACAAAACGTGTTTTCGTTATTACCAGATTTAGCAAACGTCTCTCATCTTCAATAAACTTCGCATTATCTTTACATTAACCAACCGAATCCCATAATCATCACCAATAGGATCCATGTATGCTATATATACTAACATTGGGGGTATATTGATGGGATCCATGTTAGTATATGGTAACCATGATGATGATGGTAAATGTTAGTAAATATTAGTATATGGTAAATATACCATATATCCATCCATGGATCCGTCATGGGTGATCAGAAATCATGGCTTCACCATCGAAGTCGACCGAAGTCAGGCTACCACCGGAGTTGCCAAGCCTTGGCACTTTGGAAAGCGAGTTGCAGCGCGTCTCTGCGCACCTTCGGTGGACATAAAGGTGGCGTCGAAATCATCGAAAAATATGGGGATAGACTTGAGATATATCATGGGAATATATATATATATATATATATTATATACATATTATATATATTATATATATATTATATATTATATATATTATATATATATATATTATATATACTATATATTATATATTATATATATATAATATATCTGAATCTACTCCAATAGATTTGGGGGAACCCTGTCCTGCCCTAAACCCAGCTGCCTTTGTCCTTGCTGATGGCTCAATATCCTCAACCCTCCCACCACTGGAAGGTGTCCAATGAGGCCGGCGAAATGGAATGGACATGATGGACAGTGAATCATGGCTCAAGTTGGCAAAACAACACTCGTCAAAAATCCAAAAATTGAAATTTTCAGAAGACAGTGTTCCCTTTATGATTCATTCTGTCCATCCTGTTCTCCATGCAGCCACTTTAACTTCTCACGGCGGTTAGCCCTTTGTTTCAGCACTTCTGTTTCGTCAAAAAGGCTATACTTACCTGTACGGAGACATTCACGCAACAAACTGGCATCCATGCTCTTAGTCAGTGAATCGGCTAGCATTGCCTGTGTTGCTATCCACCGTAATGAGATGTTTTCTTGCAATCGCTCTCGAATTAAAAGGCATTCCAGCAACGTCCTATGTTCTGAGCACTGTGGTGGAGCCTGCTTCGATGCGATATCGTCAACAGACTTGCAGTCTGTCACTGCATTGCACCGAGGTGCCTCTTTCAGAATTTTGTCCGGACATGTCCAGTCCACGCTTGGGTCTTTGACCCATTCCCAGAACAGCCTCAAAAAGCCTAGACGGTCCAGTGTTGAACTTAAAGCAGCAGCTTCTGCGCTAAGAGTTGAAGTCACAACCCTTGGTGTTTTACGACTGCTCCAAGCCACTGGACAGACAACGGCACGTTTGTTCTCTGCAAGATTCTTGTCTGTTGTAAAGATCAGTGTCCCTTGTCGGGACTGCAGATTTGATGCAGTTGCAAATGAGGCATCTGAAAAGGCACAGAAGGTCAAATCTTCTATTCGTATGGGAACCACCATGATACACACATGATGGCGCTTTCCTTCATAAAGCACTCGATTGGCTTCTAGGAGATCTTTGACCTTTGCCCTGGGAATGCATGACTGTAACTGTCCTACCTTTGCCGCCAGATCAGGTCTGGTGTGTACAGCAGCATATTGTATGCTCCCGCACAGAGCTCGAAGGTGATATCTTTCGGTTTCATTCAGTTCTGACTCAGGTTCTTGTCTTCTAGTTTTCGGGACATTAATTGGTTCCACTCCTTTGAGATACCCCTTTTGATCCATCTCAATTGTACCATCATCCCATTGTTTGTAATGAACCCCACAAAAGTCGAACTCATGTTCATTATATGCCCCAAAACTGAAACGATCCCTGAGTTTCTGAAGAGTGGCCTTGAAGTAGGAGTCTCCACCTCCTATGCCATCATCGACATGCACTCCTAACATGCCCCTAACCTCTGGTTTTCCATTTTTCTTTTGGGTAACCAAACTAAACACACAACCGTCAAAAGGACAAGCAACAAAACCCAACTCCTCCAGTGCCTTTCTGAGTTCACAGTACCAGAGGTATGGAGCGTCGATACGGCCATACGCCCCCCCTTTTAGAAGGCATTGGTCGCCTTCTTTCATTTGAAGTTCACTTTTCATCTCGGGTGGAGCATGTAGACCAAGTGCCCGGCCATCTCCTTTTCCCTTTAAAAAGGCTGTGGAAATATCGAAGTTCAACAAATCCCAACGTTTGGATGCCACCAGCTGTAGGATGAGTTGACGACCATCTTTTGTTAGTGTTGGAGCATCCCGTGGAACAGTGGACAAATCAGGATCCTCAAAACCCAACACTACCAACCGTGCTTTTGCCCGTCGCTCAACACTTCCTACCTCTGGTGCCTTCCAACTGAGTATCCAGCGGCACCTCATAATTTGATCTGGTTTCAAAGTGCCGTTGGCGACCCGCTGAACGGTTTTGTGGTCAATCCATGCTTTCAGTTCTTTTTGTTTGGCAGCATCAAACAGCTTTTGATCCTCAACCGAGAGGCTACGGTACTGGACTTCTACCTTTTGTTTTCGTGCAGTGGATGCCAAAAGAACTTGTTCAGCCAAAAACACATGAACCAGTTCCTCTTCTTTTTCTGGCTGTAAGCTTTGGTCATACTCGCAAAGATTTATTTCCCAAACTCCGGAATTATTTTGTGGAAATTCAACATCATCCCCAAAACATGGAAAAGAGTCACCATCATCACTATCAGGTACAGGAATCTCATGTGGTTCCAACTTTCCGTCATCCCCATCATTCCCCTGTTCACTCTCTTCATTTCCTAGAGATGGTGCTGACGTTCCATGACCTGAGTCTGGGGGGAATTCTTCATTGTCCGGTTGAGAGGTGCTGTGAGGAGTTTGTGGTCCACTTTGTCCCAAAGATGGTGAGTAAGCTTCAGAGGGGGCTGCCTCTCCCAATTGATTATCCTCTGGGATATCCTCAAGTTCAAGGTAACCCCTGCCCCTTGGCGTCTCATCCATAGCATTCCCCATTCAATCTTTGGGTAATTTGTGGTACTCTCTCAACGAAGCCGGACGTAATTGTTCCGGGCTTGCCCGAATTATCCGACCAAGGTGACTGAGCCAAACTACCTTTTTTCCTTCAACCACAATAACTTGGGCTGGCCCATGCCAACGCCCACGTTCCAAACGATTGTTCCCCTTTGATCTTCGCCAATACAGAACCCAGTCTTTTGGCTCAAAAGTCAGCACACCTGGTCGGCTACGCCGGAGCAACGCTCTTCTGAAGGCCGAATCGTTGTCAGCCCGAACAAATGCCTTCCTAGCTGCTTCGCGTCGCTGCAAACTGTCCCTAAACCATTGGCCTTCAGGTGAGTTGCTTTCGGCCAGCACATGACTGCTGGCATCATCGTCGCTGACAAGGGAAGCTGGCAATGCTCGTGATTTTCCCAAAAGACATTGTTCTGGGGTGTATCCATGAATGCGGCTGAGAGAATTTTTGGCAGCAAAAGCTTGGCGTAGGTTCTTCCTAAAATCAACCTCTGTCAACACCGGTGAGTCACCCTCCATACGAGTCAACATGTCCTTGACAATCTTTCCATGAACCTCACACCTACCATTTTGCCAGTGTGCCTCAGCTGCTGTCATGGAAACTTTAATACCTTCGGATTGAAGGTAAGTCGCCCAGGCTTCTGTCGCATATTCCCCTGCAGGATCGAGGTATATCAATTTGCATGGTCCTGCCCACTGTGTCCATGCGGTTTCAAGGGCATGCACTTGTTCTTCAAAACTCCGCCCACTATGAACCCCAACATGAAACAAGGTTGCCTCATCAATGAAATGCATAAAATGAAATACCTTGCCCTGAGCACTAGTCCAATATGCCCCATCACCGCCTATCACATCATTGAAATCCAAATTTTCGTGGATGCGACTGGGCTGAGACAGTTTTGGTTGTGATTGCATCTCCGTACATCCATCGCATTGCATATCGAGGGCTCCCTGGATGATTTCGGAGGTTGCTCCCCTTTCCTTCAGGAATTTTCCAAAACGACTTGGGTCAGGGTGTCCCAAATTGTTGTGAAGACGACGTAAATCCGCCCTTGCATCACTCCCCAGTGCCAAAAACCCGGGACCAGACCTAGGTACAACTTTGGGGGCCCATCCTCGTTCATATTCCAATTGGGAGTCATCAACCTCGGTTCGACGATTTTCCTTCACATCCAGAGCCTCTGGCATGAGAGAGTCTTCGCTCTCTGCAGATGCAGAAGGATCGGACTTGGGAACTCGTTCATCTGTTTTCTCTTCAGATGATGGAACGGGACCGGCACTCGATGAGACAATTGCATCCTTGTGTCCAAAAAGTGTGAGAGAGATTTTGGCTGGTCCAGTCTTTCGTATTTGTTTCAACTTTGACAACTTTACCCATTCTTCCGCTGGACCAGTTTCTTTGATTTCCCCAGTGTGACGATCTACCATAATGGTTTTTCGCCATGGGTACCTCTCTGCTGCAAATGCTTGCCCATGGATACGGTGTCTATCTGTGCCACGACAAGCAACCGTGAGCTTGACCGTCATTTCAGGGGTCAACATTTGGGCCCACTTGGTGACAACATGATTTTCCCCAAACTCATGACCCCCAACTCTCCCTGTCTCATACCCTGCATGTCGGAAAATCTCTGCCCACGATGGAGCTCTGCCATACATGGTGGCCTCCGGTTGCTTGGCGTTTAGACGCTGTTTCTTCTGCAGCTGCAGTGCTTCAGGTGCCATGCTGTGCTTTTCATGATCCTCCAATCCAAGAACCATTTCTTCTACAACCAGGGGTTTTTCCTTTCTCCAATTACAGAGATACTGGGCAACCCTGCGGGCAAAAGTTGAGGTGTATGCCTTTGCATAACTTGATATATTCATCCATTTACCCTTTATCCATGCCTTCCCTTTGATATGAGCATGCTCATGGTCCCGTGTGCATGTTTGTTCGTGCAACCAGTTGAATAGTCCCCTACTCGTTGTATAGACCGTGGTTCTTTTCTGAAGAAACCGTTCTTGATTTGGAAGCTTGAGTTTTCCCATGCGGCACATGTCAAACATAGCTGGTAGAGTTCCAAGTCTGGCATCATCTAATTCCCTTTGATCCATCATCTCTGACCCTTTTGGTTGTTCAAGATGAAAGTGTTTACCTTCTCCAACTTGGTGTAAATACAAATCATTGCAGAGAACCAAGTGTTGTTTGTCATGTTCCCTTTCATGTAGTATTTTCTCTAGGAATGTCATGCTACGTCCCATGTTGAACCTGGAAAACATTCCCCACAATCGACATTCGGGTGCTACCCATAGATGTTCGGGTTCATACAACTTTACCCATGACCACAGTTTCTCTTTTCCCTCTTTGGTGCTAAGGTCCCCATCTTTTCGGGTAAAACGAATAGCTCTACCCCCTTTTGCTTGGACTTGTAAAGAAAGCTGAGACCCTTCTTCGCAATAAACTTCCAATAAAGTCACTGGTGGACCATGACTGCCTGGGCGCCCGCTGAACCCTTTTGCCCTTTTGTCTCGTGCGAACAGAGCAGTGTCTGAAACAGTTCTCAACCCTTCCTCAATATCAATCATTTTCTGAGAAATCTGTTCATGTATTTTCTGCTCTTGTTTCATGCTGAGACGTTTCAAGGGACTTCCATTGATAATATGATACACTTCTTGATCAATCGAATTTAATTGTTCTCCAGCACTGGACCTGACGACTGAGCTGAATTGGAGCTGTTCAGCTCCTTTTCGAGCTCCCTCTGCATGATCGCGATCTGTGTGCGAAGAACTTCGACTCGTTCGGGATTCGCCTCGGTCTGCATCTCGTTCTTGGGCTCCTGCATGGAACGCTTGTTCTCCCCCTTGGGGCTGATTTTCATAGCTTCTCCGGTCTTCTCGATCTTGGTCCACTCTCCTGTCACTGTTGTCGGAGGCTTGGATTTTGACATGCTCTTCGGTGCCACCGGTGCTTGGTATCCCCGATGATAATCGGGACTCGGTTCTAATTTCCTCACTGCTCGGCAGTACATCTGGAAACTTCGGACCCAGGATGATACTCCTCTGCGATTCCACATGTGTTGCACATACACCTGGTCCTTCTGGAAGATCTCCGCGAAGGTGCTTCCTGGATATTTTCCCGATGGTGCTCTGATTTGTCCCCACTCTTCCAGTGTATGGATTCCAGGTGGCTTGTTGATCTCCCCGATGTTCCCATGTGTGGCACTGAACCCCAATGTCTCGTCCTCCGGGAGAGTGAGCTCGGCCGTAAGATACGAGCTCTGACCTTGAGATGCCATGGCTGACCTTGGACGTCGCTAAATTTTCTTCTTGATCCTGAAATCTGACCTGCACATTGTTCCCAGTTTCATGTGGCTCGTGTTTCATGTGTACATTAGGTTTTGTTGAACTTCCGACCATCTCCCTGTTATCATGAACATTCACCTTTCTTTGTTGCTGCATGCATTCATTAACATCCAAGTGGTGGTTGGGATATTCATGATATGCTCGACCCTCATGTGTGGTACAACCCTCATGTTCATCATGTTCTTGAGATTCCGTGCAGCCCTCATGTCCCTGTACCTTGTCTACATGCATGATGGTTTCCGTGTCACTTGGCATTTTTCCTGATGGTGCGCATGATAACAGTTCCGAAACCTTTACACTGAGTAGACTTTTACGACATGCATGCAATGGAATGACCCGTGGGCTGCCCTTGAATCTCAGTACTTGGTCTTCTACGTCAACTACTCCCCTGAGACCCCTCAAAATTGAATTTGATATCAAAAATGGTGTTTGCCCTGGCACCACTTCGACTCTGAGCCAGCCCTTTTCACTGCGAGGAAGAAGGATGGCAAATCTGCTGGTCAATTTGGATGAGTTTCCAAACTTGAAAACAACCCCTCTTACGCAAACCCTCTGGGAGAGAATCCAACATACCCTGAAGTCTCTGTTCACCAATCACTGCCCGGCTAGCCCCTGTATCAATTATTGCCTCTCCTACATCTTCCTCACTGTTAAAAAGGCAATCGACACTGGAAAAACTGAAGCTGTTTTCAGCATCAGCACCTGCGTCGGCTGATTTGGAAGGCTCTTTGAAGGTCGATTGGACTGCAGCTGCATCAGCGTTGGTCCCATAGTGTGTCCTACAGCATTGCACAAGTTTTGAGGTGAGTTTTTGTTGAAAACCCCGAATCCCCTTCCATTCATGATCCTCAACGTTGAAACAACACCAAACCCTCAAAGACTCATCTTTCTCAATTCTCACGGTGTCCTCAAAACGATTTTGTGTTGGAGAAGAGAAATAAAAATTTTCTTTCAAAATTTGATCCAGTCCTACCTGGTGCGCCTCGTGGATCAAGACGGCATCGGCGGGTAGATCATCAAGAACATCCTGGTCCTCCGTCAAGGCAATCATCTCCTCAGAGTGAATCTCGGCCAGTCCAGTGAAATTGTTCTTGTCCTTGGAAGCATCGACATTGAGCGGACATTCTCGGCGCCAATGTCCTGGCTGCCCACATTTTCGGCATGTTGAGTTGGCAATCCTCTCTGCCAAGCTTTTGCGCTTTTGCAAGTAGCCAGAACTGGATGCCGCTGCCCCAAAAGTCGATCGCCCCTTTTTTCCCCCGCCACGTCCTTTTCCTTTGGTATGAGATCCTCGAACAGGCCAGAATCCTCGTGATCGGGCTTTGTCTCTCAGGCGGTCTCGAGCTTCTTGATATGTGCTGAAACAAGCCGATAACTCTTGAGAGTCTTGGCAGGTCAGTAAAATCTGCTCCTCAAAGTCCTGCACAAAATGTGCATCTTCATCATTTTCTTCCAGCAGAATCTGTTGAATGGCCTCTTCATCAAGTTCTGGTTCCGTCGAAGTCCAGGTGTTGTGAACTTCTTCAACTTCATCCACATGGTTGACATCATATGTCTTTTGCCGCTGATTGCTCCGACCTCCTGCTTGAAGATCTTGAAAGAATCGTGATCCCAGGAGGCGAATGCTCCTCTTGGCACTCTCGTACTGCAGCTTCCCACCTGCATCCATGATCACCTTCTTTCGGTCATCGGCAGACAGACTTGATTGTCTGAGTAGGATGTAAGCCCTGATCTCCTCAAGCTGAACCCCTCTTCCCAGTAAATCATCAAACGCCACATCATGCCTGGTGAGGTAGCTGTCATTTGACTCATCTGATTTTTGTTGTGTTGAAAACAAGGCTCTTTCAAAGAGATCATATCGATCCTCATCTGCCAACTTTCCCCACTGACCTCCAAGCGATTCGACCAAGTACTTCACACCGTCAGCTGTGCGAAGTTTCTCCGCTTGCAGTCGAGCTACCTTTTGAAAGGCACTCCCCTCGACCTGTAGTGCAGCCCGTGGAGCAAGGTGTTCGATATGCTCTGGGGGCCACAAATCTCGGAGAAACTCAAGCTTCCGAGTGTAGGTCCTAAGATCCGTCACTCCAGGCTCAAATTTTGGTATCTGATGCCAAGGAAGCGCCGACGAAGGCAGCTGTGCGCCCTTGGATCCCGCTGCTTCCGCAGGCTCTGTCTCCGACATGGCTCAGATACTGTTATGGCTGTGCAAGGTTGTCCCTGCAACACCTTAAATTCTACACCTAAGGAACCCTGTCCTATGCCTGCGGCAGCCCAATGGGCTCCGCTACCAATCTGAATCTACTCCAATAGATTTGGGGGAACCCTGTCCTGCCCTAAACCCAGCTGCCTTTGTCCTTGCTGATGGCTCAATATCCTCAACCCTCCCACCACTGGAAGGTGTCCAATGAGGCCGGCGAAATGGAATGGACATGATGGACAGTGAATCATGGCTCAAGTTGGCAAAACAACAAATATATATTATATATATATTATATATATTATATTATATATTATATTATATATATATTATATATTTATATATATATGTATATATTATATTATATATATATTATATTATATTATATTATATTATATTATATTATATTATATTATATTATATTATATTATATTATATTATATTATATTATATTATATTATATATATATTATATATATTATATATTATATATATATTATATATATTATATGTATTATATATAGTATATATATATATATATTATATATATTATATATATATCATGAAATATGAGGATAATTGAGGATATATATATATATATCATTAGTCATTGACATGGTGATATGGTGTTTGTTGATGTTGATGGGGAATTTCATGGGAAATCATGAATTAGGAGTGGGATAATCCTGCTTCATGGAATATAGCGGACTGTACCCTCTGGTAGTCAAACATGCTTTGCTGGAAAAATCCTCATTTGGTGCGATGTTCTTCCCATGTATATATATATATATATATATTATATATATATAGATGATGCCCATTTAGTTCGGGGATTTCCCGGCTAGCCATGTTGACACCAGAGGGTAGGGCATTGGTTGAGGAGCGCTGTTCTGGTCAGAACTGGTTGGTGGTTTAGAATATGTTGTTACTTTCCATCCTACCAGGGATGATGATCCGGACTATTGACGAAAATCTTTCAGGGTGAGACCACCAGATGAGTCATAGCTGAGTTTGTCAAATCTTAATCTTTGATTTGGGAGGGCACAGCATTTGTTGGTGGTAGAGTAGATGTAAAGGGCTGTACCGAGTTTTTTTTTCGTAGATGCAATTTGAATCACCATTTCTCGGCTGGTACCAAAAGAAGCGCAACACAACCTGGGTATGGATCCGGTGCCAAAGAAGTTGGTGATCTGAAAGCTTCCAACTTCAGTGGTTTGTCTACTGCTGTAAATCACTTTTGAAGGTACCATCATCGTCAGACATGTTTTCTTGGACCAAAGGCGCTGATCCTGACGTGGGTCCCTCATAGTTTTTGACAATTGCACCCAAAGATCAATGTGCCAGAAGCAATGATTGTTGCCTCGATTTTTGTGATTTCAGATGCATTCCAATATATGTACTGTATGTTTGTTGTATTTTTTAGAACACGATAAACCGCCATGTTCAAAATGTACAGCACATTTGTATCATATGTTCATCATATGTTCCCCGTTCTCTTAAGGATTTTTCTGATAAGTTGGAACAACGTTGGCTCCGTAGAAACATGCCCGGCGCCGAGGAAGGTGGATACATGTCTCTCGGAGATCTTGAGCTTGAAGGTGCGGCAAAGATTTGAAGATGGATGGATCTGGATGTGGATTTGTCATGGGGAATACCTCTGCCATTTTTAGTGGGAAGTTGATGATAATCATTGATAAGCCATAGGGGGTACCTTATTTTCAGAGGAAACCATATTATGAAAACCATATTCTATAGAACTATAGAAATGGGGAGTTCTAAGGATCGAATGGGCTTTCGAATGGAATTTCGAATGGTACTACGTTATAGAAAGATTGGGATTTCAAGATGGGATTCAAGAATGGGGATTTGACAAAAGAAGTTTGATGTGCTGTGTATTTATGTTGAAGGCATGGTTATCCTGAAATACATGGGATGTAAAATGTTCAGAAAGCAGGTCCTGATCTTCGATGCAGTTTGTTCCGAAGCCTTGTCAACGGATTTTGGATTCAAATGGAGTCTTCTTACCGGGCTTACTTAATGGGCTTGTGCAAGTACATGCATATCTACTATACAATATCATACATATTTACTATAGTTATAAAGTATGGGTAGATTACATTAGATTACATTACATTACATTACATCCATCCATCCATTGACATGTCGCTAGCATATAAATGGTCGATGTAGGGTCTACTTTACCCCCACCCCCCTGGTGGGGTGGGTTAGGGCTAGGTAGTGTGTCACCGGCACAACTAGTGTGTAAGGCAGTAAGTAGCTCGTATGTGGCCAGCATGTAAATGATCCATCTAGGGTCTACTTTACCCCCGCCGCCCCTGTGGGATGGGTGGGGTGTTATAGAGGTATCATGTAGATAGTGTATAGGTAAGTAGTATGTGGCTAGCACGTATGTATAGCACATGAGATCTTGATAGTAAGTAGCTAGTATATGGCTACTTTAAAGGTAGGAATACGTTGTAAATAGATTGTATGGGCATATTATAGGCAATAGTGAACACTGCATGGAGGTATCCTGTTATGTAGTGCATAGGTGGCACAAGGCCAGCATGTAAGTATAGCATATGGGCATATGAGATCTTGACAGATGGTAGTGGATGGCTGGCCACCCCCGTGGGGGTGGCTGCTGGACAGATGGGCTGGCAATTGTTGTTTACTTGCCATCCATTCTTACGGTTTTGTATCTCTTTAAGTCTTTGTCTCTGTCTCTCGCTCTGTACATCTTCTCTGGCGAACTCATCCAGCCCATTTGACCCACACAGGCCGTTCGACCGGCCGTGGGCGCCGATGCAAGTAGCTTGGCTGGAAACTGGCGCTTGCAACTGGTTTCAGCGAAATGTTTCGTGGTACACCCTGCAGGCAACCTGGTCACCTGAAAGATTCTTGAATAGAACAAAAGGATGCAGAAACTCAGTATGTAGGTTTTCTTGACATGGAATCACTTTATCCACGGATCAATCTGTTGCCGCATTGGTTCAGCTTGCGAATAGCAGCCGCAGCGCTAGAGTCTTGCTGTTATGAGCTCATGAATTGTGCCAAAATGATGCAACAGTCTGTGTTGATAAGTATGGAGATCCCTCCCAAAAAATTGGATGGCCCTAAGAATTAGATGGCCGATTTGTCTTACAAGTCAGTCTATGTTATATAGTATATCGTATATGTTAATATATATATATATAATATATATTGATATCCAAAATTATTGTTGGTGAATATCACCGATGTGTGCTTAGATGTACCAAGATGTTTGGACAGCGATGGGGTGCTGTGGGTTCTGAGGTGCCACGTTTCAAATGTTGGTTGTTCATCCTGATGGTTTCTATCACCAGTGTTGCAATTAAGTTTGGATATCCCCAATTCAGTAAACCCAGTTTCATGTTCAGCCAATAAAAACATGATATCCGGATCCCTCCATCAATCCCATGAAATCTGTTGAAGTCCGCCAAAACTCACTGGTGACCGGGGACGCCGGGGAGAAAAGTGTTGAGGACTTGCCATGCAGCGTGCAGCGCACGCTTCGGGGCCATCAGCATCTTGGCTGTGGGATCCCGTGGACATCGGGGGATTTCATGAACATCCTCCATATATTGGGAATAATAGCACCATAATATGTATGTATATATATATATATACTGGTTGGTGGTTTGGAACATGTTTTTTTCCATGTATCGGGGATTTTGATGATCCCAACTGACGAAGTCATATTTTTCAGAGGGGTAGATGGTAGGTATACCACCAATCAGACATGATTTGACCAGATTTTACCATCCACCAAAAATCAGGTTTTTTTTCTGGGTAAATCATGAGGGTAAATCATTGGGATTTCCATGGATCATATAACATATATATATATATATCATTAGGGGGATATCTCATGATTTTGCGGATGAAAAGCATATGGGATGAAGCAAGGGATGACCATGAAATAAGCCTGATGGCCATGTCATGGGGAAAAAGAACAGCCATCAGAAGTGTTTTCCAGAATATGTGGGTAATTCTATTAAGTTACTAAGCCTAAGATTTGTCAATGGTTTACTAACCATAGGATTTACTCCAAAGGATTTACTATCCACAAGATTTGTAAGCCATTGAAATTGGTAGATCTTGTGGATTAAGATGGTTTATCCACGGTAAAGCATTGGTTTCCATTGGTAAATCCCAATGGTTTACCAACCACTGGATGCAGGCGGGAAGCCGTTTTTCTGCCTGGCCTGGGCAGGACTGCGGGCCGAGCAGATAGGGGGTAACCACATGGATCCCAACAAATAAAAAAAACGGATCAAAGGATCAAGGCAAAAGACATGGGAGTTGACAGTATGAATCATAGTAGTTTGACTCATTTAAGCAGCACGGATTGGGATTTAGCCTGAGTTAAACAAACATAGATATGGAAAATCCATGGTTTCACTTTGGGATTTTCCGTATGATAAATATTATAAATTACTGGAGGACACCCCCGGGCGAAAAAAAACATTGACAACTACATGTTTATGTTTAAAACGGCATCTAAAATTCCAATGTTTTTCATGTTGATCAAGGAACTGATCTGAAAACTTCAAAAGCATGCCGAAGAAAGACAAGGAGAAAGCAATGGTTCCCTTTCGGGCCCACCGAGAATTGTACCCAGGCCCAGGGAGAACCCCTTTTTTGGACCCAGATGGTTCCCTCAATTCTTGGAGCTCTGCAAGAAACAGATCAAAATCCATCATGATTGAGTTATGCTTGATTTTTTGGGGGGTAAGCGATTCTGATGGATAACTCATTGATAACTCAATATGGAAATCGCTGGGTGTTTCCCTCCCGGTCCAGGACTTGCCCGCGCGGCCCACGGCATTCCAAAGTGAGGCGTCATCGGCTACGAAGCTTGGGCACTGAAGTATGGTGCTGAATGATGTTAGTGAATGGTTAGTGATGCATATACTATTGTTTATAATATATGATAATATATGTATAATGTAATTGTATGTGTATGTATATATATATGCAAATTCTAACGACCTCACTGCGACCTCACTGGAATCATGGTTAATAAGGGGAATCATCCCAAAAGACCCTTATTTCAGGTTAGTGACTTATTACAATTTGCCCAGATGTATATATATATATACATACATACGTGTATATATATATATGTGTATATATATATATATGTATATGAAATATATATATGTATATATATGTATATATATATATGTATATATATATATATGTATATATATATATGTATACATATATATATATATGTATATTGCATATGCATGTATATATATCTATGTATATATATATATATACGATCATGAGTTGACTCATTGAACGGACGTTAATGGACTGATTTTACTCGTTGGTTTTAAATACCATTTATAAATTGGGTCTTGATTTGCGGATTTATATAATCCGACGAACATATCCACTATATGTATAAATATATATATATATACATAACTACATTTACATAGCCTTGGTAGTAGCGGTGTGAGAATTCGTCCTGTGATCATGGCTGGAAAGTCTCAATCAAACTTTGTGGGGGATGGAAATTGCCATGTTGGACTTCGATGTTGATTTGGATGTGCAAATCATGGCCAAGAGTGGGTTTTCACAGCTTATGTTTCGACCATTCACAGTGGAATATCATTTTCATACAGGTACCATACTTGTGTATGTTGAAATGAAAGGCTTCAGGACGGACATGTATTCTCTGCCAAAATTGGGATCCCATACCTTTGAAGATCATATCACAACGACCTCACCATAGTGATGGCTTAAATGAGGCATTCTCCCGAAAATTGATTCGTTTTCAATGGAGATGAGTCAAAACCTATAGTTTTCCAAACAGGGAGATGACTTTTCACGATTAGCACCACGTCTTTTAATGTCTGACGTGTTTTTCTCAGGGCGCCGTTGTTGGTTTCGTTGATCCCATAGCAGCTATCGGCTATTCTCTTTGGGATGCCCAGCTCATGGATTTTGATAATCCCTAAGATGTAAAGGATTGGTTTATAACCCCTTAAAATAAGCAACCGGGTTTTGGCTGGAAACTGCTGAATTGATCTTGATTCACTTGATTGATTCCCAGATGCTGGTGCTGGTGTATTTGCCTGGGACACTTTTTGCAATATGGTAACTCCCCACAAGAAGGAAAGTTGTTGATCACTGTTTTAGTAGGATTTGCCTTCTTGTTTTTGGGGTTTTTTGGGGTGGGTGGTGCTACAAATGTTGCTAGAGATACATACCCATAGGATCCATGGTGCTGGTATATATACTAACATTGGGGGTATATTGATGGGATCCATGTTACCATATATAGCAGCACCATGGATCCTATGGGATATAAATACTCCAAACGAGCGGAAAAACTGCTGCGACCCGGCATTGTAGCGTTTTTCAAGGAGCGGCCTTTATGGCAGCTCTACGTCGCTGGGCAGTGAAGAGTTGGAATGCCATGACCATGACAACCATATTGGTCGAGTCTGTCATGGAGGATACTGCAGATACCTTACAGATACCTTACAGATACCTTCGTTTATGGCAATTGTTTAAGGGATATATGTGTGATTAACTGATTAACCATCAGATTTGGTGGTATGTACTCTACTTTCATATAATCAAGATATTTCTTGGGATATGAACGGCTAGTGGCTCACAGGAACCGGCCCCCCAGTCATAAATCACATATGCTTCATGATGCTGGAATGTTGCTGACACCCCAAAAGCCGCCCAAACGTCCAGCACAGTCCATTTAAGAGGAACGAAGTACGCTCCCAATCAAGTGAGTCCTGTGGGATGGGTGAAACATGGTGAAACATGGTGAAACCATATACCAGATTTGGATAGATTTGGGATATTTAGATTTATTTAGGCATATGGATTGAGGCAGTGAACATGTGTCCTTCCCGGAAACCCTGGCAGAATGTATTGGATTTGTGCATCATGTATTGGACCATGTATTGGATGAGATTATGTTGCTGGTGTTTCGTTTTTCTATGGTTGTTTCTTGGAAGCAAGACGCAGTAGTTACACAAATATAACATCGAACATGATGGGGCAGCGACTAGGAGGAGCTGACCTTTTTCATGACGAGTGAGCCAACATTTTTTCGAAAAATGAAAGCTTTGAAAATGGTCCGGCCCAAACCAGGAGTTTCATGGCCCAACTAATTACCCTCTGGTAATTTAACGTAGCTATTGAAAATGGCCATTTATAGTGGATTTTCCCATTGAAAATGGTGATTTTCAATAGTTTTTTGTATGTTTACCAGAGGGTAGGGACTTCAATGATTTGCTGTGCACTTCGCATCTTTCCCCGGGATCTTTCGGTCGACGAAGCTCACCGGTGCAATCCCATCATGAAAACGTCTGAAACACGGCCATTTTATGGTCCCAAATATGTGGTTTCGTTCACTAAACCATGCTTCTGGAGGGTGATATCATGGATAAGGGATAAATGATAGTTGGTTGGTTATAAACCATCATATCCACATTCATCTCCCTTAAAATCTTCGTCGAAATTGATGTTTTTCAAGCCCATTCATCCCATGGTTGATCAGTTCCCATCTCCCATCAGAATCATACAGTACTCCCTGTTGTCATCCCCCATGTCTTTTTGCAAACCATCTATGAATTTCCCATGAATTGTTGATCCCTTTGTCCTCAGATTGGGTCCAACTCCCTGTTTTTCTCCCTGTCCTGGTCCCACGTCAGCAGGTCGGAGGCAGATCCCCGTCATTCAGTGCCTTATTCACGTGAGCGAGCTAAAAAAGGCTTCGATAGATGTCAGGATAGAATGATTCATATCTCATCTATCAATATAAAATATATATATATAAATAATATGATAGTTCATCTCTCTTTAATAAATCATTAGAAATAACAAAGGGATATTACAACTACAGATAACTACAGTATATCAATACACATATGTACTTATATATTATATGATATGATATATACACACCAGAAATAAATAAAGATTTCACATTGATTTAACCAAGAAAAATGCTTGCATGTCCCTGTAACAAATAGGGTCTATCCCGAATTCCCACTTATTTTGGTTGTAGGTGGTTTGTAATTCAGCAGCCCTAATTTGTTAAATACTTCCGATATCCCCAAATTGAGTAGATCCAGTAGCCAGGGTTTCGTTTGGGGTGTTTTATTTTGGGGAAAGATGGGGAAAGGCATTCAGTCAGAACAGCTTTTTGCTCAGCATGGTGCGGCTGCGGCCGGGTCATGGCTCTCCATTCCAATTCGGGTCGGACCCCTTTTTTGGATCGCTTACATTCATAAAATCACCCCAATTCGGTACAATTTCATCTGTCCCAATTTGAAAATTGGTTCGATCTCCATTCCAGCAAGTTGATGTTCGTGACTTTGGCTTTCATGTTTGCCTTGACTCGGATTCTTTGAGCGCCTCACCACTTGCAGTCAGATTTGCCCAATTTTGAACGTTTTTCTCATCATTTAGACTAGTTAAACAATGTTTAAACACACATCCTATCACATGTATCTCACCACCTAATCAATCCCTGATTTGTTTGTGGTTATATCCCTGTGTCAGTTGTAGTTTAGTGATGTTTAATGTATTTTAAGGTTTAATCGCAATTGTTTGGTTCTATCATTCCAGTTCCAGCTATCACAGGTGAAAAACCATTCTGGCTGAATCATGGCGACCTAACTGGCTGACGTCACTTCAAATGATGGTTTGTAAGTGGAATCCTCCAAAATCTGGCATCTCAGCGCAAAGTATGAAATAATTTGGCCTAGAATCAAACACCTGTGTCATGTTGCTAGCTATGTCACAATAGATCCCAAATCCCCACCAGATGGTTGATTTCAATCCCATTCGTTCATGTATGTATAGTATATACAGTATATGTATGTATATATATATATACATACACAATATATATATATATATAGTTATATATATACATATTTTTGAATATCCCAAGACTCATGTTTCCAAACCGCATGTTTTCCCTGTTCCCAGATTGTCGCGTTCCCTTTTTTGTCGCAGACATTTGAGGTGCGGCCACGGCTGACAGAGGCCGGTGGACTCACCGCCAGTGTGCCTTGGCCGTTTTTAGATAGGTTACCCTCTGGTAAACATACAAAAAACTATGGAAAATCACCATGTTCAATGAGAAAATCCACTATTTCTATGGTCATTTTCAATAGCTGTGTTAAATTACCAGAGGGTATAGGAAGTGTAATGTTAATACATCTTAATACTAGTTATATAATATGTTTTTATTATTACACTAATTATAGTTGTTATAATCAATCATAGACCTATACTCATTTAAGGGAGTTATCTATCATATAATGTTAATACTGATTATAATTGTTATTATAGAGCATGATAGACCTGATAAATAGATAGATATAAATAGAGTGACATCATGGTTGGTAGAGGTTTTTTTCGTGGTGTATACTACTTGTTTTTTGGATGATCAGAAAGATGAACTGGGAATCCCGGTTTTGACCAACCAGCATAATGGAATGACATGTTGGGTTTTGAACACTCTGCGCATGTTTCCGTGAAATAATCATAGATTGATGTACCAAGACCCTGCAAATACCCCTGAGGATGGGTAAAAGTCCGATTTTTGATGTGTTTATTATCCCAATTGTTTGCGGTATCCCCCATTTCCATCCATTTCCTGACAACCCCCATGTCCCATATGTCCACCCATACGGCTCCTGAGGAAGAGACTACCCTGCGTCGCAGAATCGCAGCGCCTCGTAGAATTATTTTGGGGATGGCTCATGGCATTGGGTTTACCACATTATGGGCCAGTATGGGGCCAAAATACAAGGTGTTTCGTCATCTGAAAGCGAATCTTTGATGCTTAGCCGTCCGGTAACTTGGCAATGGAAATCCTCATGGAAATGCCCGTTTACAGATACTGTAAGCATGGTGCCAACCCTAGTTTGACTCATTTGGGTCACATTTTTGTAGAGAACAAATTCACACATCACGATGAGCATCCGATCCTTCTTTGCTGGTCACATTATCTTCCTAGAAACACAAGGGTTTAACCAATAGACTTTAAAATCCTCAAGAGATCCCGCAAGTTGCTTGGTATGTTTCCCTCAGCCAAAACCGAAACGTCCGTTTCGCGTTGCGGCCAGATGCAAGCGCGTGACGTCGACTTGGAGGTTGCCTGGAAGCTTCAAGCCAAAAAGTTGCCAGGTCGCATTGAAACCTCGATCATTTGCCTCAAAATATGTGAAAAATATAGTGATGTCCCATAGCAAACTATTAAGTAAATCATATAGTAAAGCATGTAGTAAATCATAGTAAATCAGTTCCCTAATGGTGTTCCATAGCAAACTGTCAATTGACCGGACAGTGAGTTGGGATGGGTAAACCGCTGGAGTTTGGAGATAGCTACCCTATTATAACTATGGAGGATGGTACATTTTTAGGATTTTGTGAATTTGCAGTGGTCATGCCGGGGGATGTTTAGTGCTGTTTTGTTGGTACTCATGATCTTCGGGGAACCATGCCAAACATCCTTGGATGATCATGGCTGACTGTCGGATGCTGACTGGTTCGGGCTAGAGGAAACCACCAAAAAGGTTGGCATGTTTCTGCTTTGAAAAAAATAGCAAGTTGCCAATACTGAAGTGAGGGAATCAAGAGAAGGATAGAGGGATTCATTGAACATGCGAACTATATATACATATATATAATAAAAATGTAATCATCAATACCGGAAATTTAGCCAACAATAAACGGGACATGAATCAACAGCTCATGTAGTTTCCAACATTTCAAAAGAAAACGACTGGATTTGACCCAAGTTCGGATCAGAATTTCGCAAAGTCGTTGGTGAAATGATTTCAGATCTACCAGGTTTACAACAGCCTCTACTCCAAAGCTAGTGATCCACTCACAGTTTTGACCATTTTCTGGCTAGTCACCAAGGGTTTCTACTCGGCAGGCGGTAACGATCCGGAGAGCTGGAGCTGGGATCGTCCCCAAAGCTTCCTGTTAGATGTGGATGGTATCCCCAAGTTTCAGGCTGCCGAAAGGCGCGATCTATGATGATATCATATTCTTGTTTACCCCATAGGATCCATGGTGCTGGTATATATACTAACATAAAGGGGGTATATTGATGGGATCCATGTTACCATATATAGCATACATGGATCCTATGGGTACAACGATATCCCCATGAAATATCGAGGATCTTCCCATTTCACCTTCCGAAAGTCTACGAGTTTGGTCGCTGAGGATGTGCGAAGACGATGTGACCGCGACTTGATGAAATCCTGGGGCCCAAAGGGGATGATTTTTGAGCCACCCAAGAAATAGGGATCTATGAGGAGAAATATATATATATACATATATATATATATTAAGTAACCAGCAGATAGAATATGTTTTTTTAGATTTTTGAATATTCTATCTGTTAGTTATACTTAATATGATATATATATATATGTACTTATGTATTTATATGTATGTATGTGTATGTATATATATATATATCATCTGCCATGATTGCCACAATTATTGGGTGTGTTTGATAGCATGGGGGATACATGGGGATCCCCAAAGTTATTGCGGGTGTTTTTTTCCATTTTCAGACACATCCATTTCTACAGAAGTCATTGGGGATGGTTTACGATTTTTTTGATTACCGCATTACAAGTAAATTGATAAAATGCGGTAGGTTCTGAAAGAGGGACCCCCAAATCCATCTCAGATTCTCTCAAGATTGTCTACTTCTGAAGGGAAGTTCAAGGCTTACAGTATACCGTATTTTCTGGAAACACTTGAACTACGGTCGCTGAGTATACGCATTTCATGGAAAATAGATGGGATGGGTGCGAATTGATCGATGCTGAATACCGAACATCACCCTTGATGACTGCTGCTCTGTCTTAAATTGCTAGAAGATCTAGAAGGTAATCCACCCATTGCACTGTTGGTTCTGGCCGTAGAGCACTCATGGCAAAATCAATTGTTTGATAATACATGTTGCATGCGAGGCTGAATCCCTGCTTTCCCCCAAGCTTTGAGAAGTGGGTAAGTCAATTTGACAATGTAAGCCAGTACAACAAGCCATACAATAGGTTGGACTCATCTATTAAGCATGCCATGTGAAGAAGACCTGAAAGGGGGCAAAGGCCTTAGCTCTCTTTCTTTGTCAGGCAAATAGATTTGTGCCCATGAAACATACCATTTATTTGTCACATATTTCTTTGTCCGTAGCTCTCCTTAGCTCGCGTGAATTGCCTGTCAATGGATTGGTCGGATTGGTCGGAAACATCGGCAGAAAACCATGATAAATTATGATAATTTTACCTCCAATTTTCATGGGTTTTCCATCGTTTGCCCTCACTTTCGTAAGGCCGCATAAGGAGTTCACGTAAGGGCTTCCTCAATTTGCTCCGCGTGAGAAAAAATCCCACGCGCGTAAGCATGGCTGCTTGCTCTGCACCCAAAATCATACGACAATGCGAGTGAATGTTTTTAGATAATTAATTGATGATGTATGGTGATAAATGGTTAATATATATGTTGATATACTATAATTGTTAATGGTTAATCATCATTTGATGTATGTGTATACGATTTTTATACGTATAAACATAGGTTTTTAGCTTCACGTCGAGGATATGCAGCCCATGCTTCGTTTGGTGGAACGATCTTGGACCGAGTCACTCTGGGCTGCTCGGCGCCGGCACAGATTTTTCCATGAAAATGTCCCGGAATTGGTGATGTTTAAAATGGTTATTTTATAGAAACCACACCAAAAATGTTTAAATTGGTGATTTTTCCATTGGCAAAGATGTTTACGATGTTTAAGTTACTAGAAACCCGTTATTTTGATGCGGAAAACATATGATAAAACCATGGTTTCCTGTGGATTTTGTTGTAAACCACCCAGTGATAATTGGTGATGTATGATGTAAGGGGTACAATCTATAGCGGTACTTTGCCTTCATCATTTGGTTTGTTTCCATCCAGTTCACGCATTGGGATGACCATAGGTCGGAGCAACCTGTTGGAATGAATGCATTCCTGTTCCTTGGTTGGGGGAGTTTATAGATGATAGACGCTAAAGTTCAAGAGGCACATGCCTATTGTATTATCCTGTCCTTGGGTTTGTAAGCGTCGAGAATTGCATCGGTCAAGCTTTGAGATTGATTTGGGTCTTTAAAAATCGGTATCCTCATGGTATCCCCATGGTATGAGGAGACTCACCGCATGGACTCTGAGTGGGATCCTGAAGATGTTGGTGAATCCACTTCTTTCGTGGAGTCTGTGACTGTGTATAGAATCTACAGATACATGCTGGTTAATTTAATGGTTAATGATGATGGTTAGTAATGGTTAATAATAATGGTTAGTAATGGTTAATAATAATGGTTAGGAATGGTTAGTAATGGTTAGTAGTGGTTAGTAATGGTTAGTAATGGTTAGTAATGGTTAATAACAATGGTTAGTGGTACATGTCATGTAATATATCTCCTTTGATAATCTAACATAGAAATGGAAAAGTACATTGTTTACGAGGTAAATCAATGTACATCATCTATAAGTGGACCATATCTTCCATAGCTCCCTGAAGGTTTGTGACGGTAGGGTATGGGTTGAAGTACAGACGCTGGGCCAAGGAATGGGAATGCTATGCCCTGCTAGGTCACAACCCCCAAACGCATTTCCAGTTTCACTGGTTGAACATGGGCTACATATATAATATTGGGTGTTTCTCACCCCAAGACCATTGGTTTCCCCATTCAAATTCACCAATGGAAGATCGTCCAACTTGTTTGGGATGTTGCCGCAAGGAGTTTCTCGATGATCCTACTTCCAGCTGCTTTGCGTGGTGGACATGGCTCTTTCTGAAGCTCGGAATTTACGACAGCATGAAGTTCTTGAATCTCCATGGATGGTGAAATGTCCCATCAGCAATGGCTTCAGTGGCTGCTTCGGCAGCCGGCAATTATGACTTCAGTTGGGACACCATGACTTTTTTGGTGCTGCAGATGTGTCACGGAAAAAAAAAAAAACGAAAAAAAATGATGCGGATGGTCTGCGAAATATTTCTGAGGACCAAGGGGAGCCCTCCAGTTGCAAGTTCTTGAAGCATGAGATATGTTATTTTCATGTGGGTTTGTCTGAAAAGATGGTACCCCTAAATCATATCATATCCTTAGACATAATTGTTCCATTAAAAACATTTTTTGGATATATATGATGGTATATGTCATTCTGAAACACAGCCATAATATGCGATGGAGACCACTGATTGGTTTTTGTGGCCCTTCTCCTCAGGAGATCACCATGTTGGAGGAGGATTTATCATCGAACTGATGGGTAATGTTCCTGACCAGAGGGTAAGTAATAAATACATACTAATAATCATGGTCAATAATGGAAATCATCCCCAAATGGCCTTAATTCAGGTCAGTGAAATATTATAATTTACCCAGATACTAATGGTTAATTATGATCCTTTTCCAATGGAAACAGGTAAGTAATAAGATGTAAGAAGTAATACCAATGGACCAATGGTTGATGATCCTTTTCCAACATGGTTTCTCCTTTTTTGGATGCCAAAAAATATAGTTATGGCAAGGCCAGCCGGCCAGCCGGTAACCTGACCGAGGAAACTCCTGGTTGTGTTGTCCTTCGTCATCTCATGCTACTTGGGCACCAAAATCGTCGCAGCAGTGAATAGCCATGGTTTGTTTCCCCGAGATATCACCAGGGCCACTTGGTGAGCTCCAGAGGCAGCCTTTGCGGCTGGGAAAGAGATCTACCTTCGTCCTCCCATGAAAGGAGGAAGATGACGTGCAACCCTTTTTCTCATAGACAACAAATCCAACTGAGCTGGATGGTTGGGAGAAAGCTAGGGACATTTTTGCTGCATCAACAAATCCAACAGATCTGGGTGAATTGATGTGAATGCCCGGCCTGCGAATTTCACATGGGCCGGAAAATCCGAACTTTCAATGGGTGAAAATATGGTACAATCATGGAAGAAAATGGGTGATTCATTCCAGCAAGTCAGGTTTAATTACTGGAAGGTACACAGTCTATCCATGTAAACATCCCATTATATCCCCATTAGATCTCATTACACCAGCATTTTTCTTGGTGAAATCCCTAGCTGAGCTTCATCCCCAGTGCGTTTGAGCTTTTTGCAGAGGTTCCCAAACTCCCGAGAGCCCTTCGCGCATGGATCCTGTGGCAGCTGCTATCTGGGAGACATCTTTGGACACGTTCTTCTTGTTCGAAGCTTGGCAGCGGCTGGGGGTCCATACTTGGCACATAAATGGGGTGGAACAACATGGGTAATTATATGGGATGAAAAAAACATGAGCTGGGATAGAACGTCCATAGACTTTACCCGGTAGCTTTGGAAAAGCCTGTTTTTCTTGGGTAGATACTAGAAATGAATGGAAACTAAAGATTGAAATCCATGGATCATATCCAAACCTTGTAGTAGTCTATGGAACTTAATGAACTGGGAATCCGAGATGTCTTTGATAGTGGTCTATTCTTTTCAAAAATAGAACAAGTGGATGAAACCTTCTTTGCCTCTCCCAAAAACAACAGGTTGATAAGCTGACTCCCTGCATCTTTTCAACAGAATTGCCCCAGGTTAGATACTGGGTTAGATCCAACTGGTGGTGAATTGTAACGACCTTGTTGCGGTGTCACCGTAAATGATTGTTGGTAGGAGGATGTAAGTGGAAGTACCGTAAAATAACCTCTGCTCAGATTGATGAATTGTCATAATGTTGCCAGATTCAGATGCTGTCCATCCCCAGCTTTACCCGCTTGCATTATTTCAGACAATCGTTGACATAGAATTCACATGAATTCACCATCTTCTTTTCGAAACTCATCGTTCTGCAGTTCCTTGCTTGCTCTTGCAATGTTCGGATTTCGTCATGACGATGAACTGATTGAAACACATGTATATTCATTTATGATAGTAATAGTGATAGTAACCATAATAAGGTTTAACAATATATTGATATACGTATATATACGTAATATATATAGAGATATTATGTTATATATATAATATATACACATTATATGTAATATGTACTATATTACATATATATATAATATAGTAGGTAATATATACATAATATATATATACATGTATATTTGCATATTTATGACCCCCTCCATCCATGGATTGTTGATTTTCCAACAAAACTACCCACTACCGTAGATGGACGAAACTTCAAACCCCTTCTATCCGGTACAACCCCCCAACATAGTGCGTGTTTCAAGGTTTGAATATTTCATCCATCTACTGTAGGTCAATAAGTAAATATCGCGCTAATAAAGCTGCATACCAGCGCAGTGGATCATTTTTTCAATTGATTGTTTGATGTGTTTGTTCACAAGCGTCTTGTTTTGTCATGTGTTTACAAACTGTTTTCTGTAGCTGTTCCACTACAGAAACCAATTCTGGGAAACCCTCGAGTAGACTAACCTATACATTATGTGACCATGTGTGTATTTACACAGGAGGTAACTGTAACCCAATGTAAACTAAAAATATAAACTCACAAAGATTTTGGATTTTCAACCGAACCGGCAATGTTCTATCTCACCCCCTGGGTGACAGGAGTTTTTGGCGCGAGTGATTTCGACACCTTCGAAGAAGACCTACTTCAAAGCAATTCGGCATGTTTTTCCGATGGAAAACTGGAATTGTTCTCAAGGGTGATTTGGGGATTGAATGGGTAGAGATTCTTCTGATTGATAGGGTAATTATACCAAAAAGTGGGGGATTTCGAAGCAAACAAAAATCGATGGGAATACAATGGGAGATACATCAACCATCATCAACCAATGTAATATTTGGTGTCTAAAAATGTATACTATACCCCCATCGAAAACTCGGAAATTGTTGGGAACATTTGTTTTTCCTAAACCATTCCAACTGGGGCTTTTATTTGGTGGATTACAAGGTGTCCTCGGAGGCCTCCATGGTGCTGGTATATATACTAACATAAAGGGGGTATAGTGATGGGATCCATGGAGCACCATAGCAGCACCGTTAGGATCCGTCATGGGATTTGGAAGATCATAGTCCAATGGTCCGAGCAGAAATTATGGGTGACTCATATTCCGATGTTCCGAGTTCGGGATCCGCGGGATCAAGATCAGCAACAAAAATCGCCGGGAAGTCTGAGGAATTCGTTGTGTCCCTCAATTAAGACGTCAATGAATCAATGAATCAGTGGATGAATGAACGAATGAGAGGAAGGGAGGAATGAATGAATGATAATGATAATGATAATGAATTAATGAAGGAAGGAAGGAAAGAAGGTTAAGACCAAGCAGAAACATATTTCGAAAGTGTGGTTCTTGTTTGGTCGCCCTAGGTGTGTTTTTGGTCGCACGCAGCCCTTCAAAGATGGGAAGCCACATTTTCCACCGGGTAAATGATACATGGAACATTTATCCACCCATTGGGGACCTCATGGACCCAATTTTTGAGGATTTCCCTCTGGTGACTGTTACAGTTCGCAAGGTGTATAGAAATTACCAGAAGGATCCAGAGGGTATATAATAGTGGAATAGTCCAAACAAATGCTGAAGAGATTCAGTCTAGGAATTATACTCATTGAACAAAGAATAACCATTTTAAAATTCATTTAAATAACCCTATCGCATTCCACGACACTTGTTGGTTCAGAGATATTCTTATGACATGGGATGTAAGAATCGCATTTTGAACCACGAGGCATTAAATCCACTTTTTCCAGTTGGGTATGTACAGTGAGTCAATTATTACTGTGATCCTTTTATCATTACCATTACTATTATCATTATTTCTCCTGTTAAGTATGACGTAGTGTTGTCCGCCTGATGATTATGATCCGGACTATCAGTGTTACTAGTTGTTCTTAGGATTACTGTAATTAGATTAGGAATTCGTAGTATGATCATTATTATGATCAGTATGTCCTTATTCTTATAGTATTATTAATTACTGTTATTAGATGTTATTAGCACTACTGTTCCAATTCGTAGTATGATCATTGCAATATATTGCAATTATTCGATTCTTATTGTCCACAGCATGTAACATCGCTCCTGCCGCTGCGCGCATCTGCGCCCCAGGACAGGTTGAACTGGGCCGATATGGTCTCCGCCTTGGGTCTCCCCTTGCGCGCCAGCGTTGTCACTGAGCGAAAAACTGCCAGCGTTGGCAGCGTTTGTCCGAGCTCGGGGGATGGCTCGATGAAAAGAATAGTATATATAATACTATAATACAGATATATAAAATAGGTGATGCTGAAAGTATTTCTGGTAAATGACTTTTCTATCCATTTGTTTGATCTTTTCGGAATTTGAAGGTCAAGAATTCCCACGCTGACCCCAAATTGGATGCTTAGCGTCACTGTCAGCATCAGAATTCAGTCCAAAGTGACCACTCTCGCTGTGTTTCACTGGCCATAGAAGACATTATTAGCATATTTAGAAAGTAGAATATATAGTAATATAATAATATATAATCATTGTATGTGTACATATACGTATATATATATATATACATATCATAGGATATTCCGTTTATGTGTGACAGTTGCACAAAGCACACATTTAAAAAAATCCCTGCTCATCATCATCCCATTGGATGGGCGAATCCGGTGAATCCCTTCCTTAAAGACCATGATGGCGGTAGGGAATTTCCACATTCCATTGGGATTTATTAAATTTATGGGATTTATATGGGGGGTTTAATATGAACAAGGGTGATGGGATGATATTACAACCACATTAGGAACACTAAGATACCAGTTCTCCCTTTGGACACGCCATCGGACCGTTGCTTCAACACATGGTACTGGGGACCCGAAAAGTACATTGGACTAGCTGCGACTAGCTATACAGGTTGATCTGAAGATTGGGTACTTGATAAGATCTCATGCTCGACCCCATGAAACTTGCAATATATTGGGCAACTGCCCAAGAAATCTGGAATGATCAACTGAGGGCTTTGTGATCTACGTCGATGCGACTTCAAGGCCACCATTCACGATTGGGAGATGGGATGTTAGATTGCTGGCCCAACCGACAAGGTCACTTTTAAGTCATTCGTCATGGATTAATATATAGAATATTATATATATAGAATATCCAGATACAACATCCCACTATGTTGATGGGATTGCAGCAATATCCATATTGCTTGAAAACATGATGCACTTATGCAGGGATTGATGATGCTAGCGGTTCGCTTTGAAACACCAGTGGAAGGGCTGCCGATCACATTGGATCCAGAACGGCAGGGATGGAGCAAAGGGTGTAGCTGGATGATTTTAAAGATGACACAAGGATAGGGTCTTGATGGATGTTCTTGTGTTTTGGATGACTCTACTATACTTTACTTGCAGATGTAGTGGGAAGTGCAGTTTCAGTGAGGTGAAGTTTAAGAAGGTGCCAAAATATGTTCTCCGGATGTTCCATGAAAATGGTTGCCAGAGGGAGTCGATCTCCGCAGGTACCAACAGACAGTGAACACCATACTGCCACTTGGGTTTTTAGCAGGACGGCTCAAACATTTGGGTTGATCTGAAAATAGGGACCATTGAAAATCCAAGTGTGCATCATCATTTCTATCCAATGGCAATTTGATCGCCCATTTCCGCCCATTTTCAGATTTTCTATATCTATCATCACACTGGACTCCCTGTGCCCCAGTCGAGACGGTCTTACTGAGGCTCCTATTCATACCCTTGGTCCGTTTTCTAAAGCTGCTCCGGTACTTCGAAGCGTTCAGGTCGCAACGTGAACAAATGTGAGCAACGTAGAGTGGGAAAAACATGGATGGGTTGTTGGATGGGGTGATACCCAACAAGCTTGGCAATGGACATGTTCCTATTTATACATGTTGAAACTAAATAATAACTAATATATATATATATGTATATGTATATACTTATTATATAAATTGTTGATATATGACATGTATTGTTAAAGGAGAACAAACTGCGCTAATAGGGGAGTTCCATTGCCATTCTCACAGATGAAAAAGCGCACGGGCACTTTGACATGCTCCCAGGTTGGACAGTGGGGTGCAAAGACTATAGCTCTTATATATTCTAAGATGCTATAAGTATAGTAGCATTCAACGATTCAATGTGATGTGCTGTATTTTGTATATACTTCTGTTTGACGTATCTATTTGAATGACGTACCTTTTTGTGTCTATTTCCATGTTTGTATTTGATATGTCTCCAGATCTGTATGCATAGATACATCTGTCATATGTAGTAATATTTCTAGGGGTCCCAAAAAAAGTATCAATCACATCATAGTCATTCCCTGGAATTTTGGTGATGAATCACTGTTCAATTTTGGGGGATCACTACAAGTCTTATCAATCAGGATGTAGATATACTTATAAATATTGATTACAGATATAGTGTTATTATAGTATTATAGGTCAAGATAATGTGTGTGTATAGATACATGAAAACATGGAATTGTTTCCTATAAGATTATAAGAACACATGTCTTTTTATGGTAAACATCCTGATCCCGGCAGGCTCTTGGTTGATGCCTTTAAGAATTCTGTGGAGGCGTTGCCAGTCTTAGTTGCTTGGTTCCAGTGGTTCCCAAGGGCACCCAAGGGATACCCTCTGGTAAACTAACGTAACTATGGAAAATCACCATTTTTCATGGGAAAATCCACTATAAATGGGATTGTTAAGCCAGAAGTCAAATTTGGAAAGTCCATGTCTGACGTGTGTTGGAACCAACTTAGTGGAAGTGGTTTCATCCCCCACGTTCAAGAGAACCATGAAGTTCCAGGGCTAATTTTCCACTTCCTTGGGTGTATCAAATAGGGTGGATCCAAATGTTTGCCAGTTGAATCGCAATTCGATGCTGGCCAAATCCCCATTGTTGTTTGAATCATTCATTCTCTTCGTTGAATCCCATCTTCTTGTGCTGGCTATTGCTGGTTCTTTCGCTTGTAAATCCTAATTTTTTGCTGGTTGACACCCCAGATTGGTCTTCTTGTTCTTGTTCTTGTTGTTGGAATCACCAAATTTTCACTGCACCCCAGAATATCCCAATGTTTTTTTCAGACATATATCCCAGTATATCCCCAGTATATCCCCAGTATATCCCCATCCCTCATGGCATCCGAATCGTTGCCCATGAGGCCTACCTCATGGCCCTCATTACCGCCCTTGGTGCCACCGCCATCTATCTCTCGGAGGATGGGTCTGCTATGAGTTTTCATATGCATGTAATGTGTACAGTCTGCATCACATATACATATCCTGTATAATATGTCTATATATTATATAGGTATATACTTACATTGAATATATTTTGGGTGTTTTTGTTGATGAGGAAAAATTGCAAGTCTCAAGACTACGACTCTACCTTCACCTTGGGGCTTCGCCTACCATTCGCCTTAGATTCCCAAGCCACAGGACAGAAGCAATATCCCGAGTTTTCAGCATGCCATGTGGTTTGCCATCATCACAATGACCTCTGTCACCCGGCAAGAATGGATCGTCGTGCAAGAATGGCTTTTCTGAGTGGATTGGGATACAACTTCAAGATACCCACTGTATTCCAACAAGGCCAAGAAAAGTCATTATTTTCTCGTGATGTCCTTTGTTTTCCAGAAGTTGATTTCATTGCCATCTTGGATTATTGCAAGGAAGCTTTCTATATCTTCAGCCCGTCGAGCTAATGACTGGGCAAAGCCTGGTGAAGCGAATTGTTTAGAATGAATGTATGTAGTAAACTTATAGGTACCCTACTAGGTAGTAACTTATTATTGCACTGCTACTATTAAAAATACTTGATTCATGTGTCCCCTTTTATTGTCAGCTATCCTAGAGATGTCCCTTACTGAAATCGCCGCAGTCCTGGATGCATTGTTTCACTACAACCAATCAAACTTCGCAAATCCAGAGATCCTGCATGATCTCCATCTCAGGTTGGTTATGGGGATTATTACCCCGAGTCCTTTGAAGGCTACGTTTCCGCTTCTTGGCCGAGAGGTGGAGATATGTGGAGATGCCTAGCCCCAGGGCATCAGAACAATGGAGGCTATCCAAAAACTGTCTTATTTTGAGACAATCATATGTATACAGTGTATATATATATGTCATATAGAAACTCGAATTATATCCCAAAACCAGATGTAGATTGGTAGGATATACAAAAACAAAATGTAATATGTAAAATACATTAAAATATACTATACCATATTATATCCTAAGGTCTATAATAGCACCATTTAGTATGGGATAAACCATGTGTTGGGGTAGCCTTTTTGCCGTTTCTACAGCGACGAAGGTCTCGGTCCTGACCTTCGTCAGTGTCTTATTTCTGGCGTTGCCTGTGGGCATCATCGGTGGCACGGCAGAATGGTGGCAGATCTCGGGGGCTGGGAGTTCATGGAGGACAGTTGGCTGAGTGGGTATATAACCCATAGGATCCATGTATGGTATATATATAATTACTAACATAAAGGGGGTATATTGATGGTAAATGTTACCATATATAGCATACATGGATCCTATGGGGTATATAACTGCCACAACTCTCCAACAATCATAGATATTTCAAGAATTTTCAAGCTAGGTCATGGGGTTTATAAACCAACTTATAGTTGGGGGGGCACCCCAACGTGAAGGGACCAGCCAAATTGATCTCCAGTTTATTTTCGGAACAACATCACTTCTGTGCCGTTTTAGGTATGTCCCAAAAATGGAAAGATATGATTTGCATTTTTTGAGGTGCCGAAGAAGCATCCTGCGTTGGGGTGTTTGTGGCTCTGTGCGCTGTCCCACTTGGGGGTCAGATGTGCTTTCCCCTCAAATCCCCCGTTTCAAGTCCCTAGATCCCCAACTCGCGGTTCGGTCTCCAGGCTATGAGTTTACCTGTTGTTGGCGGAATCGTTGGAAGGTCTTGCTGATCCAGAAAGCTCGTGACGTGGCAGGGGTATGGCAACTATGCTTCACGACTTTGGTAACGCAAAACCATCCTATTACATCATGCCAAATAGGGGCATACCCAATAATGAACCTCTAATGGGGAAGGTTTATTGTTGGGTTTACATCCATAACTGGTGGATCATGTTTTGCATACTTTCTGCGACGTCGGCGATCGCACTGCAAATGATGTGTTAGGATGGGGGAAAGCATCAGCATGACATAGATTGAGGCTTGATAGTCATCATTTTCTGCCCAGAGAATCCATAAGTATCCATCAAAGTCCATCAGGAGTAAATCACCGTAGAAATTAAGCACCAAGCATAGGACTCCTTGGAAGATAGCATTAAACCATATTACCATGGAAGTATCAGCAGATGCCATCAGGTTTTTTTTGCCATGGGATACAGAATGATACAGAAACCGGGAGAAAATGGGGACTCAAGATAACCAGAGGATAACCAGAGGATAACCAGAGGAGAACCAGAGGAGAACCAGAGGATAACCAGAGGATAACCAGAGGATAACCAGAGGATAACCAGAGGATAACCAGAGGATAACCAGAGGATAACCAGAGGATAACCAGAGGATAACCAGAGGATAACCAGAGGATAACCAGAGGATAACCAGAGGATAACCAGAGGATAACCAGATAACCAGAGGATAACCAGAGGATAACCAGAGGATAACCAGAGGATAACCAGAGGATAACCAGAGGATAACCAGAGGATAACCAGAGGATAACCAGAGGATAACCAGAGGATAACCAGAGGATAACCAGAGGATAACCAGAGGATAACCAGAGGATAACCAGAGGATAACCAGAGGATAACCAGAGGATAACCAGAGGATAACCAGAGGATAACCAGAGGATAACCAGAGGATAACCAGAGGATAACCAGAGGATAACCAGAGGATAACCAGAGGATAACCAGAGGATAACCAGAGGATAACCAGAGGATAACCAGAGGATAACCAGAGGATAACCAGAGGATAACCAGAGGATAACCAGAGGATAACCAGAGGATAACCAGAGGATAACCAGAGGATAACCAGAGGATAACCAGAAGATAACCAGAAGATAACCAGAAGATAACCAGAAGATAACCAGAAGATAACCAGAGGATAACCAGAAGATAACCAGATAACCAGATAACCAGATAACCAGATAACCAGAGGATAACCAGAGGATAACCAGAGGATAACCAGAGGAGATAACCAGAAGATAACCAGAACCAGAGATAACCAGAGATAACCAGAGGATAACCAGAGGATAACCAGAGGATAACCAGAGGATAACCAGAGGATAACCAGAGGATAACCAGAGGATAACCAGAGGATAACCAGAAGGATAACCAGATAACCAGATAACCAGAAGATAACCAGAAGATAACCAGAAGATAACCAGAAGATAACCAGAGGCTTGTTCCCTTAGAAGTCGGAGCCTCCCAACTGGACCCGCAGGCAGATGGGATGAAAAGTCCACCTGGGGACGATTTCAGAGATGTGTCCCATTCTTATAGACGCACCCAGCTGTTGGCATGCAACCTACCATTGGTTGGTAATATACTATTAATATATGGTTCATATTAATGGTTATTAATGGTTATTAATGGTTATTATATGGCTAATCATGGTAAATATATATATATATATTCTTTGAAGGGTTTCGAACGGAAGTGATTTGTCCGCTTCAACTTGTTTCAGAATACTCGGTGATCTGGGTGCTACCCAACCTGCAACAACCTCGAAAGATGAGAAAAACCCTGATAATCTGATAAAAGTGAGGCGAGTGGCTGCGTTCAACCACTATTGCTTGGGAATTCAACCATAATTCATAGGGTGTTTCACCATTAAAAATACGAGGATCTTATATGATATAAGCGGTCAATAATGGTTTGTTGATGGTTTTTGGGGGTTTATACTATCCAATACTGTATATTGGGGATTATCATCAACCATGAACTGGGAATCTCGTTCTTAAGCATCCAGTGTATCGGAATGACACAGGGTTTTCGACACTGTTCATATTACTACGGAAATGCCAACGTTCCACTTCCAAAATCATTTGAAATAGAGTAGTGAGTTCATAGACGGAAGTGAAATGAAGTTGAGAAATTCATCCTCAATTCCATAGATTGATCAGCCAAGGGATTAGCTGATTAGCAGGACCTTCACTCTTCAGAATGTCACGCCGAGGCAAATGTTTGGAAAAGTGGGGCTACAGTGCCAAAGACGCAACCTGACTGCGAGTCCCATAAATGTGTGGACGTCTACTCGTGTGGCTGGCAGTCTGTTAATGGATAGTACAATACTATGGGGCCGCTAAGATCTTCGGAGTGAATCACCGGTGAAGACGAGTTGAATCCCCGACGCTGAGACGAGGTACGCGTTCTCTTCGACTACGTTGATGTGGACGGAGACGGCAGCTTGAATTTGAGCGTGTCTTGGGCCTCACCTTGGAAGGTCGTTGATAGATTATGTCTTTGCAGAATCGACTGCCCGATATTTGTTTTTTGGCTTCGCCTTGCCATTGGTGCCTTTGGTATTCCAGTCTGAGTGAGGAATTCATTGAGCTGATTCGTCAGATGCGGGTTGGAATCAGCGCAGATGCTTGGCCCAGTGCTCTGGGATTGGGGTGCCCTGTTTCTGAATCGGTCTGTGGTAGCAACTTCTGGTGTATATGATGATTCAAGAATCCTAAGAAGACGTCAAGTCAAGCTTAATTTTGCGCTGCTTGTAGAGTCGCTTCTTTGATAGTAGTATATAGTATTGTTACTTTAGGACAGGAAGAATGATCTCAGCATCAGAATTCCAAGTACTTTTGATATCACATGTAATCCTTCATTCCCACCATTTTAGCTTCTGTTCCCCCGCAGGTAAAATTATCGAGGATACCCTCCAATTTTCTGGTGAACACTTAGAGTTTGAGACTGGTTTCCCCCATTTTCAGGTTATTTCAGATACATATATTGTTGGATGTTGGAATCTTGGAATATGTTGGGATGATATTAAACAATATTAAACAATATTAAACACTATTAAACAATATTAAACACTATTAAACACTGAAACGTCCTCATTCCGAGCTGTTTTGCCATGAGCTATCCCATCATATGACCATACATCAGGGGTAAAACCCCGAGACAAATCATTATCCCAATGTTTCCTGGTTCAATTTAGCTATTTACATCATTTTACATCTATTTGCCATATTTTAGCTGCTACAAACCTCTCAGACGGTAGAAACTGCAGGAAACTTCCTTTCACATCTTCAGCCTTTTTGATGATGATCAGAACGGCGCCTCGACAGCCGTCGGAACGGCTTGAGTGGCTTGAGCACGCCACCAGGGATCATGAAGAAATAGGGGACTCAGTATGATTCAGTGGGAGTATATACACAACGTTAAACAACCATAATGATTGGTTCTGTTTGAACATCGGGTATAACAGGTATAATAAAAATCGAGTTTATGGTATTTGTTGTGCTTGAAAATGATTAAACAACAATTTGTTTGGTTACCTCATTTTGAGGCAAAGCCGAATGAACAGATTGTTCTGATTGAAATTTCGCTGGCTCACTCCATAAATTGTCAGGAGAATCGTCCCAAAAGGGCCTTGCATACAAGGTGTTTTTGAAGAATATCATTGATGTTTATAGATTGTTATTCTACTTACCAACTGACATTTGATGACCATATATATATATTATATAAAAACTCTATAAAATCAATTATATAATGGTTTTAACTCGTCATTTGCCAATTTTCCGGCATTGGGAGCAACCCAATAAACCCTGACCCCAAGCAAAGAATGATCACCGCAACTGAGCTGTATTAAAAACCCCGTAATACTCAGCTATGTATTCGTAGATCCTTGGTCCATAATTCGCCGCAGCGCCGCACCTAATTCTGGCTTTAAACTGTTTTGAGGGTAGTCCATTTAGGTGGGGAACGACATCTGAAACGACATCCAAATCATACATAGACATATATGGGAATCTATGAAAACATCAGGTTAGATTTGAACATCAGGTTTGTTGTTTGTGTGACCGCTTGTCTTTGAGTGCTTAGATCGGTTACAGAGCAATATATCAAAATTTTGAATCCCCCCGGCGATCTGAACGACATCCAAAACGACATCTGAACGACATCTGAACGACATCCAAAGTCGTCCCAGGTGATCATAGACCCATTTGACCCGTTTTGGTTTTCTTTTCTCATTTGAATTTTGAGGCGCACAAAGAAAAGGCAAGAATATATGTAGAAAAGGCTGGAATGGAATACTGTACCCCGTTTAGGACCATATTTTTAGGTAATTATCCTTCACATAGCCTTATATAATTATATATGACCCTTTTATATCGTTTATCTCTCCATTTTCTATACACAATACAAAACAACCATTTATTGTTCTATTTCTCCGTATCTCAAAAGCATCCAAGATTCCGTCTCTTTTATTAATATATAATCTGGAAATGTGGAGGTCCTCTTGTAACATGAAGATCGCCGCATGGAATTACGATGATTTGTGGTTGGGATTAGCATTTTCAAACGGGGTTTTTAATACGACTCAACTGGTGAAACTGGTGATGACTCTATTACTATGATCATACATATGTTCATTATCATCATTGTTATAAATCTATTCACGCTTATGTCCTGTCTAGTGTTTTTGATGTAGTTATATGTATTATTCATTACTAAATCATCCCTGATTATTACTATATATAATAATAATAATAGTAATAATAATAATAATAATATATAATAATATGTAATAATAATAATAATAAATATATATATATATATATATATATATCCCAGTGGTTTTTCTCCCAGAGGTTTCGAAACCCCAGGCTCTTTGGATTGCACGGAGTTCCTGCGCCATGTCTTCCCGGAGGAGCAGCTTGGCCGCCATCCATGACTTCTGAGGGGCCATATGGGGGTTTCCATAGTCGGGGCACCCCAATAGCTGGATGGTTTATTTCAGGGAAAATCCGAAAAATAAATTGGATGATTTTTAGGGCTTCCCCAAAATGACTTTCAAAAAACAACCAGAATGGGTTTCGCTCGGCGAATGGCTGGGAATGGCTTTCGCATGGCGAAGAGTCCTGCCTTGAATGATCCCAAAGCGGCAACTCTGGTAACCGCGGTGACCGCTATGGAAACGTGAATGGTCAGTGAATGGTTGGTGAGTATTCCCACTAAGAATGAGTTATTTGAAGGGGTATCTAAAGTATTCTAAAGTCATCTATGATTTCTTTGCAGGGAAAGCCAAAGAAAATCAATTCAGCCTGAAACAACTATGACAACTAAGTTCAGATGTATCGGTGGGTGATGACAAGCAGCAACCAGTCCTGAATCAGCTCCTACGAGGTATCAGATATCTTAAGCAACAACTGAACAGTCTCAAAAACCGTGGTTGGTGAGTTGTTCAATGGAGATCCAACTATCAAATAAGTTTCTTTTAGCAGTAAATAGAGATTTCAACCATCAAACATGAGGAATCATGGGGATACCATCCAGAAATGGTCGTTTGTCAAAGATGCGGGGTCATACTAGCCCTTCAGGAGAACTACTAAAATAGAGCCATGAACTGCACATCCCGGAGACATGGATTACCATCAATTTTGGTGTTTTCCAACAGATTCTTGGCTCAGATCCAGCAAAATAAACCAATATGGGATCTTGTTGAAGATCCGCAGAACAGATGTTGGCTTCAGATTTTTGACTCAATGTACCAAGGTGATGTTCACATGTGTCACGGATCATTACCCAGGATATTTGTCTCGAGATGAGGAATATTCCACAGTTGGCAATTTCAATTGCGAAAATGATGATAAACCATAAGAAACCATAGGATTTTGGGGTACCCCATTCTGGGGCACACCCATTTCTGAGACATCTCTCAGTAGGAGCTCAAAGAAATGGACGTACTCGACCGTGCATGGCAGGTAGCAATTGGTTCATGATCATGCTTATAACCCTGCTTTGTTTGGGCTTGTCCGAACATAGGGTACCCCAAGATACCCCAAGATCCAATGGTTTCTCATGGTTTATCAGATATTTACTTACCATATCTTGCCATGGCATTGGCCGATTCATGGAATTTCCCTAGTTAGTTCCCGTAGGGTCCAGCGGTGTGATGGGTCAAGGTATGTGAAAGAAGCGCAAGAGACCCTGGGCTGCAAGCATTGCAGCATTACTCATTATACATTATGTGCATGGCCAAAAGTTGGGGGAATAAATGAGTTATAGTCATTATATATATATGGGTATGGATCAATATCTATTAATACCATTTTTAGGGGGATGAACATTCATTTACCAGCTATTTTGATGTTCACCAACATTACAAGGTTTTGACACACTGCCATATATATATATATATAACCTATATTGGGGGATGGTCATGAATTCATTCACTGGGATTAGTTTAGTTCGACATCAAGGATGTCCATTCTGGGATGGATGACCATACCCCATATATCATGTTTTGACCATGGCACACATGTTCCATGGTGCTGAACTACCAAAAGTTACCCAGTGGCCCAAGGAACCACCCAGTCCTCGGGAGGCAGTGATGGGGGATAGACAACCGGAAAAATATCACTCACGTCACTCGGGCTGATTCCTTGGGCTCATAGGTTTACGGTACATATGGTACATTAATGATCTTTTCATCAGATAGATTTTAGGTCTTGGGCTTGCCCAAATGCTCTGGCATCGATTCGGAGGTTCACAAGGTCATTTCACAATTTTACCGGACTGAAAGAGACCAGCAGGATGTGGACGTTGGGTTCATTTGGGTCTGAAAATGGGGCCGGTAAAATTGACATCTTCACGGAAAATGTGATGATTAGCAATGAGATGTTAAGGTGTTTCGGGTTTTCCATGGTTCTCCCAACACTTTCCGGGAAACCCATTTTGAAAGCTCTGGCAAAACCAGCAGGCATCTTCAAGATGACCCTGAGAACTTGTCTTGTTTGGTCCCAGCTGAAAGCATGTTTCTTACCAGGTACCCTGGTCATGAAGTTTTGTTAGGTTGTCTCATGTTGTCTCCAGCTTTCTATTGACCAAAGATTTTGTCATGGTCTTTGTTAAAGCCAATAAACGGGGTGTAGCTATGTTTTGAGGCATGTCACTGGAAGGATCCAAGTTAAGCTGCGATTGATGGTCACAATTTTTCAGCTCCAAGAAAATCCAAAAATGGATGCCGTCAGGCCTGTGGTAAACCCAATAATAGACTATCCCCGGTATCGCCAGAAATGGGTGGGTGATTAACAGCGGCTGTATATCTCTGGCTTTACCACGCCTGTGCGACCTGTACCCATTTCGGTCGGCTTTTCACCCACAGACCTGTTGCATGTTCCAAATGGCTTTGAACATGGGGTATGTGTATATACCATTATATGCCATTACATACTATTATATACTATTATATACCATTATATACCCCATATATACCCCATATATACCCCATATATACCCCATATATATCCCAAATATACCCCAAATATACCCCAAAATGGCAATTGCTATGAGGAAAACCATGAATCAAATTTGGTGGTAGCCATGTTTTTCGTACCTAAAAGATTGATCCCCAATGCTTCTGTGATGCTGGATGCTTCGCCACTGTCGCGAACTTTATGGGAGATTCCGACCAATATTGAATAATATTGAATAATATTGAAAATAAAAAATACGAATTGTATCGAATTGTCGGTTTCATCCGAAAATAACGAATGACCCGAGATGATGTTGGACTCCCCAGGGGTGGATCTGTTTGTGGTTCCACAGCACCGCGCGCTGAGTGTCTCAGGAAGCAGACACCGGTGCGGAAGTCACGCCACGTGGTCTCCCTCGCCTTGCATCACTTGGAGACCGAGGGCCAGGGCCATGGCGGTGTGACAAGAGAGACAGTGACAAGAGAGACACGCTTCGCCGAAGGTTAGCAGCTTGGCAGATATGATAGGATCATTATAGATATAATCGATATCACTTTGGCAAGTTGGTAAATCATATATACATAGAATATCATAGAATATCATAGAATCAATCTGAGTTCATGATTTTTAAGCTATATCACAATTTGATATTGGGTTTTCCTAGGTCATGGGGGATCCCCAAACGTTTGGATGGGGTTTATTTAATGGAAAAATCGAAAAAAAAAGTGAATGATTTGGGGGTACCCATATTTTAGGAATCCCTCAGATATTATCAACGATGTTCCTATGAAAGGAATTGGAACTATATGGATATATATAAATGATATAGAAATAGGATATCTCGAATTGTTCAAAGCAGTAGTTTGTCTGTTAAGTGGATACATTCCACCATGTAAACGTTGCCATGTCAAGGTTCACCGTTCAGGTTCGCCGTTCAGGTCCAAGCTGGTGGCGTCCTGCCGGAAACTGAAGTTCAATGTTATTTATCATTTATTCTATTGTTATTAGTAGTATTCTTATATTATAGTGTGTATATATAATTATATATATATCTTAAATATATATATATATAGTACGAGTATGAAAATTATTAGATTTCATACGGAGAATTGTCTTGGTGGTTTCTACATGTTTCGTGGTGATGGCCCACTGAAACTTCACACTCAAGTAAGAGGATCTACAATTTTCTTTGCGAATCTCTTCCCTTGGCCTGTCTTTTTCCTTACACTTTCACCTCTTTCTCTTGACGCCCCTTTCTCTTGGTACATCCTTCCTTTGACACGTCTTTCTCTTGACACTATTTTCTTTTGAAGCGTCTTTAAGACCCGTGTCTCTTGATATCTCCTTCTCTTGACATCTCTCTCTCTCTCTATCTCTCTATCTTCCTTCTCATCTCCTTTTCTTGGTGTCTCTTTCCCTGGCCACACCCTTCTCTCACCATGTTTTTTCTTGACATGTTTTTTCAACATATTGAAAACAGATGGACACAGCCAGGGCGATGTGTTGTGCAACGATCACATTCCAGGCGCAATCTGAGCACGACCCCAACTGTCGCACAAAGCAAGCTCCCTACATCGACGCATCATCAATGCAAAGACTTACTTTCACTGCAAAAAAGAAGCAGTGTTTGGTGCGATCCCTTCCCCTCACACAACCTACTCGTACATATTAAGCATTTTGTTTGAAAAAGACAAGTATTTCGATTGCTTCCTGCTGCTCCTGATGATGCTCCTGCTACTGCTGCTCCTGTTTCAATACTAACAACTTGCTGTGATAGTCGTGTCGTATTGCTGGGATCGCTGTATTGTTGCGATAGTTGCATCGTTGTGCTGAATTATGGTGATGATGTGTGATGATTGTATCGTTATATTTTGATATACGTTGTGTTTGTGTGTTGTCGTTGTGATAGTTGCATGACTTTGATGGTTGCATTAACTCTTCCGCACTGGAAAGCTTTTCTTCTATACGTAGTTTGATGAGATCTGGCGGAGTTTTTACCACTCTCACTTTGCGTTGCTTGCGCTGGGCCCAGGTAGTCGTTGCGATGTGACGTGGCGGCCCGGGGCACACGGCCAGGATCCACCCTAGCACCACTCTGTTAGTGGCATGTGGAAACTTGACCTGAGGACCTCGTGTTTCTTCTAGGGAGGGGAGCAAAATCATCGAACTTTTCATCATGTTTCAGGGGGAAAAGCCATGATTTATATATAATGGGTGCAACCCAAGTTTGTAAAAACATCCGAATGGAGGTTTTGAACTTTTTAACCCGGTAAAAATGGAGCGGGGTTCAGCAAGGGCATAAACTTGGAGGCAAAAAGTGTGAGTATGGAAAGCATAGTCATCTATTGTTTCATTAAATAGCGGAATCATCAAGTGCATTTGTTCGCAGGGACTGAACATTGCTCTACTTGATAGTTGGTTGCTAGCTGATCATTGGTCACAACTACTCGTACACCAATCCTAACTCAAACATGATGTGTACTAAAATTAGGGTAAACAACCTTGCGTAACAAAAACGACTATAGTTGGTTACCTGGTTCCAACTGTACGTTTTCCTATGGCTTTGACAGTCGCCTTTAGATTTCTGGGGATGTTTACATCGCCGTAGCAGCGATCGCAGCATCGGTACCGGGCATTGTAATCCATTGAAAATTGATGAAAATTGATGAAAAGTGTGTTTGGTTGATGCTGCGTGGTTTCTTAATGTTTCTTACACATCTTATGATATCTTATGTATGTCACTGTATGTCCCTGTTTTGACTAAAATACTTAAAATCTCGTTCCTGTAAGACTATTTGAGACCGTCCATGGTTGGTGGTGTCCGCCAATTCGCTAGATCATGATCGACAACGACTTCTAGTCCCAGCCACATATCACATATGTTGAATGCAATGTTCATAGCAGCTATTGACAGCACTCCCAAAAAATGAAACACACGGTCAAATCCTACTAGAATAGCCCTCAATTGCATGGTTTTTAATTTGTTGATGTACTTTAGTTGTTGTGTTCTTGTCATTTGCTTCAAACATATGTGTTTTTGCTCATCCTCAAATGGGATGCTGAACCCAAAGTGACTTGAATATTTTGGGGATTGGCGTCCCACCAGAAATTGACGCTGCATGGCATGCTAGGCACTGAAATCAGCAAACCCACCAGCTAGAGTTTTATCAAAGATATGCGAGAAGATGCAAGAAGATTGGAGCTGACCCTCAGCTATCTGCGCAGTTTCTGTGATGTCAACGTATCCTTTGATGGCTTGGAGTGGGTGGTGTCCAAACACAAATTCTAGGGTTGAATGTTGGTTTCAGATTGTATAAGGTTGTTTTCATACCGGATATTAGGTACGGTCGAAACTCTGGTAGACCACTTGTGTAGGTAGTGCTTCTTGTGTTTGGAAAGAGCACCAAAGACTGTAGCGATAGCCCCCCCAAAAGCAATACCGACAATTGTGCATCATGTCCACATCTGAAGCTCTTTTGTGCAAAGTTGATGCAAGATGCGAGATTACCAATAGCCCCAGCGATACATCAGCAGTTCCCCTTCCGGAACGAAAGATGCCAGGACAGCGGGCCCCACTGTGAACTATTCCCAACATAGGAGGCCCCAAAAAATAAATCAGAACCGCAGGCCACCAGAGTGCAGTTTGAGCCCAAAAATAAAATTATAATGATATGTGTAGATTTATTTTATGGGTTCATGCACTCTGATGGACCTGCCCTTCTGAGATTCCCCCTGCCAGAAAATAAAAGATAAGGCCTCCCTTAGAAAATAAGAAATGATGCCCCCTCCAAGAAAAAGAACTAGACTGTTTGAAGGGGGGTCCCAGCCAAGACTCTCTGAGAATTGTATTTTTTTTCAATTTTCCATCTTTATTTGTTGCTTCTTCTTTGTTTTGGTTTTCGAGGGGATGGGGGGGGGCTCATTTTTCATTTTCTGGAGGGTGGCGGTGGAGGCCTTATCTTCTATTTTCAGGAAGGGAAGGCCTTATTGTTTATTTTCTGGAGGGGGTGGCTCCGCACTGTCCTCGAGGAATACCATGATCCTTTAAAGTGCAAATGCTTATTGAAGAATACTAATTCAAAATAATGCTGTACTTTCTGCAACGAATACATGTTTGTTCAAAAGACAATTCCATGGAGTCATACTGCACTTTCTTGGAGAAATACCACTCTCTTTCAAAGGGACTGCTGTGTATATTAAAGGTTTCCCCTTTGTACAGGAACTTAACAAAAATACCATACTCTTTCACAAGGACTACTTTGTATATTGAAGGCTACTTTCTCAAATGAATGCCACACCCTGTTAAAAGGAATATTGTGTGTACATGTATATACTGTATATAATATATGTATATTTAGACATAGTATATAGTATAGTGAACTGTGGTATTTTGAATCATGCTATGCTTTTCCAAATGAGTTGCTGTTTCTTTTTCAATTACATATTGCATAACATCATTGTTCAAGTGAAGACTCCATGAAGTCACCCAGTACTTTCTGAAAGGAATGCCTCACTCTTGAAGAAAATATTGTGTAGTGTATATGTTAATTCTATCTTGGAGATGCTACCCTTCTCTAAAAGGACTGCTTCCTACATGGAAGGAATGCCACATGTTTTTCTAACATATGCGGAAGAAATGACACACGCTTTCTAAAGGAATGCTGTGCACATCTCAGGGTTTTGCTTCAAAGTCATGATACACTTTCTCAGAGGAATGTTGCCCTCTTTGTGGGAGAATCTTGCATGGAGGTATGTCTATCGAAGGTTTCTATGCCAAAATGATGTTTTACTATCTGAATGGATATTCACCCTTTTTCAATGAAATATTGCCTGAAGTCGTGCTACACTTTCCTAAAGTCATCTTTCGAGATAATTATCATATCATGGTCAAAAGTCATTCAAAAAGTGCTCTCCGACAGCCTGCCACTCTAAAATAAATACGGCCAGTACCAAACCGTAGTAACGGATTAGTACTGGACATCATTTCAGAACAGATTTCTTTCAGATTGGTGGATGGTTGTAAATTTCCTGAGACCAATCTTTGACTTTGGGCTTAAAACTGATTTTCACGAATGCTCTTCTCAAATTTGGGTTGTCGCTACACACTTTGATTTGTTGTTTCTGTTTAGGGCTTCGATGTTTTCCCCTTCATCCAGCAAGATCGGTTTTCCTGGGCTGTGTTTTGTATAATGGTGGTTTTTGAATCACATGTTGTCTCCTTGATCAACATGGCCACGTGAAAACTTCCTTGATCAACCTGATAAAAGCTGATCAACCCCCCCTGATGTTTCAAGTCATTCGCCTGGTGCCACTGGCTCCAAGTTGGTCATACTCCAAGCTGTCTCCTTGGTGCACCACTTGCTTTCTGTGGCAAGGTCCTGCAGTTTGCTTTCTTGCTGCTGGTTTCAAGATATCTAGACAGAAATGCGTGATTTCTCTCTCCTTGAGAGGCCTGAGATGATACCCAGCCTGCGAACATCTTGAATCATTCTCAAGCAAACATGACTAGAAGGACTGAAATCTTGAAAATTCATGAAAATTCAAAGTCCTAGCCATGCGATCCGGGTTGAACCTGGAAAAGAATTGTGAGAAAAGATGCAGCTCGTCCCAGCTCAGAAGTCTAGAAGCACCAGCTGCTTTGTTTTCTGCACACAGCAACTCAGTTCCCACAACCTCCAAGAGGTCTGGGGGTGCCGTTTTGCAGCGCGAAGTACTGGCAACCGGTGGCCATGAAAGCTAGTGGAAGTGAGGTCAACGCTTGTGTTCTTTTCTGAAGTAATGTTGAAATAATGTGTTTCGATGTAAAATAGATGAAATGATATGCAATAGGCTGTCAATGATTGTAATCAAATGCAATCATTTGGATATGATATAATTACATGTAAATATATGTAGATGTATATATATACATATGATAGGAATTAGTCGGGTGTATGCAACGGGATACGTGTCACAGGGTCATGCCGTCATGTGTGCGTCGTATTGTTGATTGCTTGCATGATACATGTTTACTTGTTGTGGTGTGTGCAGTTGTTCTTTGATGTGTCTGTGTGTGCTTTGCGTTTTTTGGCTAATAGAGAATCATACACAAAAAATGACTACATGATCTTATATACTTGGGCTAAGGCTGGTAAATATCTATTGGTTAATTATGGTCACTGGAATTCACGTTTCCAATTTTTCTTGTTCAAAGTTCCCTTGGGGATCTCTTCATCAGTGTCACATCCATTTTGCAGTGCCTTTGTTGCCACCAAAGCTATCGGTACTCGCAGCGCTTGCGCTTGACCGGTCTGGGTCGGCCCATAGACTTGACGACTGGATGTTGAAAGGCAGAAAATGGCAAAGGAATGGCGAACGGAAATTCCTGGAAAATATCTGAAAATATTCTAGAAAGTCAATTGTCAACTCTAGATTAAACACAACTACAACAAACCTCTGGCCCGTTTCATTGGCGGGCATCATTTTGCATCATGTTGATAGCAGATTACTACCTTTATGGGCGAATCCCCCCAACTAATCAATCAGGATGTGACTCTGTCTGGGGTACCCTCTGGTAAACTAACATAACTATGGAAAATCACCTTTTTAATGGGAAAATCCACTATAAATGGCCATTTTCAATAGCTATATTAGTCATTACCAGAGGGTAATCAATCGAAAGATAAACACAACTTCTGGAATTCTCCAGGCCATGTGCGATTGTTGGTCCAACGATGGCGAGGGAAGATTCAGAGGTTTGCTGTTGCAAACTACCTCGTTTGCCAAGGAGATAGTTTCGATGTTTTTTTTTGTTTGGTTAATCGCCGTTAATCACCATTAACCACCATTAATCACCATTAATCACCATGAATCACCATTAATCACCATTAACCACCATTAAAGTCACATATTCTTTTCACAGGTTTTCCATCCTTACATTGGACCAACCGGCCAAAAGGCGATCACCGAAAAAATATCCAACCACCTTCAAGCCATAGTCCAATTTTTTTCAACATGTGGAAAAGCCTAGAATTTTAGCCATCAACAAGTCTCAAACTAACTGATAGCTGGATATAGCTGGTTGGTGGTTTGGAACATTTTTTTCCATATAATGTTATTGGGAATATCATCCCAACTGACTTTCATATTTTTCAGAGGAGATGAAAGCACCAATCAGCAAACTGTTCTACCTCAATCTCTTCGCTCCGATCCCAGGTCTATGATGGATTCCTGCAGAAACGTGCTGAGTTGGCACAAGTGGAGTCAGCTGTCTCAGCTGGCAGAGCCGGTGATCAGCAGAGGCTAACCAAGATTAACCAACAACATTTTGGAGTTAAGGGCTCTAACCAGCAAAAACTGGAATAAACTATCAAAATTTGGAAAACAAAAACTTGGATTTGCCGAGTTGCTTTTTTTTGGATCCACCATCATCGCCGGATCGGTCTGGGATATGTGTGTAAACATGTTCCTTTTTCAAGACATCATTTCTAAATGTATGGATTAGCACTTGATCCTCATGGTTATGGTAAGGTGGGCTTTATGATAGTTCCATTAGTTTGGGTACTATTGTTAATGTGATTATTGCTGCATTTGTTTTCACAAATGAGTTGTCACGGTTGGGGATACCCGACCAGCTCATCAACTGTACAGGGATGACGTTGCGGAATTGAAAAACACTGTCACTGCGTAGCTGGTAAAAGCTTGGTTTTAGGGCTTGAGATCTATCTGAAATGTTCACTTTAACTATGATGTACTAATACTACATACATATATATATATATATTTATATGGATAGATAACTATGCTTCACTGTACTTTTTGGTTTATGGTTTTACGTTTACCATTCAACAATTCAACACTTTGCGGGCGGGCGGCGGGTCTCGTTCAACACTTTGCTCCGGAACAGCGCCAGATTTGAGAAGTGCTCCTGCCAAGACCAGCCCGAGAGCTCGGTGGTTAGGTGAGACGGCTAGCTTTCCTTTTTTGTTTTACCAGGAATTTCCTGTATACATGTGAATATATATATATATATTTATATAATTCATATGTATATATTTATATATGCAATTAAGTGTTGATATATGATAATGTACGTGCCTTATGTGCATATGGCAAATCTAATGCTTGTTTGTTTGGCAAGTTTCTTTCAATGGTGGTTTTGGCAAGTGTAACATCCAAGCGGGACAGCCTCTCTCACTCAATGTGTATAGGCCGGTATAGGCATATTGTAATATACGATTATATATATATAATTATATATAATATATAGTTATGTATTTAGTTAGCTAGTTATTTATGCGTGCGCACCAATTTGTGTTCGAGGCAATTAGACTCAGATCGATCAGGCGCTACTACTGATACCAGCTTGGTACGCAGGGTGAAGCACCGATGATTGGACAATGATGGGTAATATGTAGGAGTAAAGATGGACGTGCAACCTAGGAAAAATGGTGATATTGATGCTTTTTTTCCGACGTTCTGTCCATGGATGTCGATGACGATGAGGATGATGATGATGATGATGATGATGAGGATGATGAGGATGATGAGGATGATGAGGATGATGACGATGACGCCCACCTTTGAGAAGGGGATTGATCCTGGGACCGAGGCGGAAAGCCATTGTACGGTTGATTTGCCTGACTCGTATCTTCGAAAAGGAAAAGGGCAAGCGTGTGGGGAACCTTAGGGCATGGCCAAGTGGCAAGGTGCCAATGCCTAGTAGATAGTGAGTCTGGTGATTGCAGATGCTTGTGTGGTGGATATGACTAGTTCAGTACACTTCAGTGGGCAAAGGAGAGGCAATGTGCTGCCACAAGATGCGCCGAAATTCGATTTCTATGTACAGCTTCATTTTAAATTTTGCAGCGCATGATTTTTGCCATGGGCCAAATATCCATGATCTGCAGCAACGATTCGTAGTTGGTTGATCTGCCCACTTACGTTGCTTAAACCCTTCAACTTCTACGCAGAAAAACTTGATGTTGTAAAGACGTACTCTCAAGAACGTCTTCTCAATCCCCTTTACGATCAGCAAAATCTTTATTTTTATGGGCATAAAAATCTCTATGTTTTTTGACCATCATTAACCATTAACCATGATTTAAATTCATGTAATGCATAAATCCACCTAGTTTTGCCATGGTTTTCGCCAGGTCCAAGACGAGTTCATGTCTTTGGAGCCGGACGTGCGCCAGGTTCCGCAGCGAATTGAAAACATTGTGGAAGGATATGGAAGGTCTAATTATCATGACTATTCATCACTAGACTACTCGTGACTATTGCTATTATCGTGTATTACCGTTGGTATACCCAATTTTTAAACCAAAAAAGTGTTTTAAGAAATGTAAACAAAGACACAGTCGTGGTCGATACTGTTGACATCTTTTGACAATATGTTTCTTAATCAATGGAATCAAGCAATAGGAAATTCTGATCATGAAGGTATCGAGTGGGGTATGGTAGTATGATAGGGCAACGGACCGTGATCTACACCTGAATTCCAATTATTATCATTAGTCAAGATAAAAACAGTTTAAAAGATCGTAATTTGCGGATTAGGTTTGACTCATATGATTGATATATCATCATGTAAATTTATATGGGTGAAAATAATCTTACCTTGTGACATAGTGTAGCTTAGGGGCATCAATTGACATGTGCCAATACCATTTGCTGCTGGCCAACCAATCTGAATCGACTTGTTTTATTGGTATGGATCGATCCGAATTGACGGAACAATATTGGCACGCTGAACCTGGCTGAACCAATATGGGGCTTGCTAGGTACACTGGTTATCTGGCATTCAAGAAAGAAACTTGGGGGTTCCGATATATGATGATCGACCATCACATTAAGCGGTTGCATCAAATACATGTCAAATACGTCATTTGTCGTGAGTGCAAATGATCTTCCATTCGTTTGGCAGTTTGCCGGTGATATTCCCATGGAGTTTGTCAAATGGCAAAATAGATATCATTCATATCTATATATATATATGTATTTTTGGAGCGTCATGTGTCTTACATATATTTGTTTTGTATCAACACATCCATTTGGTCACATATCTCAAATATCCAACTTGTTGCGCACATACAATGCCCATACAATCGGTCGGTAAACAAATGATCCGATGACCGTTAAAATCACCTCATTAATATTTTCTGGAGAGAAAAATGACCACATGAATCGGCAGTCATTCCTTGATTTTCACACTGACTCCTTTAAAACCATTATTAATTTGCCATGTTTCACTCTGAAATCCGTATGTTTCATGGTTAAATCATACTTTTCTTGCGATTAAATCACCAATGCTTGATGCAAAAAAGACCTTTTTTCCATTTTCTTTGATTTTTTCTAAGCCTTACGAAAATCATGTTTATATAATCCATATTAAATTACTGGTTGGTGGTTTGGAACATTTTTTATGTTTCCATATATTAGTAGTAACTCCAACTAGAGAGGTTGAAACCACCAACCAGCTATATGGAAATCATACTACCTATAAAAATGGTGATGACTGGTTTATGGCATTGTTTTAACCACAATAAATCATCATTTCAGCATCATTTCTGCATCGTTTCCATGGAGACCAGGAACTCACGGAGTTTTTGAATGCCGACGGCCTCACGGAGCGCGGCTTTCTGCTGCACCGCGGCCATGTGATTAGAAAACCCGGTGGGTTTTTCTGAATGGAGAATGACATTACTCATGGATATTAAGATATTGGCAAATAATAGTGGATAATAATAGTGGATAGTAATAGTGGCAAATGGATGATATCCATATATTAATAGTGGCAAATGGTTATTAAGAATGGTTATATATTAATATTCATTATTAATGGATAATGGTGGTTAATACCGGCCAATAATGGAATATAGTTAATAATCATGGTTATTAAGATACTACTAATGGATAATAGTGTTATAATGGATAATAATGGTGATAATGGAAGAATAATAGTGGCTTAAGAATATTTAATACTAATGGATAATTGTTAATAATGGAGAATGGTGGTTAATACTGACCAATAGTGGATAATAGTGAATGGAAAATAGAATGTTATATAATAATGAATGGATAACGGTTGTTACCCTCTGGTAAATTAACATAGACCCTGAAAATCACCCATTTTTAGTGGAAACTAATCTTCCAAATCCTATCTGGCAGGGTCTATGTTAATTTACTGGAGGGTAATACCGGCCAATCATGGAATATAGATATATAGTTAATAATTATAGAACTTGGGCTAGCCTTTAGCCCAACTCTTACCAGCTAGTTAGGCCGTGTTCAGTAGATTGTTATAATAGCTTATTTATAGTGGATAATGGTTAAGATTTGGATAATAATACGGCTTATGAATATTACTAATGGATAATTGTTAATCATGGATGATGGTTGATGCCATGGTTAATAATAGTGATCAATGCCGGCCAATAAATAATGGATGGTGGTGAATCATGTTCAAATGGCTGATAATGATAACTGGGTATCAATAGTGGAAATGGATGGAAATGGGAAATTTCGTGGCAAATTAATATGATAAATATGGGATCATGAAGCGGGATAATAGCTAAGAAGCCATCATCAACATTGATTAAGCATTATTTCCTGGGAATATGGGATAATGGTTAATGGATTAAAAGCATGTGTTTTTTTTCAAATGGTTAATCATGGTTAATGGAGAACGGTAGTAACGGATCATGGGAACACTAATGGATGGATCATTTCCCCTGGGAAATGGTGTTTAATGGTTAATGATATTTACTGACGGGTACTAACAGTTCATAATAGTATACTTGATATTAATCGGATGTTTCATAAATCATTTTGCATTATACTAATAGTAATACCCCAAATAATGGGATCATTAATATGGGTTATGAGTATATTTCATGTGAAATGGTTGCAGTAATGGTACCTTCCGGTAAGACACTGGAAACGGAGCTGGAATGATGATAGTTTCATATGGTATATGCTTCAGTAGGGATAAACATGGGACAATAAGTTGGAGGTTAATGGATTTACCATGATTTACCATCCGGTGGTAAGATATCATCAAATGGGATTTCATGCGAATATACAGTAAGCGAAAGATCATGGGAATACGGAATATATGTATATCATGGGATTGGGATAATTATCCCTCCGAAAGATATTGGGATAATAATAGAGATAATTCAGATTGTATCTAATAATGTAATATCATCCCAGTACATTACATTATATCCATGGGATAATTACGGTTTTTTATCCCATTAATAGAACATTAATATTATCCCATAATTATCCCATTAATAATGCAATGGGATAATGGGATATAGTTATCCCTCCGATGTCAACATGGCTGGCTGGGAGATCCCCGAAGTCTCCATGGAGGTTTCGTTCGAAAGTGGCCATCGAACGAAATGGGACAGTTTCCAGCCATGGTTTGATTACCGGAGATTATGTAAGATGGCACAGTGTGGTAATCTTATAACAATGTTGTTTTGGGGGATATACATTATAAGACAACCATATAGGTGATATCAACATAGAATAGCACAACCTGTTGCTAAAGTGCATAGTTCTTTTAACGAATCTGGGTAACTATACAAGTGATGTTGCAAGAAAGTGGCAGGAGTTTCACTCTTTGTTCTTTTGTAAGATCATAGAAATGCACAGTTCACTTATCCCAGGGTGCCAATTGGCTGTCCATATGCTGTCCATGATCATCATGATCGGAGAAGCTCCATGGACACCCAGAGGTTTCATTCTCCCACCTTCATGTTCAACGCCTTCGACAACGAAGCCTTGAGCCCTGTCAGGGATGCCCAGATGGAAATCCAGTGATTTCGGTGATGTTCCTCAGGAAACACACAGATAATATCGCTTTGATGCTGGTATATTATTTATACTAGTATATACATATACTAGTATATATGCATGCTGTATCATTTCTCGAAGATGATATCAATATAATAATTTAATTCAAGAATCAATGTATATATAAAGATTTATAAATGGCTGGGATTGACCGGTTTGCAATCATGGTTGCCGACCAGCAAGTAATATGGTCCCCACCTGACGATGGGTGTGGAACTGAAACCACTGGGCACACATTTGACCGGGTTTCCGAGCCGCCAAAAAAAACAAATAATGACAATTCCCAGATCAGAAATAGAACCATTCTTGAGCCAATCCCCCTAATCAAATATCTCATAGTCTTCCTGAAACTTGTTTCCCACGGGGTCAGCGTTAGAGTGAAGCAAGGCCAAAGCGATGCGATTGCTCCTGAAGACACTTGGCGGTAGTTTTCATCATGTTTTGAGTTCCATCCCCAAATGGGACGGGATGGTACTTGGAGCATGATAGGTACTGTTCAGATCCCATGGTTGGAGAATTCTGGCAACCATTGGAAACCATAAAGAATAGCAAAAAGAATCCTAAAATGGGAACACTATATCTATATCTATATCTATATCTATATCATCTATATCTATATATACACATATTTGATCATATTGGGCAAATAGATCATTGATGATATCGATTTTGTGGTCAGCATTAGTCGTAACCATGGCTGTGACTCAGAGAATCTGGGGCTCTCCCTGTCGATGTCTCGGCATGTCGTGTTTGTTGCTGCAGTTCCCAATGTTCTGTGCTGATATAAATATGTATAAATCACAAACCGTGCTACCGAAATGCACATGTGTATAGATATGAATATATATGAATATCATTGTATATCTACATGCATATTCGCATTTATAATATATATATATATACATGGAGGTTTCCTAAAATGGGGGTGCTCCTAAATCATCCATTTTCATAGGATTTTCACTTATAAACCATCCAGCTGTTGGGTATCCCCATTTGTGGAAAGCCTCCATGGTCGTCACTCAGATTTTCCTCTCCCAGGTCGTGGAGCGACAGGATCATCAGGATTAATATGTTATTATTATCCAATTAATACGAATATATGATGAGAATATATGAGAATCTGGAATATATTCTGGATGAATCATCATATGAATTATATATGATTAATATATATAATTCATATGATTCATATAATCCAGAATATATTCCAGATTATCATAGAGTCATCATCTTATAATTCAATGCTAGAGGGTATTGAACACTGCTCAACCGAGTTGACCATTACATATCATATCATATCAGTGGGTTTGCCGAAAGAAAGGTATGTCATGGTATGTCTATCATCACTTCTCCTTTTAAAGTGGCCAGTCTGTGATATCCTCCATCCCTGGACATCCCCAAGTGGTCACAAAACCACGGAGGATGTATCAATTGGCCAACGAAGCGTGTCTCGGTGAGATCTGGAGTGCACAGTTAGAGGCTGGTTGATTCAGTTCAACGACGGATGCCCTTTCCAAAAATCTGATGCGAATATATATATATATATACACGTATATATATATATATATTGTATGTATATATATATATGTATATATATATATATACACGTGTGTGTGTGTATATAATTATATACTGTATTTACGGTGGAAACAAGTCAATAGCATGTGTTTTCAATTTTTGCATGGGTTTGTCCAACAATAAGAGATCTATGACTTGTTTTTCCCTCAAAACAGGGGGTATGTTTGAGGTAATCTTCATACCCAAGCGGGATGGCGGAATGGGGATTGAATGATTGAGTTAAATAGTCCATGGTACCCTCCGGTGTCATCAAACATGGTAATTGAAAATCCCCGAACTCAATGGTGGCTTTTCCGGCAAGCCATGATTACGGCTGAGGGTGGCATTAGCAGCTTATTATTTGCGGCTGAGGATAGCCCTGGCCATTCCAGGACCCAGTGCCATCATGCTTTTTGACAACAGCTTGAAAGACTGGAGCATGGGCAGGTAATTGTTGGAGATACTTATGCATGCATAATCATGGAACCATGTATATATATATATACATATATATATATATATGTACATATAGAATTAAGGTTAAATAGATGAAACATACGCGTGTAACTGCGTGTATATACGTATATATATATATATATATATATATACATATAATTACGGCCAGGCGCTGTGTGTTGCCCGGAAGGTTCAAATCGCGTTTAAACATGTTTAAACATTATCCTTCAACATGCTCAAACACCTGCGCAGAGCCAGTGTTTTGAGATTTCCCAGACGACGAACCCTAAACCCTAAAACCCTAAAACCCTAAACCATCCTAAACCCTAAAACCCCAAACCCTAAAACCCCAAACTAAGCGCGCACCTGGTGCGCGCCTGTCCGGGCAAAGCCTTAGCCGTCAGCAAGCGGAGGAGGGCAAGGGGCCTCCATCTGCCCTCCGAGCCTGGTACTGCCCTAGGTAGAGCACCCGAGGTGGGTACTACTGTAAACAAGTAACCCTAAACCGTCGACCCAAGACTCGGAACCCTCGCGTCTTGAGGGGGTTCCCCCGGGGAAGGTTCAAAAGGCTCCCAGAAGGCTCCCAGAAGGCTCCCAGAAGGTTCCCAGAAGGCTCCCAGAAGGCTCCCAGAAGGCTCCCAGAAGGCTCCCAGAAGGCTCCCAAAAGGCTCCCAGAAGCTCCCAGAAGGCTCTCTAAAGATTCCCACAAGGCTCCCAGAAGCTCCCTGAAGGCTCCCGGAAGGATCCCAGAACGGCTGGCAGAAGGCTCCCCGAAGGTTCCCATAAGGCTCCCCGGCCAGGATTTGGCCCAAAAGGGCCGTTTCCCAATGGTCCCAGAAGAGAAATTCAATAGCCGGCCCAAGGGCCTTGAAATGGCAGAAATTTGCTTCCAAAAGGCTCCCCGGCCAGGATTTGGCCCAAAAGGGCCGTTTCCCAATGGTCCCAGAAGAGAAATTCAATAGCCGGCCCAAGGGCCTTGCAATGGCAGAAATTTGCTTCCAAAAGGCTCCCGGCCAGGATTTGGCCCAAAAGGGCCGTTTCCCAATGGCCCCAGAAGAGAAATTCAATAGCCGGCCGAAGGGCCTTGCAATGGCAGAAATTTGCTTCCAAAAGGCTCCCGGCCAGGATTTGGCCCAAAAGGGGCCGTTTCCCAATGGTCCCAGAAGGGGATCGTAATTGCCGGCCCAAGGGCCCTCAAATGGCGGAAATTTGCTTCCAAAAGGCTCCCGGCCAGGATTTGGGCCAAAAGGGCCGTTTCCCAGTGATCCCAGACAAGAAATTCACGCGCCGAGGGGCCGCCAAATGGCCGAATGCTTCCAAAAAGCTCCCGGCTAGGATACGGCTTGAACGAGACGTTTCCCAATGATCCCAGAAGGACATTTTACTGGCCGGCCCAAAGGCCCTCGAACGCTGGCAATTTGCTTCCAAACGGCTCCGTGAATCCAAAGAGGCTCTGTGCCAAGCTACCTGCGCCCCGGGACAGGGGTAGCCCAGGCGCAAACCCTACGGTTTGGTTTCAAGCCGGTTTTTGTAAGGGGTTCTGTGCCAAGCTGCCTGCGCCCCCAGACAGGGGTAGCCCAGGCGCATACCGAAGGTTTGGACTCAAGCGGGTTTTTGTCACAACCTGGAGGAAGGTGTCGAAAAAAGAAGTCACCCCCTTGATAGGGGGATGGGGGGTAGAAACCCTAAACCCGTGAAAGGTGCAAGTTTGGGTGGTTTGGGGTGGGCTCCCGTCCCAAGAACGGCGCCTCCCCCCTTCGCCACATGACTCGGGGGGAGGCAGCCGTGGCACAATGGTATGCCCTAAACCCTAAACCCTAAAACCTAGGCTCTGGAAACTTTGAATCCTAAACTGTCAAACACTGCGTATACGCTGTGTTTTCTCCAATCTCTCCTATCATATATTCGACAGCACGACATTCTCAATGTCAATGTCTGGGCAACACACGGCGTCTGTGGGTAATATTATATATACATGTGCTAAATATTGTTATGTGAACTATACGTGTGATAATATATACATGTACACATGTGTTCTTGTTAATGTCCATCAAGATCATGGCCAACCAAAAGCCATGCCCCTGATAACTGATCATTCATCATGCGGGTGTTCCATTCACCGACATTGTTCCCGGTTGCGAAAAGTTTATCCAGTTGCAGAACTGAAACTGGCAATTCTTCATGGCTGTGAGATGTTGATGTATCCCACAATTTGTTGTACGGTGCCCAATCTGTTTGAGGTATAGTATAGTTGATGTCTCAAAATTGCATGGATACCAGGCCCAGCAATTGTGTTTAAAACAACACGCGACAGTTCATGGTGTAGTTTAATGTTGTTTAGAGAAAGGTATATAAGCCAATGAGTTTGAGGTCTTTAGGGGTGTCAATATGTTTGAACACATCCATGTTTATCTAACACTTCAGTAAATGTTTCAAGGTAGAACTCTTGAGACTGTCATGCCAGAAAACGGAATCTTTTCCACAGAAGAAGGCAAATCAGAATCACCTATATGTTGGATGGTTAACTTGCAACCTTATGGCTGAAAGATGCTAAAAGCCTGAAAAAAACTGAATATATACATAATAGTTATGTATTATATATAGATATAGATATACATATACATATATATATGTATACGGTTCATTTCGTATATAGCTTCAGCTAAACCAGCTTCGCCCCGGTCATAAGGTTCCCAATCACTAGCGACGGTGCTGGCGTAGGAAGTCTCAGCGGTGACTGGATGCCGTAGGTTTGTCCAAAAAGGGCAGATGTTCGCAGGGCAAATTATGGGACAATGATGATTTGGCATGATGATGATTTTGCGAATATGGGGTCATATTTGCAACACTATTGTTATTATGAAATTATCCACCATTGTTATTAAATGTGAATATCAACCCGGAAATTTAAGGGGTATTCCCTCATTAGCCAAAGCCCACCTCGTTTCCTTGGACAAAGGTCCGGTTTTTGTCAGACTCCGACTGTTGGTCGTGGCGGTGGTAAACAGTTAACTCAGTAAACCAATAATCAATATCATAATAATATCCATATGGATATATATGGATATGGATGATCTTGATCATTAACCATCCATCATAGTCATATATCCATACTAATATCCATATAATCATGCAATAACCATGGTGTTTCTGCCCAATTGGCTACCTGGACCAGCAAGGTCATCACGGTCATGGTGGAAGAAGTGGCCAACTATGCCAAGAAGTGCACGGACTGCGGGCGTTCGCGTAGGGTCGAACGCAACGTGGGACTAGCGAACGCAACGTGGTTAACATAATCTGTCTATGTTTCACTACATATATATATAGAGATACATATTAGTGCGCATGTGCATATAGTAATTTACATTATATACATTACAAATATCTAAATACACAGCAAATATATGTATGCAATGGAATGTAATACAATGCAATGCAATGTAATGCAATGCAATGCAATGTATATATGTATGTTTGCTCAGCTGTTTGCCAACCTCGTGTGATATGAAAAGTTTAAGACTGTACAGGACACCAACTCCCAAACTTACGGCTTTGTCAACATTTATGCGTAAACTGACTCATTGGGATAGGTCTTCATGCATTACTTGTATAAACTACTTAGATGGACAATAATGGACACGCATGGTGGAATGTATCATGTGTCAACACCTCCGGCCCAGGGATGAACATCGATTTGTCGGTTGTTTCTTCCCATGGTTTTCTGTTAATTGTTTACTATCCAAACTTGTTGTGTCGCAACATGTGGTAATACACTACTTACATCTCACATGCAAATTTTCATTCAACTAGATGTTTCCATCAATGCACTTATTTCTCACTGTGTCTCAGTTGTTCAAGAGCCTGAGCCTTACAATTGAATGCATTGTCTTTGTGAGAAATATAGACATATATATAATATTATGATATTATAAATATATACATATATATATACTGTATACAACAATTGTTGAAATTTCCCCTATTCAATGACAGCCATATCCATCAAGATGTTGCTAGTTGATATTTGAGCACCAAGTTTCACATGTTCCACCGTTGTTTCATGGGGTTAGGCACCGTTAAGCACCGTTATCTTCGCCATGCAGGATCCTGAAGTCTTTGATAGCACCAACCTTGAGATCAAGCGCTTCCATGGCACAGATCGTGCCTGTGGGCGATTGAAGTGTGGATGCTGAATCCAGACCAAAATATCCATGTGTGAAATAATATGTCTGTATATATATATGTGTGTATATATATATATATATTATATATATGTATATCAGTATATCTATATAATATATGTGTATGTATATATATATGTGATTACGTATATGATTCTACACATATATCCCGTGTGTAGGATTTATGAGAAACACACGCGACATTGAATTATGTTTACACCCGAAAATGAAACAGTGCACAAACAATACTCTTGTCTTGAAAAAATAAACAGGGATTTCAAAACTTACACCAAATACAGCTGTTTTCCCGGTTGAACGGCTTGTAAGTATAAGTGGGACCAGGGGACCAAGAATCCGGAAAATCTATGAACATCATGATAAATTATGAACATCTTAAATATGTGTCTAGCTACCGCTGGGGATGTTGCTGCCGCTGCAGCAATCTCCCTTTTCATGGCCAGGCGGCCAATCCACTGCCCTTCGGTGGATCCTCATGCTTTGTGGAATATTTATAAATACCCTATGGTAAACAGACATAGCTATGGGAAATCACCATTTTTTATGGGTAAATCAACGAACTAAAATGGCCATGTTCAATAGCTTTTTGGATGTTTACCAGAGGGTATTTTCCATTGTTCCATTGACTGCGTGTAATTCGCATGGGATGGATGGTTTTTCCCAGCCATGATCTGGCTACAAGTAGCTTGGACCGATGATCCCAATCATAGACAGTCATGTGAGACTCATGTACGGTTTGATTTTCTCAAACCATGTCTCATACCATATTGTGGTTGTTATTGTTATCATATATATTATCATATATATATATAGATAGATGTATATATATATACATTGATTATTGGTATTGCTCTAGACTCTTTATAAACGCGCATTAATATCATCATTAATATCATCCACTTCATCTGTAACATATTGTGATTTCATTTCGTTGAATCCAGAGGTACCGCGAAGATTGTGCTGAGCCCGTGGCAAATTGAGACCAATCCGGAGCTTCTCGACAAGGAGGCCCTGACAAAACATGCCGGAGGTGATGATTTTCGAAACGGAAAGAACATGTCTAATCAGAATTAAATAAGTTCCTTCCAAAATTATTATTAAGTATTGTACTACTATTATTATTAATATGATTATAACTAGTATAATATGATTATTATTATTATTGAATAGTATCATATTAAAATTTTGATCATTAGTATAGTATTATTATTGATTAGTATTATACTTTAAATTTTAACATGATTCAGTAATGTCCTTCCTAATATTAGAATACCCCCAAACAAAACCCTGCTTTAGTATTGGATATGTTTTCATTTAGGGTACCCATGTTAGGGGGTACTGAAGATTACGGGGGATGGGATTAATCATGATGGATGCTGCTTGATCCATGGCCGATCACAGGATGTCAAGACTTCAGACGGGACTTGCATTTCTTTCTGTGTCCGTTGAAATTCGTTTATATATTGGTAAGTGTTCACCAATATGTCTAGCCGTTTCCTGTGTAAATATTGAATGTGTTTCCTTAACGTTTCGTTCAATGAAACACAACTGGAAATGGTCAACCTCTCAGGATGCCCTGAGAATTTGCGACCAGGTAGAAGCCCTCTTTACTGACGTCTCCATGCAGGGCTGCAGCAACTTGGATCGCGAAAAGGAGTGGGATGCCGCGAAAAAGGAACGTTTCAAAGAAATGATATTGAGATACTGGGGATATCAGAAAGGATATTCATGGAGAATATAATATATATATACTGTATATATTTACAATTATATTTATCTATATATGTATATCTATATTACATACTGTAGCTAGCTTAAATGGATTATACAACGTGGCAAACTCGATAGCATAAACCTATACCAGTTTGGGGTTGCTTTTGAATACAATTTCATGGCAATATTGGGATCGGGCAAATAGTAGGGTGTACCACATCCCATATGCTCCATGTCTGGAATATTTACCTACATTTGGGTCACTTAGGAGGTAAATATTGGCAAATATACCATACATGGGGAGCATTGGGGATTAGGCCCTTTTTGCGTCGAAAATGAGGAGTCATTGGGGTTACTCTACTTGCAGACAAACCATTAAAAAATAATTAAGTGATTTAAGTGGTGGCTTCCTAAATTTGGTCTGCATGCGAGAGTATGCCATGGCTTGTGGGAAACCTTTGCCATCAGATTTCGGGGGTACACTGTTTTCAGACAATATGTATGTAGAATTATGTGTATATATATATATATGTATGAGCAAGTTATATATAGGTATATATTATCGTATATTTTGTGTTAATTAATATATTCATATCTCAGATAGTTTAGCAACATTCACGCCCAAATGATCTCGTGAGGATCCCATGTACCCTTCGCCAGTCCTTTTTTTTACACAGCTGGGCTGTGATGAAAAAATTCCTGCGCCGGAAGGTGAACAAACCTTTCAGAGTCGCTTGTGCCTTGGCTCAGCGGTGTCAAAGTGAGGGGCTCCATGAGTATGGAATATCTGCAATAAGTTTGTTCAATCCTCCTTCATTCAGAAAAAACTGTGAGCAGGATTAGGGTGGAAGCAGGATAAACAACATTAAACAACAGTCCAAAAACCCGAGTTGTACGTACTGTCTCTCAAAGATGTACAACCTCCCGTTGCCCCGCTTCCACACTTGCCACGCTCATTGGCTCCAAGAATTACAGAGTGTACACAATATAGTGATATATAGTGTAAAATTGCATAATTATATACAATAAATATATAACTATATATGTATGTTTAGATATGCACATATATGTTCACTTGTTTGACAGCGCTGAAAGATTCCACCATGCGTCACATATTGGCGACGCAACGCAACACAGAGTTTGGGCTACGGCTCAAACTTGCAGAACAATGAGCCCTTAGCTCCACATGGAAAATAATTTGCAAAGTGTTTGAAATAGCTACCAAGTGAATCTTCCTCGCTACACACTGGTTTTGTCGGTTAGACACATATGTGCAACATTGTGTGATAATATAGATATTTTGTAATATGTAGTGCTTGGTTGTTTTAGTCAATGGTATAATAAAACATCTGAAACTACGAAAACGAAGATCTGTTGTTATATACCACTCATGCGCCTCAAATCATCATCCCAGGAAGATATGTTTTCCGGAATTCAAATACATGGACGACGAGAACTCCGACGAAATCGTGGCAGAGCTGCTTGGCCCGGTGCAGAAGCCATAACTATACAACCTATGTAACTTATGGTTTGAGCATGTTTGAGCATCAACCAGAATTCGTGAAATTCATGGGGTCCCTGGCAAAAGGCTGGTTTTCTCGACGCTGGGGATTGCCACGATTGGCGTCACATACGGCGTATTGTTGACTCAAAGGATGTTCGTTGGTGGAGTCGAGTGCGGTGCTGCGCTTTCTAAGGATCAAGAAGCGAAGCATCTGCACCATGCTCTGCATTTACTGGCTCCTCGCACAGGTTCAGCTGTTGTTGGGGATGACCTGACCTTGGGACACCACAGGATGACGCCAAGTCTCTCACGCAGGGGTTCAACAACAAGGGATTTGTTTCTTTTGACGGCATGATAGATCATGAGCAGAAGAGTTTTATGTTTAGATGCCCACCTACCCATTTGGGCTCTACAAGAATAGGGTACTGGTACACCCCACATCCACATATTAATTTAATGTTCATACTCATGAACGTGTTTGTTTGGTCACATGGCGGTATGCCCCAATTTTCAGACATAACGTGACACAACCATTTTTGGGGTGGTTTTGGCATAGCATTCAGACCTCCATGGATTGGAATGATGAATCTGGCAGGATATGAGCCGACTATTTTTCTTGCTTCTTCCAGACAGCGCTAATTTTCAGTGTGCCCAACAATGGGTCCAAATCAGTTTCACCTCAGTTAAAGTCGTAACCTATTGGGAGCTTCTGAAAGGCTCCCATGTGTGATTTCTGATGGACATTCGAGAGGTATGTTTTCACAATATATTTTTTTTTCATCTCTTGTTTTTTTTCTTGCGGAATGTCCACAAATCCCTTGGTATGTTTTCATCCAGTAGGGCGAGCACTTGAGGTTTTGTTTCTGGGATCCCACGTCGCGATGTGAGGTTGTATGCAGATCGACATATGGAGTTTACCCGAGGGCAAGCAGTCTCTCAGGGCTTGACGGTGCCAGCGGGTTGTGGCAGGGAGGAGTTGTGCCAATGGTGACCAAATTTATTCTGGCATATTCTATCCTTCTTTTGTGTGTTTTTTTTGCGTCCTTCTTTTCTCCTTTGTTTTTATGATTTCTCTTTTTCTGCTTGTTCTTTTGCTTCTCCCTCTTCTTCGTCTTTATCTCTTATTCCTTCTTCTTCATATTGTTCGTCTCCTTCTCCTTTTTGTTGTTCTTGATTGTCAGTGCTGTTGCCACAGCCTTTATGACCCTTGTTGCTGGTGGTGGTTGATATGGTCAGGAAAAGTGCAATTCGGCAGAGAGGGCAGAGCAGATAATAGACAAGTGTGGTAAACGTAAGAATGAAATATTTTATCATTACCGATATTGTTGTTCACTTCAAATTCTGATGCATTATGTTATGTACACGTACTGTGCATGCATAGTGTATCATAATATACATTATGTGGATATATAAATATATATGATATGCATATAGTATATGCATATCATATACAAATATGTTATATATATATATATATATTATTTATTACTATATTATATATTATATATTATATATTATATATTATATATTATAAATTATATATTATATATTATATATTATATATTATATATTATATTTTATATATTATATATTATATATTATACATTATATATTATGTATCGTATATTATGTATTATATATTATGTATTATGATGTATTATGTATTATGATGTATTATGTATTATGATGTATTATATATTATATATTATATATTATATTTTATATATTATATATTATATATTATATATTATAGTTTTTATCACATTGATATAGGTCAGCACCAGACACAATTCTTGAACGTGTGGCACATGTCGTTTGGCTGTCAGGATCACTCAGAAATTTGGGCCAGTGGAACTGTCAAAACTGAGGTGTTTAGCCTGTCTACTCCCCAACAAAAATCACTTACATGCCAAAGTACAAGATGGCCAGTTCCAAATAGTCTCAAGCACGCGCGCTTCCATAGTTTCCACTTTTTTAAAGGATATCCATTTTTCTCTTGGAGGGTCGCAGTTTTTCCGAACTTTCGCCAGGAAGACTCGTGGAGCTTTTTGCGCTCCTGGCTGCAGCCCATGCCACTTGGTGAAGGAAAACATGCTGAAGTGCTGGCTTACAATAAAAACAATCTGAAGACAGACATACAACGATATGCAATAACGTTCCAGCACTAAAACATACTAAGACTAGTTATACACCAACTTGGCAAACTAACTTTGGCACCACTTTGCTGTGATACTTTGCTGGTTGAATTCCAAATGTTGTTCGGATCCTGATCCCAGTCTCACTGAAGTGCGTATCTTCCCAGATGTCCCCCATTTTATTGTTGATTGGTGCCCAAAAAAAAATGGGAAGATTTGGTGAATGTCTCCATTTCAAAAAAAAACATCTATTTAGATCCCAATCTTTGCTGGTTGCATTGATTTTGAGATGTTCGCTTGATATTTCCATATCAGGGTAACGTTTAACTATCCATTCCATCGTCTACAGCTTAAATTTGTTTAAGAACCTGATTGATATGTACTCAATGGATGCAGGAATCAATTCAGCTACTTCAACAAAAGTTTACGGCAGTTGGTTCATTCCGGATTCTATGGCCTCAAACATACGTGTAAAATCGTGTAAAATTACGTTCAAAATGGTGTATCTGCATGATCTAATTTCGACCCAAAAAAACATAGTGTAGAAATGGGTCTCAAACTTTGGAAAACATATATAACATATACTGTATAATATATTCCATCCTTCGGGTTATACCTTTTTTATCCCCTTAAATTTCCATACACAGCTCTGCAAGGCTGGATGACATCGAAGTGCTGAGCGTGGTTTGCGCGGCAGCGTCTCGGGCTGGAAAGGTTGGGATGTAGTTGATATATTAGACATTAAGGGGATTTACCCTCTGATAACTTGACATAGACCCTGAAACTATATGGAAAATATGCTATTTTTAGTGGAAACTAGTCAACATAGACCCCTATCTGACAGGGTCTATGTTAATTTACTGGAGGCAAGATCATTCCAATCACATGATTTTTGGCTTAGTTTAACTATACTTAACTATGGAACATATGGGGATATTCATTCGATGGGATATACCTAACCAACTTGATATGGTATGTTAGATAAATCGGCATGTCTGAAAATGAGGTATTCTCCCACAACTGGTGCAGTATTGCGAAAAAAAATGATGTTTAACCAAAGGATTTTGAGGTACATTTTTTGTAGACATTACCATATGAATCATATGAGCTCATATGTTAGCCTCTAGTAAATTAACGTTGACACTGAAAATAACCAGTTGTTTGTGGAAGCTAATCGTCCAAACCCCCTATTTGCCAGGGTCTATTTTAGTTGGAGGAGGATGATATAGGTTGTACCTATACATACATAATATCATATGCATTAATCAAGTATATATATATACACATGTGTGTAACATCAAGCATCCATATATCACATGATTAGATATAATCATGTCTAACATGCAGATGATATTCATATGTAATAACCCGATATTCACGGAATCTACTGAATGACAACCAATATGCAATATGATTTGGGTTGTCCAAAAGTGGGAGGTACCATGACTTATGACCATCAACATTTTGAATGTCCACACAGCCTCATCTAATCATGTCTAAGTATGCAATGGCTACGATTATGCAATATATAAATATACACATCATATGCCTGCAGATCATTACAAACACATGCATTTATATATATATATGTAAGAATATAAATATTTAGATAATATGTTTGTATGCTTATAATATATATATAGTATGTTAATGGTGTTTAAACTAAACCTCATATGTACATGGGTATTGTTACTTGAAAGTGGTTGATACTCCCAATGTAGCTTCCAATGATGTAGCACCCCAGTTCCCAACCAAGTCGGGTAAATCTCGAATGTTCTGAGGGAACCTTGGTGGATGTGAATGGTAGGTTGATGGCCTATGTATATGTTCTTTTCGCTGCGAATATGGGAGTATCATATCTGGAAAGTAGTTGAATTTTGCAGAGTGTCCAAGATTAGCCATGACAAACAACTGTATGCTCCTCGTCTTTCCCAAACAACATCATCATACACGGCACCCAGATTCTGATTTTTCACGAGATTTCTGTCATGAGATCCAATGGGATGATCAAAAAGATATTCTGCCATGTAATTATGATAATGATCCATATGTCGTGTTGATTATCTATCCATATATCCATATATCCACACATCAATCCATAAATATATATATATATAATTCCATATTGTGGCTCCATTGTTTCCCATTGTTTCGGACATGACCACAGCCCACCACAGCCCAAAGGTCATGGTGCGAGCGATTTGCAGCATCCCCAAGTTCCGACAGCAACAGGCCAAAGGTCTCAGTGAACCCCGCGCCTCGGCAACGTTTTTTTCGCCGTAAGGTTTTTGGGGCTCCACCATGGACATGGTGAAGGGATGTATCGCACATGTAATATGTATAATATAATGTATATCCATATTATACAATATATGTATATATCATGTTTTGGTGTGTGTTTATTGTTCCAGTTGCTTGGGATGCTGTGGCGCGACCCAAGTGTCATTGGGAGAATGAGGTTTTAATACATTGGAATTGCGTTTTTTTTCCAATAAATGTTGAGACAAAACCCTCAAAGATGCATGTTGTTTGCAAACATTTGACAATGTTTCTGGATCTGAACTACTAGGAACGCCGGTAGGTGTTCCTGCAAACTCCATTGGTTGTGAATTACAAAAAAGGGTTTCGCACGTAGGCCGTACCTGAAAATGTGTTTAACATTGGGGGAAGCCCATTCCATCCACTGGTTTAAAACCCCAAGTTTCCTATGAACATTAGCATTTGGGGGTATTACACTATACCCCGTGCTCAGACACACCCACAACCTATTGTTGGTTATATAATGTTATAGTATTTATTCCATGAATATATATATATATAGAATTATTTGATATTATTTCTATCTCCATTTTATCCCCCTTGTTAAGAATTGTTGATACTGTGGATGGAAGAAATCCTGCACCAGCTGATAGATGGTGAACATCCCATTATTTATAGGGTTTCAACCATCCTTTTGGTGGTGCAGGATTTCGCAACCATCCACAGAGTTTCGTAGCTCCGAAATGCCCGAAATGCGAGGAGATGTGGTGGCACATGTCCTGAAGCACTGCCCGAAGGTGACCGCTGGACGATGATAGTGGATGGTCATTTTTCCACCAAAATGGCATGTCGTTTACATCCGAAAACGGAAACCAGAAATCATGATGATAGAAGATTGAACTACTGTTAAATTTGAGAATCAAAATATTAGCCAACCAGCGATTTTTTCATGACTCCAACCAAAGGTATTGGCATATTGAACATATTTAACCTGGCAACTGCGAAAGATGCGAAAGACTCTTGCTTGATTGCCTGGATCTGGCTTACTGTAGGGCACTACAGGGCTAGGGCTTCTTGACCTTAGAATCCCTTTTAATCTAAGTTTGAAGCAGACCCCTGAAGGTTCTCTGTTCCAAGCAGAACGATATATGGTTGTACCGGTGTCCCCTTGAGATTTTTTTCACCACCAGGTGCTGCCCTCCTATCAACGATTAAATCCGGACGAGCGACAACAACTCGCAGAAAGTCTCGGTGCCGAGCCCGGAAAGTCTCAGTGTTCAACGATGGGGACTGTTGAGAGTTGGGTAGTTTCGAAACGTCACCAAAAATAGGGGCGGTGAGCATCAAAAACTGGGATTTATCATGATTGATCCATATGACCATGATTTTTCTGGTTGTTTTTTGTTTACGATGAACATGTATAATTATATGGATTTATATGGGAGATCATTTGATAAATACTGGTTGATGATTAGTTCACCACTGGATGATCATCTGGGAATCCCGGAATTCTGATCAGTTGGGCATCCTGACTGGACTGCCAAGGCTAGCTGACGAAGTCAATTCTATAATGTTCTGGCTTCCGAGGACTATCATTAGGTTATGCCAACATGTTTGGTTGGTAGAAAGCACTGTTGTTGATGAAGCGCGCCATTGTTTGTTGATAATCAGATAATCCGCCAATTTTGTCATTGGTTAATTTCCATCATGGTACTGGCCAGTTGTTTTCGTCAGTAAATATATGTACATTGTTGCCCAAAAATGTGGTTCCCTTCATGACCCAATTTTGTTTGGTCTTTATGACCCAAATGGTTTGGTTGTTAAGTCACCGGTGAAATCCCTACCCTTAATTTGTTCATCACCATGGTGTTGAATAGAAAAAAGCTCATGCTCACTGCTAGTTATAGTTCATTCGTTGCTTGAATCCCCAAGGTTCCTGGTGAAAGATCATGGTTTTCTGTTGGTTATACCCGCATGATTAGGTCTAAAGCATCTTTCTCTTGGCTAAGGCCCAGTTTTTCTTGATTAACTCATATTGACGTTTAGAATCCCCAATTTTTGGCGAGATCATCTTGAAAAATGTTGGGCACCAAAACCCATCCAAAAAACCCTTTTTCTGTGTATGAACAAGCCCTATGTTTCACCATTAAACCATCTTATCAATATCATAAACCGTCATTAAACAATGGTTAAAGATGGTTAAACAATGGTTAAACAATGGTTAAAGATACTTAAAGATGGTTAAACAATGGTTAAAGCATCATTTCTTCTGGCTCCCGCATCGACTCAGGTCACGACTTCGAACTGCACCTCTTCCTGGACGCTGAGAGCTGTCCGGCGGGGCTGAAGTTTCTACTGCCCTTGGTGCAGTCCGAAACGCCTGAGGCGATGGGACTTGGTGAGGGATTATTTTTGGGATGTTGGAAATCACCATAGAAATGGTTATTACTGTAAATGTTATTAAAAGTTATTGAAAGTTATTAAGAGTTATTAAAAGTCATTAAAAGTCATTAAAAGTTATTTAAAGTTGGTTAAAGTTATTAAAAGTTATTCAAAGTTATTAAAAGTTATTAAAAGTTATTAAGTTATACCACGAAATGGTTACATATGAATATCTTTGGATGTTTGATGAGTTGGTGGAAATCACCGAAATTCAATGAAATTGGGGATATGTTGAAGCATGTTCATGGTTATTTTTACGAGCCTTTCGGGGGAAACCAAACAATTGGTATTTTCGACATGAGATATACTGAGATATGATATAGGGAATGTAGGCAGCAAAAAAACGAAGCTATCAAGGGAGATAAGCAACGCACATGAGACGATGTGAAAACATATGATATGGGGAAATAGCAAATATTTTTTTTTGACAAATGAATAGAACCCACTAAGATAAAGATGTGATATGAAGTGACGAAAGGGACACTACCAACCCATACTGTATGATGTGATGTGATGTGATGTGATATGATGTGGCATGATGTTATCTTATATCATATGATCTTATGATATTCAAAAATGATCGCGCATATAAATACGTAATATGTTACATTCATACTACATTACATTCGTATGATATTGATATAGGGATATGACCAACAAACCCAGGACATGGGGTATATTATATCTCTCACAAAAAAATGTTTAGGGAAATAAGAAAACGACATGTGTCATGATATCTGGGATGTTCTGAGATATACCCTCCAGTAAATTAACATAGACCCTGGCAGATGGGGGTTGGAAGATGAGTGAAACCATTAAAAATTCGTCATTTTCAGGGTCTATGTTTATTTACCATAGGGTACATATATATATATATATAAGCCAAAGAACGGTGCACATATTGCATCTGTTTCTACAGCTGGAAACTTGGGGCTTGGTATTGCTACAGTCTACGCCATGGCTTGCCGTTGAGCAGTTCCTGGGGAATAAAAAACCAATCCCTCTGTGGGTGTCAGGGTACCAGGGGGTACCAGGGCAGCCATATGATGCCATAATCTTATCATATGAGGTGATTTGCGATCTTTGGTGGACCTGCAAAACAGGAGATATGCTTCAAAAACGGGACATTGGTTTTGGGCAAGAATCTTTAATATGCTTTAATCCCCAGTCCGGTGAAGTTTGCAACTATTGCAACTATCCCCATGCCGTTTTGATGCTTTCACATCAGTAGATAAATCATGACAATAAATCATCGAACTAACTTGACCATGTTAATTTGTAAACCCAAAAAAACAGATGTTATATCATGTTATATCAGTCATATATCAGTTATATATATCAGTTATATGTTAGTTATATCCCCATGAAAATATCCCCACGAGTTGCCCCAACTTCCAGGTGGCGAGTCGTCGTAACTGTGACTTTGACCCGGTGGCTGTGCTGATGTGGTCCTCCTTTTTGGAATTGGCCGGTGCGCCGTGGCAGGGATGGGCTCCAATCCGTCCAATTTCTGGGGTGTAGACTGTGTAGACTCCGGTAATTTCACAGTTTGTTGGTGGAAAATGGACCATTTTAGATGATGCTATAATATTATAATAGGATTTACTGAAAATGGTGATTTTTCAGAGCTATGTCACGAATTACCAGGGGGGTATACCTCGAGATTTTAGTGATATATGATATATGATATGTTCGATTGTTTTTGCTGGTATTCTTCGATAAGCATTGCCATTTTGTCGTCTAAGATTGGTTTGCGTCTAAGTTGGGAATCCATGTGGTTTGCTTGGTCAAGGGATTCCAAATCATATAAGGACTCAGCATGGAGACAAGATGCGAGAAGAATCAACCCTTGGAGGGCGTACCTGAACAGGACCTGGTCCTCATCCCACTACTTTCACAGCGATAGCCCAGTTTGATCCATTTCTGAATCTGTTTCGATGTCCGGAACTTTCACCATCTTTCACCCATGTACCCTCTGGTAAACTAACATAACTATGGAAAATCACCATTTTTCATGGTAAAATCCATTATCAATGGCCATTTTCAATAGCTATGTCAGCCATAACCAGGCCGGGTATCCCATGCTATGCCCTTGGTCGTGCATCGAGTTCTCGGCGGCAACAAGGCTCCATGGGCGCCCAGAGTCAGGAAGGATCGCTCTACATGACCGAGGAGCGCTTCCAGAAGATCCGCATCGCCGCGGCGACTCGGCAAGAACGGGGAGAGCTGAGCTGAAACGAGCTGAAAAATGGGAACATATATATATATATTTATACATAGATAATATTATAATATGTAGTTATATGATATTATATATATATAATATGCCCATGTATATGTATATGTAATTATATGTATAATTACGTATACATCACATATAGTATTGTTATTGTTATTGTTAATTGCTTTTGTTATTACTACTATTATTGTTATTTTCTTACTATGATATATATATATATAGATATATAAATTTGTATATTGGGAAACTAAGATGACAAGGAATGGTGGATTCCCCAGAAAATGTTGTGTAGGTCGTGGATTTTCCGTACCTTTATTGGGGTATTTTGATATGATACTTATGCTCAGATCATCCACTTTGTTGCGAGATCATTTGGTACATAAGTGAGATAACTAGGAAATGCGGCAGAACAGGTTGATGTTCTCCAAGTTTGATATAGCTGAGGTAGTGTGGTACACCTTAAGCCAGAAAGCCCAAGGCTTTACCGCATTTCTTCACTGAGAAATGGGATTCAGCTCACTCAGGCAGCATTCTTTGATGATTTTGGGGAAACAACGTACTGCACCTTACGGAAGCTAAAGGGCCATGTGTACCATGGTAAAAAGTCTGGTGAATTGCCATGTTTTTTTTAATCCCATGTGACAAACCATAGTGAACCATGAACTATCATATCATATCATATCATATCATATCATATCATATCATATCATATCATATCATATCATACTATCATATCATATCATATCATATTATCATATCATTTCATATCATATACTATATATATATATAATTATGTATATATGATCTTTTCAGTCTATTCACTGTCATGATTTGGACACGTGCCCAATGACAGGAAAGCATCCAACAGATGGCCGAGAGCTCCGTCAGCGAAGTGGATGTCTACGATCAAATCCTGGAGAAGCGCGCCAAGGCGCCACAGGGTGGGCTCCCCCCCCGGGGGTGTTGCAGGGGCCCCCGGGGTTTCAGCAAGTTGGTGAGGGATGAATGAAATTCATCATGAATAATTTAAGGAACCTACTGAAAACCTACTCAGAACCTGAAAATTTGGATCTTTGGGATGATTAACCCATTTTTTTGGCCCCCAACTGACAAATGTGTTGGCAATTGTTGAAGATTTTGGACTATATATAGATGGCCACGATGATCAATGCCTTGTGTTTTTAATTTTTTTTCGGACCTGTTTGGAGCCAATCTAAGCACACAGCTCCTCACTCATCGCTTGGAATATCCTGCAGTAATGGACATGCTCATGGAGAACCTAAGTTCCAATCGGAACAAAATAGTCACATAATGCACATATAATCATATTATGTATAATATATATATATATAATATCACTATTTTTTAATTATCGTTTGGTAATGGATATGTTCAGGGCGAGAATGTCTAATTATCAGCTCATATTGGAGGCTAAAGCAGCGAGAATCTGTCCCTCTTTGACGACGTTCAAAGGAGATCTGTGGATTTTCCATAAGATAAACCATCCAGCTATTGGGGTACCTCCATTTCTGGAAAACCTAAGATTGGTCCCCAGGGTGCATTGTGGTGCTGGAAAATCGGCCCCACATGCCATGAGATGCTTCACTTGGAGATGTCCGTCGCCATGGTTTCTGTTCGGATCAAAATGAGTAACATTAACTATCACACAATATCACACATGTATATATATATATACATATATATATAATTACCTAGATCCACTCAAGATTGTTTTTTTTCACCCCGTTATATATATATATACATCTATATTGGAATGTTCGAAGCAAAGTTTATTTTTGTCGAAGCCGAACGGCTGTCCTGTGGAAACCCCTCAAGGCTGTTGGGCTGCAGTTGGACAGTTCACTGCCCAGCAAAGCACTGAAGCGCTTGAGTTGCCTCGCCGCTTCCCGCGGCTCGGTAGCTGCGGTGTCAGCTGGGTCATGGGGATAGTCTGGGTAACACCTTGCAGCCCCCTTCACTGGCCAGGGTCGCCACAAATGATGGCAATCGGATTGGGGGATTGTGCCAAAACATGTATATTTGTGATTTGGGTTATAGTAGTTTACCCAAGAATAAAATCGCAAGTTGAGAAGGAACATGAAGATAAATCTATGGATTGGTGGTAATTAGCAAGATATCAAACACAGTCACATGTTTTCTACACATGAATTGATGAATAGATATCATGTCTTTATAGGTTATGAGTAGTTTAATTTCATGTCAACCACCAATTTGGATTTCGATAGAGCCAACAAGGAAGAGGCCAGGTATTGAAGTAGAAGCTGATTCTTGTTTTGGATGATCACCCCAAACAGCCCAAATGGACGCGCTATTGATACGACGCTCCAGTGGCTCCAGAGACCAAACATGGCTATGTGAGATCCCATATACTTTATACATCTTTATACATATGTGTATAATTGTGTATATACATTATACACTTACGTTGCAGTTGAAGCCGGGCCGAAACGAGCACAAATTGCGCGGAGTCAGACCTTGCTGGGGAGATGCGCTTGATATCTGCGCTTCGCAATTTTAGGGCTCTGAAAACTCAACCCCGGAAAGACATGAGCCTGGAAAATGATTTAGCGATCAGGATTAGGAATTGCGTTTTGCTTCATTCCAGCGATTCAATGTCACTCATGCCACAGCTTCTGTGTTGAAATTGAGAGAAACAACTCTGTTTGGCTGAAACTGACCAGTGTTTCTTCCATCCTATGCAAATTTGATACCGGGTAAACTCTGTGTTTTGACCATGGACATGTCTACTGCTTCTGAGGTGACAACACAGATGCAGAGAATGTGAGACAAGCCCTAGATGCCTTGAGTGACGCTTGCCTTCGTCAAGAGGTGAGTGCTTGAAGGTTTGAAGGCTTCAGATATGTGTGGATTGTATATTTTTACATGTACATATAAAGTTAGATTCTTATACTTATACATACTTAAAATTCTTGAATATCATATATGTACGTGTACCATGCTTCAAAAAAAGTGTCTTTAAGCGGGTTGAGTTGCAAGGCAATGGCAATTGTTGTGTAAGTCTAGTAAAAAATGGGCGCCCCACTCCTTCGACTCAATTGACTTTCCGAATCACTGGGCGTTTCCATAGTCCACAGTGGTGCTTTGTCTTTTTGTTGTCTTTTTCCTCCGCAAAAGGTTTGATCCAACGTAGCTATTCAATGCTATTTGTTTTGGGTTGCGTTGTTGCCATCAAGTGTGGATTTTGAGGCTGCACCACCGAGCATAGTGGGTAAACCACGCTTTTGGTAGGCCACTTGGCCTGATGTTTGGCCAGAGGAAAACTGACTCTTGTGAAAGGTATCCAAGATTAGCCATGCATTCTTGTCGGTGAATATATCCTTTTTCCCCAACGGGGCATTTTTTGAGGTCTGGAACCTCGTTTTGCGTGACAGGTGCAGGACATCGGACACTTTTTCATCCGCGTGGCAGGCGTAGCACTTTCTGGAGGTTGCTAACACGTTGGCAGGCGTGGGTGCTTTTGGAGGTCATCTATCGTGGCAGGCGCAGTATTTGGTGAACTTGGACGACGCTTTGAAAGGGCCGAAAGTCTCGTTTTGTGAAACTGTCGACTGTCGTCATTTTTGGTTTTGGACATGATGATGATTTCGTGCGGCCATCGCAGCACTTCGGCATTTTCAATGTTCATTTTTCGTGGTGCGCACGATGTTTTCAGAGCATCTGACATGTGCTCGCGCAACCCTCTCGTGACTTTGCGCGTGTCGGATCGCTCTCGTTGTGGCGCGGTGCGAATTTTGCTATTGCTCGCGCAACTCGTTTCATGTTTTTCCGGGGTGATTTTTTTCTTTGATCCGCCTCTAGACCCCTAGGATGAGGATCGAGGACGGATGGTGAAGTGAGCCTTGCGGCCTTGCTCGGTGGCAGTTTGTGGTAGCGGAAGATTGCCTAAAATAATGGGGATACAATGTGGGTACAATGAGAATATGGGGTCATATTGGGATCCGCAGAATTGGGGATAAGCATCTGCAAATGGGGATATGATGGGGATGTAGTCAGATATATCATACATCACCAAAAATCTCAATTGGGTGGTGAGTTGGCCCAAGGCTGATTCGAGATGAGCAAGCCCCAAATCGTTGGCTAACTTGGTTTGTGTAGGGTTTATGGGGGATATATGTACCGTTTATGGCATATGGGGTTTATAAACCAATTTGTGATTGAGGCGGTGACCAATAACCCCACAAATCGGCAGTTCATAACCCACCTATACCGTATGGTTTCAAAACTAACTACAAATGGTATGTTTGTTTGGTTATGTCTAAGACAGGGGTACCTTTTTGGACCCACAGGAGCCTGGTCGTATTTGTTGTTATGAAAAGTTGCAGTAACCACTGATGTTTAGCTGTTAAGCAACTATATTGAGCATGTTAATTACGTTAATTATGTTCGTTCGCTGCAAGATATATCAGCAATTATTGTTCTAACTACTAGTTAACCAATTATAACTATAACTATCGTATACTACAGTTGGGGGAGGAACTATAATAGATATACATATACATGAATTATATGTGAGTTATAGTTGTAACCAATGGTCGAGGAATAATTATATACCTTTAAGTACAACCACAGCCGACTAACTAACTACTACTATAAATGTAGTTCACTAACTTTATAACCAAAGATGACCATAGTTGACAAAGAGTTGTAGTTACAGTGAACATGTCCTGTCTCCAGGTACCTGACGAATGGCGGCTCCCAGGCACCCGAGGATGCGGAGCCGGGCGGTGCGCGGCCCTGCTTCGCCATGTTGCAGGCGGGGATAGGGCCAAAAGGTGGGTCAAACTTGGGCCTAAGAACTGGTGGCATATGATTTTGTGTTAAAAATAGGCCCCAAGCTGATTCTGGACCCATCCCCAAATAGCGCAAATGGATGGAATCCAACAAAGAGTGCTGGGATTTCACCAGCTGATGTGGAAGAAGTAAAGAAAGATATTATAGGGAAGTGGTCTGACGTTGAAGGACTCCGGAGATTGAATTAGACTTTGGGGGCCCAAGCTGAAAGATACTCAAGGAGCAAAATCATGGGAAGGATTGATGCAAAGATGGCAGTGATGTAGGTAATCAGCCTTCGTTGTGTTGCCACAGACTGAAGTGATCTGGTCTTCAGACTTCCGACAGGTCAATTCTTTTGCCAGGGTTTCCTCAACATGCAGAACCCCAAGCGCATGTGAATCTCTGCAGATGCCAAATTCATGCTGCAGGTTAAAGGCAAGAATGCCCGTCAGCATCCGCGATATGCAAGTACATATAACATATACATATTTACATACATGCATGCATGCATACATACATACATACACACACATGTACATATACATTTACAGATACACATACACATAGACATATACGTAGACATACACATATATACACACACATACACATACATACACAAACATACACATACATACACATACATAGACATACATAGATATACATACACATACACACACATACATACACATACATACACATACACATACATAAACACACATACACACACACATACATATACACATACATATACACATACATATACACATACATATGCACATACATATACACATACATTTACACATACATATACACATACATATACACATACATATACATACATACATATACATACATATAGATACATATAGATACATATAGATACATATAGATACATAGAGATACATACAGATACATACAGATACATACAGATACATACAGATACATACAGATACATACAGATACATACAGATACATACAGATACATACAGATACATACAGATACATACAGATACATACAGATACATACAGACACATACAGATACATACAGATACATACAGATACATACAGATACATACAGATACATACAGATACATACAGATACATACAGATACATACAGATACATACAGATACATACAGATACATACAGATGCATACAGATACATACAGATACATACAGATACATACAGATACATACAGATACATACAGATACATACAGATACATACAGATACATACAGATACATACATACATACATGCACACATACACACATACACACATACATACACACATACATTCATAACATGCATTACATCCGTTGCATGCGTTACATGCGTTACATGCGTTACATGTGTTACATGTGCTACATGCATTACATGCATTTCATGCATTCCATGCATTGCATGCATCTCATGCATTACATGCATTGCACGCTTACATGCATTACATGCATTACATATATTACATACATTACACTACATTATGTTACAGTACATTAATCCTACATACCTACATACCTACCTACCTACCTACCTACCATACATACATACATACGTACGTACGTACGTACGTACATACATACATACATACACGTCGGAGGAAAAAAAATATACATGCACATTTCTAATGATATAGATATAGATATATATATACACACACCGTATGCATTAAATATTCTATATTCATAGATATTCAAAAAAAACTGCAAAATCTTTGAAAGATATTTTGTAGATATTCTGAGGATACCCTAAAGATAGTCTATTTTTTCAGATATTCTATATATTTCGCATATATAGTCCATATATATTCTATAGGTATTCCATTAATAACGCATATTGATGGTCAATTCACATCACAAAGTTGTGAAGCACTGCAAGGCCACAGCCTTCCTGGAGAAGGCCCGCGACAACAAGGAGATCGGCCTGGCACAGGCGCGATCGGTGCAGCCCGAATGGAGCCTAGTGGTGGCGGATGTGTGAGGACCTGGTGTCTAATATACTGTGTATATGTAAATGTATAGCATGTATATACATATATATATACGTATTTTTACGTACATTATATATATATTTACTTATTTATTTTTCAAATTTCAACATATATATATATATATACATATGCGTGACGATTTTAATTTTCCCAGTGGCTACTGTTACTGATATTATTATTATGCATACATAGCACTGCTATATGCAGAATACACTGTTTGATATACTGTATTAATTATTATTCGTGATAACTATGTTGATTCTTTGTAAACAAATGTGATCATAATTGCTTTGATTGTTTGTACATCAATCAACTCATTAGTGTATGTGTTTGATACGAATATTTCATATTAGTGTTACTGTTGCTATTATGATTGAACACATATGCAATATAGCAGCTCAACCGCGTGTGTAGATAATAGATTTATATATATATATACAAAAAATGAGGTTGCACTACACCCCATATACGTGCATACATATGTCATTGTAGTTTAGGTATATTGTATTCACTTTCCAAGGCCACTTGCAAACCATTTGCTAATTTCAGTAGGGATTACTAGGATGCGGCGGAAGCAGTCGAACTAGAAACTCGTTTGACACAGGGAAAACTCGGAGTGTCGAAAGCGGCACCATAGCATGTAGTAGCCGCCACCAAAAGTTGAACCTTTCCTAGTGCAAACCCCATGATACTCAAGGTTTCCAGCCGCTATACATCAATGATACTCATGGTGTTCAGTGGACCCAGGCACCAAAACTGCCAAACTGCCAAGGTGTTTAGATCACAGTTGAGCTTGGAATTGGTTTGGGGATTATGAACGATTCCAGTATGGGACCAATAGCGCCCAGTAGAATTTTAGAAGGTCAAGGGGTTCTGGTGAGGCATTTAGATGCCCAAAGCTTAGCGCAAGAAAGCTGAGGGGGTGTAGGAAGTTGGACTGGAACCATCAATTTGATAACTGGAAGTTGGGGTCAGAATGAAACAACCGGAGATATCCCGAGATCAGGGACTGGTCATTTCTGGTATAGAATCTATTTGGATGTTTTCGATAGTGAATAACCCATGACATGTTCCATACTCGAGTCAGATTGAGATCCAAAGAAAATTGTGTTCAATCGTCAGTAGAAGTGGCCGAATCTCCCCGGTTTTTTCGGGACATTCATATGTTCAGCTGTTGGTCGTTACTGCAAAATCGGACATTTGCCAGAATCCAGACCAAAAGACCTAGGCGAACCCGTGCATTTAGATAATGAACCACAATATATATATATATACATAAATACACACACATCCACTTAGAGACAGAATGAGACAGACATGTACCATAGTTATTGGTTGAATCATATTTTTTCCTTCCTTTTGATTTATTCAAATATATCATATACTTCGCACATTTCGGTACATCAGTTCTTCCTGAACTTCCAACAACAAAGCTCTAAGAAGCTACGTAGCTGGCGTTGATGTTGGTTTATGCCAAAGGGAAGGCCATTTTCTTGATCAATCCGCCATGTTTGATAGGGATTTTAGTGATTTTAGTGTGGTTGGAAGTGTTTAAAGTCTGTGAAAAAGTCATCGCCCTGTAGCGCTCCGCTCGTAACGGAAGGCCACCCGCACCTTGCTCCGTGTCTACGACGAAGCACAGCGGGAGTTTCAACATGTGGATGTGGCCATGGTGTCTCGGTGGTATCCACCTGGGGAGTTGGTGGAATTTTGTCATGGCAAAATTCTTAAAGGCTGGTGTTCAAAAAGAGCTCATCATAAGTACATGATAGCCAGAGAGAATGGCTAATGATCGCCACGGGGAATGGCTAATGTTACCTCTCTATTTGCCCAATTTAACCTCTTGTGCCTGGGATGTTGGGAGCGAGCCTGTTGTGTGCCAATACAAGCTAATACCCCATATACTGGGGATATAATGGGTATATCCTCATATCAGATCCCCAAGTATGCTCAATCTCAACTTGATGTTGCAGGTTACCCAAGATGAGTCATGTACATATGGTTGCATATGCATGTATTTGTTTATTCCTGGGACTGGAGCAACGACTCTTTTGACTGTTTTGCTCTGTAACATGCATTCTGAGCTTTCCAAATTCAGGGTCATGATGGTTCCTAGAATATTACACCCCACTCCCCTACCCCATTGGAGAAGTTGGGGCCCAACGTGTATATATATATATATGTACGTACATACATACATACATATATATGTAAATGTATGTGTATATATATATACATTGTAAACATGTATATTTCTAAACATACATATGTGGACCAGTGTTTGGTGGTCCCTCCCTCCCCACTCCGAGATGGTGACGGCCCCTATTTGGATTTATACAAGATTGTGCAAGTATGTGTGTACCTACATGTGTAGATAAGTTATATATATATATACATATGTGTAAGTAGTATACGAGCATATATACATATATATATAGAGAGAGAGAGAGGTGTGTGTGTATATATATATACGTATGCAGTATGTGTACGTGCAAATATTTGCAGTATGTATGTTTGCGTATCCCTGTGGATATGGTGGTGGGTAAGGGTGGGGATGGGGATGGATGTAAACATACATACCGTGTATATATATATGCATATATTTATACTGACATAATAAGTACATACGTGCCGCATATGTATAGAAATATATGTATGTGTGTATATATATACATGTATTTATACATGTAGTGAGAGAGAGAGAGAGAGAAAGACCAGAAAAATCGATCAGTGGGGACGGTAAGCAACGGGTACTTCGCATAGTCATAGGGGTACCCCAATAGCTGGATGGTTTATTTCATGATATTTCATGGAAAATCCATCTATAAATGGATGATAATCTATAAATGGATAACTATTCATGGAGGTTTCTATAAATGGATGGTACCCCCACTTAGGAAACCTATGGAAACCTCCATTTCTTGGTGCTTCCAGGTGAAGGTTCGCCTGGAGAAGTTGGCGAACTTTGCCGCGGACTTCGTGGGCAGCGCGCAGTTCGAAGACGTGCCCTTCGAGCTGACGCTGGGACGGAAGCGTTGGGAGGTCCTAGGGCCCTGGGGAAGATCCGGTCACTTTAGATTCAAACAAAGGGAATATCAAGTTTAACATGTCCCAAATTTGGGGATATGTTGTTTTTTTATATATGGAGAACACGTATTTATAGATGACTTTCTCATTGAAAGCTCCACTGGCACCTGATTGGATCCGCAAATTCATTGCTGTTTCTGTTGAAGAAACCATGTTAATGGTCAATGTTTGGGATTGTTTGGGGGCATATCCATACCAATCAGTACTATTCAATAATAGCTGCATGAGTTAGCTCAATCCCAGAAGGCTTCCAGGTTTCCGTCTATAGGAGCCTGACATAGCCTGACGAGGGGTACGCATACATATCCTAACTGTTTTACGCATGCAAAACATATGTAGACCGCATGTGCAACATATGCAATTTGCGCAAAAGACGCATATGAAACATACACATTTACGTGTGTGAAACGTATGTAATGCCTATGTGAAGTGTATGTGCAGCGTATATGCAACACATGTGAAAACATATGCGAACCCTATGCGAAACATATGCGAACCCTATGCAAAACATATGCGAAGCACATGTGAAACATTAACGTACTTTGCGTCTGGGTTGCATTATGTTTATGTTTATGTTTTCGAATTCGTGTGTTTTTTTACGTCGGAGGAAAAATAACACCTTATTTTGTGCATATTACACAAAATAAGGCCTTATTGTTGATCGTGCGTAGAGGAAAAACGTAAACGGCACATAAACAAATCGCAAACAATAACGCACATAGATTTTGTATGATTTTGTTACGTTTATGTTTGCGATGTTTATGTCATGTGTTTATGTCAGGAGAAATAAGAACTTATTTTGCGCGAATAAGGTCATATTCTGACCCTTACGTAAAAGAAACAGAAACAAAAACATAAAAAATACAGCTGTTTACCCAAAATTCTGGATATTTCGGGAATATGCGTTATGTTTAGGTTTGCTTATTTGATGCCGTTTATGTATGCGTATGCGCTGGCCAGTCCAAGACAGGCTCAATTGTGGAAGCCTTTGAAACTCTGCTTCTGCCAATGCATGAGTTGATCTTGGTGGAGGAAAGGGATCAAGTGATCCTCCAGCCATTTGAAGCGGATGCTTCAGGGGATGTTAGAAAATCATGTTCCCAATGATGGTGCAGGGGTTTTGCATAAAACCATACCCTGATGATCCCTGATGGAGGGTTTAGCTGGAAGAAATTATAGTTTTAAGGAGCATCCAAGATTTACACGCACTGCGCAATGAAAACGGCACCTTGGTTAAGTTGGTTTGCCACCATTTTTCTTTTTCATTCAGCACCAATTCTCAATGTTGGTTCTTTGTTTCTATGTGCCTCGTGTGGGCCGAACTCTTGCAAGACCTAGTCCTGGATGTATCCAAGATGCCCCAGGTCCTTTTCATCCTTGCCATTGAGTGGCTGGTGATTTCGTATCTAGCCAATCTGCCATCCAAAACCACAAAATCAGGCTCTGTTTCCAGTTCACCATTGACGTCTCAAGGCAAAGGCGCTTAGAACATGTGTTCTTTATAAGATCATTTTGGGGTACTGTGTGTCCATGTGTATACATGTAAATGTACGCATAGATAAACCATCATTTCTTCGGTTTGGTCGGTCTTACAGTGGGCACGCTAAAACAGTCACCCAGCCATGGTTTGTCAATGTTTGTCAAGCCAAGCTTCTTCCACTAAGGAAACGTTTCTCGAGTTTGGAAGTGGAAGTCATGCCCAAGGTTTGGATTCCTGTCGTGGCCCCAGAGGGTTTGGCAGCATCCCTTAATGGGGCCTTAATGGGGCAGTTCCGCCACTGGGGTGTCGTATCACAAAAAGAGCTTGGCGAAACTTTGGCTGGAAAACTACCAGCAAGATACTGTGCTAGTTCAAACCTGCAAAAAATATCTTGGGAGATGATGATTTCTCTGAGTAACCCTGTGCAGTGATTCATGGAACAAGGCTACCAATGGATGTGTGGCATATTTCTAGTTAGGCTTCAAAGATGCGGTGATCTAATGATGTAATCTGGAAATGATGGTTCCAAATCTTGACCCACGGTCACATTGCTATAGTTATGTCAAACAACGCTAGCAGAAGGGGTTCAGGTACAACACCAGCTGAAATCCAACAAAAAGAATAGAGATGATAAAGCTTCATGGGGGTAGTGTTCAACCATCAAGTCTCCTTCACAAATTGTGGGTCACAGTTGTGGCTCATCAATGAGTGCTTGCTACACTACTAGTGATGGACAAACTTCCCCAAATCCTGCGTGGGATAAAAAGAACAATCTCCAAAGCCGTGGCATGCGTGTGGATGACATCCACATTTCTGTCGATGAAAAAGGCAGGAATCATGTCTTGATTTGTTAAAAAAAAACAGATGATTTCACGTATACAGAAACTTCACATGTTGATTTTTGGTTTATATTCTTTACATCATGGCCATGGCATGGCGAGGTCATCAACCAGGCCGTCCTGGATGACTTGACCCTTCAGCAAACCGGGGTCGGATCCACCGTGAAAAAGGTGAAACTTCTCAGGGTCCCACTGTTACTTTGGGGATGGGAATTCCTACATATATACAATATATACAATATATACAATATACTATATATATATATACCATATATATACCATATATATATATACCATATATTTATATATATACCATATATATATATACCATATATATATATATATATACAATATATACAATATATATATATATAAACAATACATACATCTGCACAAATTATAGCGAGGACAGCCGAGGCAACGAGGCAGGTTGCAGGAATTAGCGAGGTCAGCCCTTAATTTGCTCATCAGAATTAGCCGACCTCGACGAGGTAGCCTTGCATTGGTTCTGTTGCATGCTTGGGCTTTGCTAGAAAAACTTTTTTGGGGGCCAGAGGCCGGTCAGCAGGCAAGGAAGGAAAAAAAACTTTTCAGGCCCCAAAAAGTTTTATTTTCTATCGCCAGAGGCCGGTCAGCAGGCAAGGAAGGAAAAACAACTTTTCAGGCCCCAAAAAGTTTTATTTTCTATCGCCAGAGGCCGGTCAGCAGGCAAGGAAGGAAAAAAAACTTGTCAGGCCCCAAAAAGTTTTATTTTCTATCGCCAGAGGCGGTCAGCAGGCAAGGAAGGGAAAAAACTTTTCAGGCCCCAAAAAGTTTTATTTTCTATCGCCAGAGGCCAGTCAGCAGGCAAGGAAAAAAACTTTTCAGGCCCCAAAAAGTTTTATTTTCTATCTCCAGAGGCCGGTCAGCAGGCAAGGAAGGAAAAACAACTTTTCAGGCCCCAAAAAGTTTTATTTTCTATTTCTATCAGGCCCCAAAAAGTTTTATTTTCTATTAGAGGCCGGTCAGCAGGCAAGGAAGGAAAAACAACTTTTCAGGCCCCAAAAAGTTTTATTTTCTATCGCCAGAGGCCGGTCAGCAGGCAAGGAAGGAAAAACAAAATTTCAGGCCCCAAACAATTTTATTTTCTATCGCCAGAGGCCGGTCAGCAGGCAAGGAAGGAAAAAAAACTTTTCAGGCCCCAAACAATTTTATTTTCTATCGCCAGAGGCCGGTCAGCAGGCAAGGAAGGAAAAAAAACTTTTCAGGCCCCAAAAAGTTTTATTTTCTATCGCCAGAGGCCAGTCAGCAGGCAAGGAAGGAACAAAAACTTTTCAGGCCCCAAACAGTTTTATTTTCTATCGCCAGAGGCCCGCTTCGTGGGTTGACGGCTGCAGAAGCAGTAGGATTCAGAGTTGCTCCAGAAGAGCATTGCATCTCTGCGATAATGTCAGAGATGTCACCACCCAAGCGCAAGAAGCGCAAAGACCGATCAGACTCAGATTTAAAAATCCCTGCAAGAGATCGTGGATCGTGGAAAAAAACTTTCGGAAACTGAAAAGTTTTTTTTTCCTTGGGGTTGGACCCTGGAAAGAAGGCCCACAAGCTACTTTCTTCCTTCGAATTAACGAGGTAAAGCCTTAATTTGCACCTGCAAATTAACGAACGAGGACAGTAATCATGGGGAACAAATTAAGACACGAGGGAGACGAGGTAAGAATTAAAGTAATTTGGCCAGATACATACTACAATGCCATGGTCAAAAGTTGGATTCCACCAGCAGAGTCCGGGGCTGTGTCATTATGGACCTCTGAGTTCATGCGAGAGCCGAGTCAAAAGTTGGATTGTAAACTGATATTGGCGGATGGTCATACCACATCTTTGAAGAAATAGTATGGCCAATAGTAGGATGATCCAAAGCATGGTGGCATGACCATAACCAACATACCGTGTTTTGACCATGGCACATATGATTCATATACATTCATATACACTGTTTCCAGCTGGTTGCATGGCTAAATCGCTAAAGCGTCCACTGCTGAAATCCCGATGTATTGGTCTTCACCCCAATGGATTGATTAGAAAATGATCTGCCCTCGGATTTCAACAACAATCCTCTGAAGGTTCCCTTGAAAAAGCAATTCTGAGACCCATCAAAATCAGAAGGCGTCCTTTTTTATTTGCAGGTGCCATAGAACTCCATTACCCATTTTAAAACCAATTTTAGATTTGGAAATTTAGAAATCCGTTTTATTACTATTACCAATTTTAAACCTTCCCAGGCCCCAGCTGGTGGCTCTCAGGAATCAAAGCGCCTGCAAACTCTGCACAGAACTTCGCCTCTTGGACGTCATGTGAGAAGATTGATGTGTATCCTAGTGTGTAACTGGTTATATATACAAATATATAATATATACATACATATATATATATGATGTTATAGATGGAGCCCCATACTTTAGCATTATATTTTTGGCACAGATGAAACAAATAGCTCAGCAGCTTGGAAGTTAACACTCACCCCGAAATTGGACTTCAGGCTGAAGTTGGCTAGATATGAAAAGATGATCTGAGTAGAGCTGGTTGGTGAATGGTTGGCAGCTGATTGGTGAATGGGTCTATCATGGTTTACGTTTATCCATTTTTAGTATAGTAAACTAACATAGCTATATGGAAAATCACCATTTTTTAATAGGTACATCAACTATATTTGGATAATATAATATATATATTATGTATATATATATACATATATATATATAGTGTGTGGGATTTTGTTTTCTGAATGTTGGGAGCAAAAACACCTGGAGTTCCGACGACGTAACACGGTGACCCTCACGGAGCCTCACGTCACGACGGATGGGAATTGAGGGAGAACTATGACCAAATGGCCTTAATTCCGGTTCGTCAATCGCGGTTTTTTGAATGTTTTTTTTTCATCCAGAATGATCATGAACCAGTTGAATTGCCACCTTGAGGAGAACACAAGTTATCGGAGAGCCGCTTTCGAGAGCCCTGGCATAGCTTGGGGATCCCAAATGGCGCTACGAATCTTTAGGGCCTTTATCGGTGAACATGGTGAACTTCCTTAAAAATCCCAGCCATTTTGATGTCGGTCTAGGGGTCGCCCGGGAAAGACGACCCATCTCCAAATCAAGTGGAGCTATGAACAGAATTGCAACATCCTTACAATGTGGTGCCCCCCAGTTATAAGTTGGTTTATAAACCCCAAAAATTAACTATAGTTATTTGCGTATAATAAACCATAGTTATTGGACTTATAAACCAACTTAGCTATCTAGGGGGCCCCACAGGCCCCACATTGTAGGAATCAAGAATCAGTTGGGGGTTCAATCCTTCTTTCTCTGAGTACTCAAAGCATTTTAAAGCCATGGCTCCAAAAAATCTTCTGCCTGGGCCATAAGTTACATGGTGACTGAACATGACCAGTCTGTTGTGGGTGATCAGAGTCTCCCGGTGAATTTGATAACAACCTCAAGTGGCGACGGAAAATGGGAATGATGGGAATGGGATTGGGGTATCTATAACAGATGGTCAATCTGTTCAGTTTGGCGAATGAATTCAAATTATTCAGATGGGTCTGATAGGAACTCATTTCATGGGGATTGTTGGAATTCCATGGGAACTCCCTGTCGCAACTGCAGATGGAAATTGTGGGATCCCTGATTCACCAAGTTTTCCCTCGCTTGAGGAGGTTACACGACTTTGTTTATACATTTTCCCTTTTTTCAAAGTGCCACAGGGAATGTGTTGCCCATGAGACAAGCATGATTTTTTGGACTTGTATCTACATATATCTACATATCTATATATATATTACAGCCCGAGAGTTGGTTAAGAATCCGAAAGCTTGAGGCCCAATAGGTCGAGGGTCCCTCAAATTCTTAGAGCATTCTTAGTTATGTATTGCATGCATCTGCGCAATTTGGAGCGAGCTTAAACTTAAACGAGGTAACGAGGTGGAGTTGGCAGATTTGACAAGAGGCATGCGGAAAAAGAAATAGAACCTGAAAAATTGTTTTTTTGCACAGCCGGGCTTCTCTGAGTTTCAAAGAGTAGCGTGGGTTCCATTCTGGGCACGGCTCTTCACCAAGTTATTGGGAAAACAATGTTTCAGGTCCCCACGTCTATCCACATATAGGTTTTGCATGGTTTTGCGTGGATTGGAAGTCGTCCAAGCATGTGCGAGAAAAACAATTTTTCGGAGCTTGAAAAATTGTTTTCCTGCAAAGCCTCAGTTTTCTTCAAGCTATTGGGGAAAACAATGTTTCGGGTCCCCACGTCTATCCACATATAGGTTTTGCATGGATTGGAAGCAGTCCAAGCATGTGCGAGAAAAACACTATTTGGGAGCTTGAAAAGTTGTTTTTCTGCAAAGCCTCAGTTTTCTTCAAGCTATTGGGGAAAACAATGTTCCAGGTCCCCAAGTCTATCCACATATTGATTTTGCGTGGATTGGAAACAGTCCAAGCATGCGCGGAAAAAAACATTTTTTCGGAGATTGATTTTTTTTCTGCAAAGCCCGATTTCATCCCGTAAGACCATAAGGGGTGACACCACCAAAAAATGAACCGCAAAGGGGAATTGCAAACCTCACGCATAAGCAGTAATTTAGGAATTTGGTAATTATTCCAGGGTCCCTCAAATTCTTTTCGTACTATGTGCTTGGTATAGCTGAAAATTTGTGGCCCGCCTTGGATTCGAGCCCCTCAAATTCTTATACAGTGAATTCTTGTACAATACTCAAGCGGTATATCACTATAGATACACTAGCCATATTCCTATTTCGGATCCTTCGCATCCCAGCCGTCCAGGAACGGCTCTGTCACGTCTACCCGGAGCTGGGCTACTTCGTGGCTGGCGCCACGCCGGCGGGGCCGGCAGGGCAAGCGGGGCCAGCGGGGCCAGCGCCCAGCACGTTGCGGGACCAAAGCTTCTGCCTGGGAGCCCAGTGACCAGTTGGATGGTTTGAGGATGTTTTAGGTAGATGAATAGCGTTTCATATTGAAAATATGGAAGCTACTATAGGTTACTACTACTACTACTACTACTACTACTACTACTACTACTACTACTACTAGGTTCCTATTATAAGTTATTATGGAAATAGGTCCTACGAACCTATTGCAGGAACGTATGCAATAGTATAATATGAATCTATAATTATTTGAAGATAATATCATATCTAGTTATGGTGATTACAATAGAAATCATTCACTATTAATTTAAATTAAGAAGTAGTACGACAATTATAATTAATATACACCGTCATTTTCCAGGTGTCAAACTTGTTGCCAGCCATCTGGGACCCAGAAATTTTGGATCACTTTGTACAATACAAACCATCAAATTCACAAATGCTGGATCATCCGTCGCATTGATCAAAGCTGGTTGAGTCAAACCCAAGGAAAATGGCAAACATCCCGCCAAAATTGGTTCCTTTTTGCGAGGGGTATGGAGTAAGGTGGGTTGCCATCGATGTACAGTAAAAATGATGTAAATATGAAGGTGTCCTAAAATGGGTGGTATCCCAGTTATCATCCATTTCTAGATGGGATTTTCAATGAAATAAACCATCCATCCAATTTGGAGACCCCCCATGACTATGGAACCCCCCTAAAAGATGTTTTGAACTTTGAACGCTATGTTCCAAGCACCGGAAAAGTGGATGGAAAGGGGTTTCATGAGTTCTCTGAGGTGCTCTTTGTTGCGTTTTCTGGCTGCTCATGAACCAGCGAGACAACTTTATCCGTGCCTCAGATTTCGCGTCCGTGGCGAAGGATTGAAAATTGTTTGATCATCTGACCTTGGTTTCCGCATCCTTATCGTTGGTAGGTAGGTGTTCATGCTCGCATTCACATGTTGGCTAACACAATTCTTTTGTTGACTATAGCTTCGTTTTTACCCGGTTTCTTTTTTACTTGGAAATGATCTGCCATGACTGTTGAATGCATCTCCATGTTGTCAGAATTTC